GGCGAGAAAGGAATGATTAGGGGTTTGTCCTAGGGTGGTAACCGTGGACAGCAGTGGTGTTTGAGTGCCGATGCTCTCTGCGCTGCGTAACGTTATTTCTCGCCGTCGTCGCGTCTTTTGGAAGGTCTGCGCACGTAAAGTCTAGTCACGTGGCCTTCTACTTCGCCATTTCTTTCTGCGGGCCGCGCGCGTTTTGTATTGGGTTTTCCACGAGAAATCGAAGGCCCACCAAGGCAAATGACCTGCAAGCACGGAGCCGAATTTGGCGGGGAAAATGAGGACCCGCCGGTTTTTGGCGGACCGAAAACCGGGTTTTTGGTACGCTCGGACCTGTGATACCATGGATTCTTGTCGGGCAACGGAGATACTGGATCGGTACCTTAGAGTGCAGCTTCTTTCAATTACTGACACCAAACCACCCCGACTATTCGGCGGGTTGGAAGGACAAATCATTTCGTTCGCAGGCCAGGCCGAGACATCGACAATGAGCATTAACCCTGATCAGAATTTCTCGCGCACTCAACGCATCACGCTGAGGTCAGGAGGGCCTGGGCAACACGAAGTCGCCTTCCAGACGGGCCTGTTCCCCTCCGGACCCCTGTTCGGCTGTGAGGCTTCGGGTCATCACCGGGTTTAGCGGACTGCAGCCCAGCATCCTCACAAGATCCGGGCCAGTTCCAGACCAGGTGACAAATTTCAGCCCTTCGCGACTGACTGCCGTATCTGCCTGCTGCAACCGCTGCATTTGCTCGCATCACCCACCATCACCCATCCGAGTCTCCGATTCTCGACATTGAACCCGCATCGACATCGACTCGAAAACTTCAGCGACACAGCCAACATCGACATCCTCGTTCTCCGATGCCTCGACAGTACTGACACGACGCTGGAACAATGGCGAGCCCGGTGGGGGAGGACAACTGGGTCGATTTTGTCGACCGCCAGCTCCGCGAGGCGACCGACCTCGAGGCCCGCGTTCGCGTCATCGAGACCTTTCGACATGCCACGCTCGCCGAGCCCGGCAGCCTCAAGGTGTGGATCGCCTACTGCGAGTACTTCTGGTCGCTATATACCGACTGCCAACCCGGCAGCGACGCCGGCTGGACTCCCGACGAACAGCAAATGGGACGCGAAACTTTCACTCTCGATGCCGCCCTCAATCTCTGGCAAGAGGGTTACGAGGCTGTGCAGTACCGCCTCTCGGACAGCCACGAGTTGTGGAATCGCTGGGTGTCGCTCGAAATGGAGCTGCTCCGCCGGACCGCGACCGAGGCGGGCGTACGCAGGATCACCCACCTCTTCAAGGACCGCCTTGCCGTCCCGCACACGACCTGGGATGCGACGTCGCAGATGTTCTCGAGCTTCCTCTCGGAATATAACCGACATGCCTATGAGAGCGAGATGCAACAGGTGACAAGGAGCGCAAAAACCGCGAAGCGTCTGTACGACCTGCGCGACCCGTGGGAGCTGAAGCTCGCCCGCGCCGCCAAGACCCACGACACGGCCGCCCTGCGGACAATTATGTCCGAGTACCTCGACTGGGAGATCCGCCTGGTGAAGTCCAAAAAGGACATGAAGGACATCGTCGCCAATTTTCAAATCTGCCTCGGCTTGTTCTCGCGCGCCGTGACTGGCGTCCTGGCCTCGGATGAGGACACCTGGCTCAATTTTGTCGTGCTCGTTTCGACCACCCACTCCGATCTCAAGGCCGGTCGCTCCCAAGTTCCCCACAACCTGGTGCCCAACATGCTCGACATCCTACGTCGCGCCGTGCGCCACATCCCCTGGTCCGGCCCCATCTGGGCGCGCTACATTCTTACCGCCGAAGAGGCCGGCCTGTCCTTCACCGACATTGAGCGCATCAAGCATGCTGCTACGGACAGCGCCCAGCTGGATAGGGACGGCATGTCGGGCGTTCTGGACATGTACTCGGCGTGGTGCGGCTACCTGAAGCGCTCCGCCATGAACCCCTCTGCTACCGAGGAAGCTGTCGATGTCGCTGAAGTGGGCCTCCCATCGGCCATCGAGGACGTCAGACACTGGGGCAAGCGCAAGTACGGCGAGGCGTACCAGGGTGACCCGGACTATCGGCTTGAAAAAATCCTGATCCAGTTCCTGACCGAGAAGAAGGATGACATTGAGAGTGCGCGCGGCGTGTGGGAAGAGTTGTCGCGGGTCGAGCTGCACGCAAACAGCTACGACTTTTGGCTCCACTGGTACCTGTGGGAGATGATGGTCTTCAGTGCCGCGAGGAGCAAGACGCGAAGCCCGACACCGGCGACGCTTGCGCAGGGCCTACTGGTGCCCACATTCGCTACCCGTGTCTTCACCCTGGCGCTCAAGGTGCGTACCGTGGACTGGCCAGAACGGCTCATGGAGGTCTACCTGAAGCACTGCAACGACTACGAGCTGGCCGAGACATTGCGAGAGGCCCATGACACCATCTACAAGACGCGGAAAGGGGTGGCGAAGCGCCGTGAGCGGGAAGCTGCTATGGCAGCACAGGCTGCGCAGGCTGCCCAGCAGCAGGTTGCACAGCCCGATCTGCCGATGACGGATGCTGCCGATGCGACCCTTTCACCCGGCTCTAAGAGAAAGCGCGAAGCGACCCCGAGCGAGCACGACAGCGGGAACAAGCGGGCCAAGAGCGACACGCACGCCGAGCGGTTGAAACGCGACCGCGAAAACACGTCAGTATGGGTGACCGGCCTGCCCAAGGACGCCACCCAGACAAAGCTCAAGCACTTCTTTCGCGGGTACGGACACATCAACAACATCGACCTCCAGAAACGGGACAACTCGGCGATCGCCCTAATCGAGCTCGGCACGCCAGACGACGCCAGGTCAGCCCTGCTCCGCGACGGCAAGTACTTTGGCGACCACGTCGTCCAGGTGACCCCGGCCACGGACTGTACCCTCTTCGTGACCAACTACCCGCCGGAAGCCGACGATCAGTACCTCCGCAGTCTCTTCAAATGCTGCGGCGAGATCTACAGCATCCGATTCCCCTCGCTCAAGTACAACACTAAGCGCCGCTTCTGCTACGTCACCTTCCGCGACCGGTCCGCCGCCACTGCCGCCACCAAGCTCGACGGAAAATCCCTCGAGTCGGGCAAGTACAGGTTCGTCGCCAAGTTCTCGGACCCGATGGCGCGCCAGAACCGCCAAGGCGCCCAGGCCGAGGAACGCGAACTGCACGTCGTCAATCTGCCGCGCGGCGCGGGCGAGGAGGACGTCAGGGGCCTGTTCGCCAAAGCAGGCCGCGTCGTCAGCGTGCGCGTGCCGCGGAACATGGCCGGGCAATCGCACGGTACGGCGTTTGTGGTCATGGAGACGAAGGAGGAGGCGCAGAGGGCGGTGCAGGAGCTGGATAAGCTGCTGTTTGGGAACCATCCCATCAAAGTAGAAATCTCGAAACCGCCGCAACAGAAGGTCACTTCTACGACTCGCGCAGCTTCCCAGGAGGCGCCGCCGTCGCAAGAACATCATGGGGCAGCCGGTGGTGGGCTGGCACCGGCGGAGATTGCTGCAAGGACGATTGCCGTGCTGAATGTGCCGGATACCATGACGGATGCGCGGCTAAGGGCGAGACTGGAGTCGGCTTCGGCGGGCGCGGAGTTGGTGAGATTGGTGCTGCACCCCATGCACGGCGGCGCCGTGCTCGAGTATGCCAACGCTACGGCCGCGGGCAAGGCTGGGCTGGCGGTGGATGGGTTGGAGGTGGAGCCGGGGAGTGGGAGTGGGAGGAGGTTCAGGACGGGGACGGTGGCCGAGCTGTTCAAGGCCAAGGGCGAGAAGAGGACCGATCGGGTTGATAAACCCGCTGCTTCTTCTGCACCTCCTTCTGCTACGGATATTACCTCGGACTCGAAGAAGGGTGCCGCTGCCGCTGCCGCCCAGCTGATGCCGCCCCCGCCGCTGGCGCTGAGACGACCTGCCGTGCAGGGAGCGAGAGCCGGGCCGAAGCGGGTGTTGGGGTTTGTTGGGGGTGTGGCAGCTGCGGCTAAGAAGGCAGCAGGGGAGGATGCGGGGCGACAGCAGGATGGGGTGGGCAATGGCGAAGAGCAGCAGGGAGGAGGAAGTCAGGCTGGGGGGAAGAGCAATGCCGATTTCAAAAGGTTGTTCTTGGGTGGGCCTAGTACCGGTGGCAATACCAACGACACGACAGCTGCTTCTGCTTCTTCTGCTGCCGCCGATGGTGGTGAACGTGCTGAAGTGGATGGGCAGAGTGTTGAGAGGAGGGGGGGAAATGAGCACAAGGGGGATTAAGTCGGGATGCAAGGGAAATACGCGAGATACTACCGTACTGTATTGGGACGCATATCTTCATCGGTTGTATGATACCACGCACGGGAGCGCCGGGAAGGCTGCGGGAGAGGGATCAGGTGCTATCAATACCCCTTGCATTGGATGGTTGCTTTAAGAGCTTAGTTGGAGGTTGAGAAGAGCCGTATGGTTATATGACTGTAAGGTCAAGGTACCTAGGTGGCATTTACCGACCGGTTTGTAGGTTTTGCTGACGAGAGTTCAATCCTGCTCAACCGAAACTTTGATTTGCTTTTGAGCAGAGGTTGTTCATGAAAAACTGAAAAGATTTGATACTTTCCTGTTGCGAGTGGCGGTGTCAGCTGGATGGATCTGGGTTAGGGTTTGTTGTGCTGAGTTTCAACATGACCTCACGGAGTCGCGGGACACTTGATTCACGGACCAAAACCAATACTCTGTCGGCCAAAAGAACTCAACACTTTTATCTTCTTCGGTCATCACAGCATCTTGAGAGTCGTTATGTGATACAACTCATTCTGCCCAAGCAGTTTAATCGGGATTTCCTGGACTTGCGACATTTCTGGCACCGTTTTCTTCATCTCGGAAGACGCCGTGCTCAAGCGGGCGCTGTCCGATGACACGGCCAAAAAACAACTCCGTGTGGAGCGTCAGATCTATGAGCGGCTCGGCTCGCATCCTCGCATACCAGCCCTTTTTGGTCGGAGCAGGACGCCGTCATTCTCGAACACCTGCAGTGCACACTGCGCCATCGGCTTCTGGACCTACGCAGTCGACAGGAACTCCTGCGGCGCGTGACGTCCAGAAATGGGCGCTGCAAACGGCTGTAGCTTTCCAGTATATTCACTCGGGCAGGGTGAAGCAGGTGGATATCGGCACGTACAATGTTCTGCTCGACACCGCCGACAACGCAAAGCTTTCCGACTTTGCCGGGTCTTCTCTCGACGGCTCCGAACCAACGGTCGCTGCAGGTGTCCACTCAACACATCCAAGGTTATCCACCTTCAAGCCGTCCGTTCGCTTCGAGCTCTTTGCGCTTGGCTCATTACTCTACGAGATAAGAGATGACCTTCCAACCTTTCCACGAAAAGGCCGATCACGAAGTTGAGCGCTGTTCGAAGCAAATCAATTCCCACCTACGAGCGGCCTCTTGTTTGGGGAGGTGGTAATGGAACGCTGGATATCATATCAGGATGCCGGCGAAGTGGTGGCCGACCTTCGCTCCATTGAAGCACGTATTGAATATGGGTTGGTCTTGTGCGTTTAAATCCGTATTCCAGACACGTCATATCCAGCCCGGATACTCACATCCTGATGCCAGCATACCCTGACTAACGTTCAACATATCTAACCTGACACCCGAATAACATAGGAAACCAAGAGTACTTTACAGTACTAAGAAGGGACTTCCTGAGCGCAGGCAGGCAATCCAAACCAGTGAACACACCGTTTCCCCTTAAGATCCCTCCCGTAGATGCTTCAGCGCGAGGCTCCGGCCCTCCGGGTCCGCCACAAACTCCTGCATGACCATCTGCATGTCCTCGCAGGCCGTGTAGTCGCCGCTGCCCGAGGCGAAGAGCAGGTCAAACGACGCCGCGTCGTCTCCGCCTTCGGCGGCTGCGGCGATGGAGGCGGGGACTAGGACCTTGCGCGGCGTGTACGTGTCTATCGCCGTTGGCGGTTTCTACGTGTCAGTCTATCAATACGGACACGTGAAATTGGGATAGGTAGATAGTGAGGGAGGTAAATCAGTTGACTAATTGGCTGTGGAACAGAGAAGGGGGAAAGGGGGAAAGGGGACAGTAAGACGCTCTGTAGCACACCAACGACGCTCTGCAGAAGTAACGGATGGTCTCCCATTTCGGGTCAGTTGAGGAACTTCAACCTACGGATCTCCGTTCCGGCTCCTTCTGGGCCGGCGCACTGGCCTAGTCCGACGTTGGTGGTCGCCGGGAGGGCTTCGGTTGTGGACGTAACACACATTGCGCTGTATCGTTCGGAAATATGACCTACTGGGGCTTCGATATCTGGCGGTTGATGGTTCGGAAGAGGTCGAGATTTGGAACCGGGGCAATGATTGAGATGCCTACTTGGCGAGTTCAAGCTGCCAACTTGTCTCATTAAGAGGGGTCATGAGTGTCGCAATGTGGTCAGGGCATACACAACACGTCGCTCTGACTGCCTTCCTCCTATAGCCGATGAGCCGTCACTAAGCGTAGCTTAGCTCTGGATGCTGGTAGACCCGCGGCAAGTTGGGACGACGGGATCTTGGCTTCGTCATCCCGGCCAGGCTCAATGCCAGTGGTGCGCGACGCTCCAACTAGGACTAAGGTACTACCCGAGCTCAGCAGAGGTAGGTAAATAAGACTCCTGTCACTCATTCTCTTCCTGCCCGCCGAAGATCTCCATCCTCCCCGTGACTTGTTCCCACGTCTCGGTGCCCTCCACCAAGCCCTTGATGGCCGCCATAATGTTATCCTCCGGACCTTTGACTTGGACCATAGAATCCTGCTCTCTCAAGGTCACTGAGCCGTCCTTCGTGTCAAAGTCAACCGTTACGCCCAGCGGCGTGCTCAGCTCATCGTTCGGGGCATACCGTTTGCCAATGGATGCGCTCGATGCATCAATAAAGTTTGCGATACCCATCCTTCGCAGCCGAAGACGACAGCTTGCGAGCGATGGTAGTGAAGTGGGAGTTGGAGGACAGGGGGACGATGAGGACTTTGTTTGGTGCCACGGCAAGAGGCAGGGACAAAACCTAAGGTAGGCATAAAAGTCAGTAAAGATACCAAGCACAATGTATTTAGGATGCCCACCGCTCTCGCGGCATCGTTGGGCCGATGCCAATACACGTGTTCCAACAGGCTGTAAAGAATCCGCCCGATGCCAAAAGCATGGCTCAATAACGTTGGGTGTGTATTCACGATTCTTCTGGAGGCGAGTGATTTGGCGATGGACAGAAACGCTTTCGTCAGCTCCATGCGCATTGCTCCGTCAGACACAGCGGGGATCTCAATCACCACAGCTCCAATCTGCTCGAGTTCACAGCGAGTCTCTCAAGTGTGGTTTGATCCAAGGCTTCGACAGCTGACTGAACTGCCTTTGCATCCTTCCTGAACCGCGGCCCAACAAGCCATTTGTCGAGGGTCGCCTGCCACTCCTCCACCGTCACAGGTTCCGCAAGAGTCTCCTTGACAGTTAGAGATGCGCCAGTGTACCTTAATGCATCGTCAAGTCATACGCGCTTCGGTCCGCGCAGCCAACACGCTCAATCCAGCCGTAGCTCGTGAGGAGCCCGGCGTCCCAGCAATCGCAGGCATAGTGAGCCATCTCCTTGTTGTTTTCTGGGTTCTGGGTGTCATGTTGCCGAATCAGCTCAACCAGCGCGTCGACGTCGTAGTTGTCGATCCGAAATAACAGCACCAATCCTAAGTAGATTTGCACTTGAGTGCACCTGAGGTGATGAACGCTCGAGGGACGACACAGGGGCGTGCAAGGCTTACCTTGGCCAGTATGCCACTATACTCATCAATAGTCGCTTGGTCCAGCTTGGGTGATTTTAGAATGTGGCCTCGAGTGCCCCGAGCAAGGCGTGCTTCGAGGACGTTCTCGACAAGATGATCAGCTCGCAGGTAGTCGCCTGTTAATGCCGGCCCCACCAGCGGTACAAGGCGTTAGCAAAACCATTGTTGATGGGCTTTCAGGGGGCCGAAGATCACCTCATCGTGATTAAGTACTCGCCTTTGATCGGATCGTTGCACATTCAGTCCGCCAACTTGTCCACATGCCCGATGGTTCGGAGAACTGGTTCGGGAGTACCTCCGTAATCACGGTGCAATCCACTTCCAGCATGTTCTCCTCGAGAACAAGATGTTTCCTCCACGCGTCCACAATGTTGGCATGGTAGGCACAATCCGGCGGGCCATAGTCAAACAGGCCGCGGTTGTCTCCTTTGAAGTGTGGGGGCAGTCGGTAGATCTCGAAGGCTTCGGTGAAGAAGAACCGTCGCTTCATGACTGACTCGAAAAGCCGCCGGTCGAAGTTTTCGCTAGTGAGGGTTGTGATGGCGGCCATGTTCGAATTGACCTAAGCCTAACAAGTCTTGAGTAGTTGAAAGCTCGATGAACAGGTTGGGAAGAGAAAGGTGTTATAGGAGGGGTTATGACATATGGGTATTACATGCAAGCGGCGCCAAATAAGGCTGTGCGAGCACCTGAACCAGCAAGGTCGTTTGGATGTCCACCAATCCGGATTTACACTTGACCTGAGGTGTAGTACGTGCCTGCTCCTCGCCTGTTTCAAGTTCACTATACCCGGTTATGAGCCCTTCTTGATGATGACCTCCCCGTTCATAATGCCCAGCGTGGCATCCTCGGTCTCGACCCACTCCCTCCACGCCTTGATCATGTCCTCAATCTCCTGCTCTGTAGTAATCCCCATTTCAATCCCCTTGCTGCGCATCTGCCCCGTCTTCAGCCTCTCGATCATTGCCTCGCCTGCACAGTCAGTCAGCCAGTCCGTCAGTCAGGCTGTCGTCGCCCCCCAACGGGCTCAACCCACAATCCACCCTAGACAAGGGAAGAGGCAATGAATCAAGGAGGATAAAAAAGAACCTACCCCAAGCCCTTTGATCCCCCGGTTCACTATAACACCACGTCCCAAATCCAGCCTCGATCTGCCCCCTCGGCACGCCCGCCGCCAACGCCCACGAGACCAACCTCCTCCCCGCCCGATCCTGCCCGCCGTTGGCAGTTAGCGTCCGCGCCATCAACCCTCGGAACCCCTCCTGCAGCGCTGGCGTCTCGGGCCAGAAACACCACATGGCCATGTCCGTTTCCCTAAGCGAGACCACCCCGCCGCCGCCAGGCCTGCAGACCCTGAACATCTCCCTGATGGCGTCGACGGGCGCGCCCAAGTGGGAAAGGACCTGGTGCGCGTGGACGACGTCGAATTCGCCGTCTTGGAAGGGAAGGTGGTAGACTGAGGCCTTAAGGAAGGTGATCTTGTCGGTTCCCAAGCTTTGAGTCGCGGCGTGATTACGCGCGCGCAAGAGGATATCGTCGGAAATATCTGTTGCGGTGATACGACCGCCGGGTGGGAGGTACTTTGCTAGAGAGGCAGTGATGGTGCCTGACCCGGCGCCGACGTCGAGGAGTTTGAGGTGGGGCGTATGAGGCGCAAGGCGGGCGAGGTGCGGGAGGAGGTGGACCGCGCTGTTCTCGGCTGTGCGCCACTCGTGGTGTTTGGTCTGGGAGGCGTCGTGGCCGGGGGCGTAGGAGTTGTGGGTGGCCGTCATCTTCAATCGAGAGTGTATTGATCGGGTGGGCGAAGAGGGGCGGGTTATCAATCACGTACGTACTTGAACTAACTGACTGTGCTGTTGTTAAGGTTGGAAGCTTAGATTGGGGCAAGACCGCAATGCTATTTGTCTTCTAGGTTGGCATCGGTTGTCTCGGTCGAGGGTCCAGTGATGTCACGGCGCGTGGTTGAGGAATGAGAATCGGTTGGACTCGTGTACCAGGGAGTTTAGAAACGGGTTTGACACGGGAATTATCAAGCAGGAGAAGCAGCACAGACTTGGTATTGTAATCCGTACATGCATATAGAGTCCTTGGAACATCTCCAAATGGCAAGCCCCGTACAGCTCATTGCTGAGCACAGCGACCTCTCATTTCATCTCAACTGGAAGACAACCCCCAAGAGATTACCACAAACATATGCATGGACCACGTAGTGGAGTCGACTGCATTGCACGGCGATATACGTGTGTATACGGATCCGTATATACTCACAATTTCGTACCCCACAACGCAGACGCGGCTCAATGGTCTAGTGGTATGATTCGCGCTTCGGGACGGCTTCAGTCCTCCCTTGCTTGGACATAAGTAACATAATATGTGCGAGGTCTCGGGTTCGATCCCCGATTGAGCCCTTCCGTCTGAAGTTCACCCCTCTCCTGACATGGAGAGTCTTGGCCCTTTTGCTAGGGCGCGGTTTTTGAAAAGCAAGGGACTATTAGCTTCGTGGTGCCGGTGCTTTTATAGTGGAGCCTGAGAGTAGCATATACGTAGACATGAGAACGGAATAGTTAGTGACTCGGGAATGGCGAGTGATTGATCTTATGCGGAGCCAAAAACACCTGCCTAATAACTGAAATGCCTGTAGCTGTGACTGGCGAGTGTCGCTTGGTACTGTAGGTTACTTTGTGTTGTTGCTAGGGCGACAATCGGTTACAAAGATAACACAGTGTTAAAGGGATTTAGAAGGGGCCCGGTATATTGTTATCCACTTCCGTCATGCCACGCACACCAGGCTCATTTGACCAAGGGCTTTTTTTGGCTGTTAATATGCAAGTCAGGGTATCCAATCAACACAAGGGCATACTCTGATAGTGAATAGATGGCTGACAGCCAGTCAGGAGGCAACCTAAGGCAGGCTGCCCGGCTGCTCTTTTCGGCGCATCGGGGAATGGAACAGGATATCAGTCCTCTTAAAAGCGGCATTCTACCGAGATCGAGTTTGGCTACAGTGGCTTAGGCTTAAGGAGACTCGAGAGCTCGTAGCCTAACAAGGAGCAACAAGAACAGGTGCTGCGTCATCTAGAGATCGCGTCTTCTGACCACTTAGAGTCATGGTTGATCCGAGACAGCCACAGTCGAGTAGTTCAACGCGGAACGTGGCAGATGGACCGGAGTGAACCTTTGTCTTCAACTACTTCATTCGCTCTAGGGGCGAGAATTGACAGGTGTATCCGTATTTTCGAATTGATTGGCGAGCTTGCTCAGGTTTATTGGGAAATGCTTGCAAATCGCATCGACAAGGCGTTACGTTAGTGACAGTAGAACGATTGAGAAGGACGTATTCAACAGCGTGAGTCGAAGGAAAGTGGCTCAGCATGGACCGCATGACATTGGTTTGGGGCCGTCGTCTTTTGGACTGTTTATCGTTGAGTAAACAAAGATGATCCGCGGGGGGGGAAGCAGTATATCTTCACCGAGCTACAGTGGCCGCAGTCAAATAAGGAGGCAAAGATGGTCATGTGAGACCCAACATCATCATGGAACCATGAGCCGCAGGGACTTTGACGATCTCGCAGGCTGAACTGTTCCATGTGCATCTATATCCGAGAATGCCCGTCTTCTGCCAATGTACAGTTGCATACAGAGCGCAGCCCATGACGCGCAATGGCATTTATCTGCAGTGCACACGCACAATTCATTCATCCCATCTGCATAGAAGCGTGTCGAGGGTAATGCAGCCTTTGGATCCCAACTGGCACTGGTTTTCGAACCGCTCTCTCGACACACTGGTAAAAAACCTTGATTCCTCGCCCCTCCCTCCCACTTCTTTGCTCATTTCATTCCAATTTTGAACCTCTTCTGCATCTCGCTCTCCTACACCTCAACTTGCACACTCCCATTACAGGCTCGCTCTACACCCACTTCGCTTATCTTCCAACGCTCCCCGTACATTACAACATGCGATTCCGCGCTGCCTTCACCGGGCTGGTGACGCTGGCCTCCGTGATCGCCGCCGCTCCAGTTGGCGATACCGATCCCGAGGTTGCCGCCGCTCAGCGCATCATCGACCTTCAGGCGATTTATCACAAGCAAATCTTCACTGACATCGCCGACCGCCAGATGGGCTGTTCAGTAAAGAACATTCAAATCCGCAAAGAATGGTAAGTTGCCCTCTTCACTCCATTCTCTATCGACCAGCCGGCAATTTATCGAAACTGACATCGATATCAGGTCCACCCTCTGCGACGAAGACAAGGCAGCCTTTATCGCCGCAGTGGGCTGCCTCAACTCGCTCCCCGCCGAGACACCCCTCGAGCGCGCCGCCGGTGCCCACACCCGCTACGACGACTTTGTGGTCGCGCACATCGAGCAAACCCCCCTCGTCCACGCCTCGGGCCTCTTCCTGCCCTTTCACCGCTACTTCCTGCACCTCTACGAGCAAGACCTGCGCACCAAGTGCGCCTACACCGGCCCGTTCCCCTACTGGGACTGGAGTCTCTCCTATCAGGACCCGCGCAACGCCTCCGTGTTCGACGGCACCGACCTCTCGCTCGGCGGCAACGGCGTCTACATCCCCGACCGCCCAGCAACCAATATCTCGCTCCCCGGCGGTTTTACCCTGACCATCCCGCCCGCCACCGGCGGCGGCTGTGTCGAGTCGGGCCCGTTCACGCCCGACAAGTTCGAGGTGCGCCTCGGCCCCGTTGCGTACGAGCCCGTCGGCCCGGACGGTGGGTTGGGCTACAACCCGCGCTGTCTGACGCGCGATCTCAGTCCCGAGTTCAGCAAGCAGACGCGGCCGTCGAGGGTTTTGAAGCTGATTGACGAGTGCAAGGACCTCGCGTGCGTCAACGAGCAGATGGACATCCCCGATGGTGTTCCCGGCGGTGTGCATGCCGCCGGCCACTGGCAGGTTGGGTTGGAGGCGCTGGATATCTATGCCAGCCCGAGTGATCCCGTGTTCTATCTGCATCATGCGCAGATTGATCGGGTTTGGACCATCTGGCAGGGACAGAAGCCGGCGGAGAGGAACATGATGGTTTGGGGTACCGGGACGGCAGTGAATGGTGAGTTGTTGCCATCTGACTTCAATCAGAGGGCTTGTTTCGATAGTTTCTTGTTGCTGACTCGAGACGCAGACCCGCCATCTCCCAACGTCACACTCGACTCTATTGTCGAGTTTGGCATTCTTGCTCCTCCCAAGTCCATTAGGCAGCTTGTCTCGACCATCGACGGTGAGTTCTGCTACGTCTACAACTGAAGTTGGGTTGGATTGCTCGACCATGTGGAGGGGGAACTTGGAGTCATTGGAGCGATCTCATCGGGAGCACAGGCGGTCGGCCTTCAGTTAAGTTATTCTTCATTCAGGGAAGTAGACAGACTTCGATTCCGTTGCCGACTCAACCTTGCCTTGTTGGTGTACGTCTGGTTGTATATGTCTTGACACTCATCAATCTGTGTTGTATACCTCTTCGTCTAGCTGCACGCAAGTCTCTTTTCGGGGCTTACTTTACCCGTGCTTCTTTCCCTGTCGGTTTTCAGGGCCCTGTGACTCTTCCAATCAACCCTATGATTCGCCTGGTAATCTCCTTCTCATTCTACCGCAACCGCATCCGGAACGCCAGAATGGCGGGCAGCTGTGGGAAATTCGTGGTGGACTCGATTCTGTCCTCCTCTGCATCCTCCTCGGTAAAGGCGAGCTCCTCCATGGCATCCATGACGAGACCCGCCTTGAAGAAGGTCGCGAAGAGCTCGTGCATTGGTCGGTGGAAGTAGAGCTGCTATTCTTAGCCGGGAGAGGTGAGCCCACCCCAGGACGACTCACCTGTTTCTCGGGTTGCCCCGGCACCGCAATGCCCATGGCCGGCGGCACAGACATGTACTCCTTGATCACCTTCCCCCTTACAATCTCTTCATCGCCCGTAGTCGGGTTGTACCCTACGGTAATGACACGCTCAGCATTGGACGTGAAGAACACCGGATGCAGCAGCGTGGCCACGAACCTGTCCCCAAACCAACAACACCATGTTCAGCGCCAGCAGTGAATCTTCAAGGAATGAGGGGGGAAGCAGGCAGACAAAAGGAACTTACACTCCACCCTTGGCCAACAACCCCCCACCCAGCGCCTTCGCGAGCGGCTCCAGATCTGCCACATCCATGACCGCCATGTTCATCAACACCACGTCAAAGCCTCCCTCTTCCTCCTCCACCAAGCGCCGCATATCCCCACCGCTCGTAACATCCACCCGCCCAAAACGGATCCTCTCGTCCGGCGTCCCGACCTCGCAATGCCCCTTGGCCAACGCCAGCATATTCTCGCTCGCGTCCGTCGCCAGAACCGACCGGGCTCCGTGGCGGGCCAGCCATCGCGCGCAGAGGCCGTTGCCCGTCGCCAGGTCGAGCGCCTTGCAGCCTCCGTGGAGTCCGTTCTCAAGCGTGGACCCCAGCAGCCGGCCGAGGCAGGGCTCTTGCAGACGGCGCCAGTACTTGTTGCCTTCCCGGGTGATGGTGGCGTCCCAGTAGCTGGCGTTGGCTTCCCAGCTGCTGACGGCGCGGGTTGAGAGGGATGGCGCGGTGGACATGGTGAGGTTTGGGCTGGGGATCTGAGGTTCTCGTGGAATCAATGGCTGGATGGATGATGCTAGTTAAGAGAGCTTTTGCAGATATCAGTGGGCAGGGATGGCGGTCAAAGACTCGATGGTGAAAACCCACTCGTTCCTCGTATTGATTCCAGTTCTATCGGAGTGACTCAGGCCGGACCTTGCATGACATTCTGCGTTCCTGGTTGGTTGATTCCCAAGGTGATGATGGAACTAACGGTCTGGGCATGAGGGGGGACCACAACGTCTTACATGATCACGTCCACGGTGAACCGAATGCGAGGCAAGCTGATACTTCAAAGTAACACTTATTGAATTCAATCGAGGGGTATGACAACCGAACTCGGGGGTCACTAGCCCCTTGAGAGACGAAACTTAAAGAGAGAGTGCAAACCCTGACCCTTGCGGTGACCTTCTCCAATAGCCTCCATCTTCAACACTTCAATTCATCCGTCTCACTGCTCCCCATAACCAGCACCCCGGGCAGCGATCTAGCGCCCGCCACGCCTCCCTTTCCCTCCCTCTACCATGCCACCCCGTCCCCTCCTCCCAATCCCCCTCCAGAGCCCATCTCCTTCAAGAGTGAGCAACCCTCCAATCGACCGCAACCATCCCATCCGCCGGCTTCCTGCTACACCACACCGGACTCTCCACACTCACCCTTCCATCTCTAGCCTGGCTCGCGCCAGCATGCGACCGGGTATAAAACCGCACATCGTTGGTCCCAAACCGGAAATCCACCTTGCCTCCTCTATTATCACTGCCCAAACGCACCTCGAAAGCACAGCTCCCGCTCGCCGCCAGCCGCGCCCAATTGTTGTTGTCCGTCTCGCTCGCCGAGATGAGCCAGTACCCCGGCCCCGGATGCGCTTCGTACATGGCCTTGCAGTCGGACGCGAGAGGCGCCGAAGGCCCGTAGGTGTATTGCGGGTTGGCTTCGCCGCAGTAGTCGTCTTCAGCGCCTGAGGAGGGTTGGTATTCGAGGCGTTTGGACAATCTGGGCTGGTGGGGTGTGGTTGTGGTTGTTGTGGTGGTCAGGGAGGCGGGCGCTGCGAGAGTGGTGGTGGTGGTCAGGACAGCGAGGGCGAGGACGAGTTTGGTGAGGGAAGGCATTTTGGTTGAGAGTTGGTTTGGTATTGGTAAGGTGTTATTGGTTGACGTGCAGTGATGTGAATTGTATCTGACGCTGGAGTCTGGTGAGTTGAGTGTTGGTGAGTGAGCGAAACTCCCGATCCAGGGGAGATCTCCCATACTTATTATACCTTACCCTTCCACGCCTGGTCCCACACATCAATGACCGACCGCTAATCTAACCCGCAGTGCATGTATCACTGCTCGGGGCATCCCATCACAGCATACCCCACGGCGCAAACAAAGATTCTTCGCAAATCACTTCCAGCAGCCACCACACCGACCCACTTCCTAGCGCATGAGATCGGACCGCCCAACAAGGCATGTGCCCCTGAGTACATTAGATCAGATCACATCCGATGCCATCCGATGCCATCCCCATAGAGCACATTTGGCTCCCAAGGCTCGCCCAAGCAGGAAGAGTCAGGCCACCATAGAAATAGCTGAGCAGCAAGTGACCTATGACCGGCCGGTGCTGCCTTATGCAGGTTGTTCCGGGTTGGCTGGTACACCATGGATGGCCAGTCTGTCAGTCTGTTATTGTTAAAACAAAACGGCCGTGGTCAGTTAGGGTTTGCCTCGAGAGGTGACTAAACGGAATAGAAAGGTGTACCGCACGGTACACTGCACAGCCCAGGCACACTGGCACGCCTGATTGAATTTTCCGTTCAGGAAACTGCCAATTACTTTACTTATTAACTGATATCCTACCGGCGATGTCCCCAAGTCCCGTATCCTAGAAGCTGTATCCATTTTCTTTTTTAGCTCTCCTCTCCAGAATCATATCAAGCTCGTTGGAACTTTGTGCGGAGTGAAGCAATAACAGCGCATAGCACCCAACCCCCCCACAATGCGGTACCAATGTCGGCTGAACGTTGGTGACTGCCACTGCGGAACATGGACAAGCTGGCAGCGGCTGACGATGCAGGCAGTAGAACTGCTGTAATAAATGCAGCCCTGCGCCGAGGCTCGTATCCAGGGAGAAAAGCGGCCGCCAAAGCCTCGCACCACAACGTGACCGCGGTCGGTCAAGAGGCGCCTCGGTAAGCACAAGCGAGTCTGAGTAGGATATGTTCATGCCGTTGGCAATTCCAAAACAAAGCCCCACAACCTTGCACCCCTACCTTTATATTGTTGGTTGTCCGTTGTCTGAATATGGTTGGCCCGCCACTTCACGTTCCAACCCGCCCTGCGGCCGCGACCGCGGCACGGTACGCACCCTAAAGTCCTTCACCAGCCAGTTCGGCGGCGGCGCAAAGAACGGATAGATAGGCACCTCGACCGTTTTCTTGCCCGGCTCCACGAGCACGGGGGGAACATATACACTGCTGAGCCACTCGGACGGCGAGACCATCCGTTCGGCGCACTGCTCGCCGACGCAGAAGATGACGAGAATTGTGTCGTCCGCCTCCTGCGGGTCATCGTTATTGACTCGACGAGGCAGAGTCATCGTGAGATGGCCGGTCCTCTGCTGTCGGGGCGGGATGCGGACGTTCCAGAGCATGATTCCGATTGTCCAGGAGGCGTTGAGGCTTAGCATATGGACGTAGACCGGATAGATATCCGAACGGTTGGAGATTGCGTAACTGAGTGCTTCGCCATGGCAGACCTGGAGCGGACCCGAGGAGGACGTGTCATGGGAGCGCCGGGCTTTGTTGAACAAGCGAACTGAGAACCACTCTGCCGGGATCGGGGAGTGCAGTCGATATGTCGTCAATGACTGGACCGCTTGGTAAGTTGCGAGGGATTTAAGTACGGTAGCTAGTCTCTCAAAGGACCCTGGCATTGTAGTTGAGACGCGTGGCACCCGAGGTAGTAACCCCTGATCATCGGCGATTTGGAGATGACCGTCCCTGTTCGCTGATACTCCCAGAGTCTGGCCATGCTAAGGCTTGACTTCGAAACGGTCGGTGCACCAGAAACCCGTCTCGTTTTCTGGGGCCAACCCCCCTTGAATAGCTTCCCGATGTGCCGCGATCCAAGGGGAGTCCAGCCGAACAGAAGTCGTCATCTTCTGGTACCACGGGCGTAGCGTCTTCATGATGCCAAACAGAAAAACCTCGTTGCTTGGTTGGTCTACACTGACGGCTCCGCTCACATGGCTATGCCAGAAGAGATGTGCGTAGCTGGCAAAGGCCAGCTCGTCGGCGTGCCAGAGATGGTAGTCGGACATGTCTTTCGCGTCAAAATTGCTCCCCTCGAACCGGGACGGGATGCGAAGCGGCAACGAGAGATACAGAATGCAACTCTCCGCCAGGGTCATATGGCACGTCTGTATATTGAAGTCGCCTAGCCATTGCGGTTTCGCTTGCCCGCCGTCCTGGGGACCAGCCAGGAGGAAGTCTTTGGCTGTCTGGTGTATGAAATAGACTCTGCCATTGTAGACGTCCAAAAAGTACTTGCACGCATCGAGGATCCAGGTGCGGAAGCATGCTTCGTTCTGCAGACCCAACCCGTGCATGCTTCCATTGGGGAGGTCCCGAATGTTGAGAGCGATGTTGACTTCCCGCAGAGTCAGCGGTCTCGCTGCGGCAACGACAATCTGAAACAGCCTCCGCACGTCTTCTTGCTGCGACTCGCGAACACGGGTGAGAAAGCCGAGGTAGGCTTCCTTCACGGTTGTTGGCAGTGTTTTGAAAATGCCGATCCAGCCCCGGGACACTCGCGGCACGCCATCTCGCATCCTTAGCTCCAGGTAGTCGAAGAGCAGCTTGACGTACAGGTAGGTCCTGTCTTCTTTTGGCCGGACCATTTCCAGGAGTTCTTGTCTGAGTGTGGCATCTTGGATGCACTTGAGTGCAAAGCCGTCGAACCTGGCGATGACGACACTCTCGATGTCCTTGCTGATGTATTTGCGGCAGTGGGGGTCCTCTTCAAGCTTCAGGACAACGACATCGGGAGCGTCGATCATCTGCGGAGCCGAAACCAGAGGACGGGTGGTGAGGAAGAACTTTACCCGAGGGTCCGGGCCAGCGAGGTACTCGGCTATCTTCCTGCACAGCTTGTCTGCCGAGTCGGGCTCGCACTCGTCAAACCCATCCAGGACCACCGTGATACTGCCCGGTCCACAACTAGCCGCAGTCTCCTCGAGGATGCTCCACAGCAGATCAAAGTTGCACCTCACTTCCTCCGGAAGCAGGTGGCCGATCTTGGCGCTAATTCCGTCGACGAGGCTCGGCTGGCCCCTGAAGAGCTCGTCCAGCACCCTGCACAAGGCCGTGGTGGCCGCGTTCTGGCCCTTGCCGTTATCCTTGAAGAAGAAGGCGCAGACTGTCGTGTCCCTCCACTTGGGCAGCTCGGTCAGCAATGACTTTGACAGGACTGACTTGCCCGACCCGGGAATCCCCTCGAGAACAAAGACGCCCGACTCGCCGGCGGCCCACTTGACAAAAGCATGATGTGTGAGGACTCCGGCCCCGGTGCCGTCTTGGGGAGAATCGATGCTGTCGAGGTACGCCTGGTAGACAGCATAAGGGAGGTCCTCGGGGAATTTGAACTTGAGCAGCGTCTCAACTCGCTGCTTGTGGAGGGCGTCTTCGGAGAGCGTGTGCAGCTTGTCCAGGAGATGCTGCTCGTAATTGAGGCTCATGTAATCTTCTAGGTGCTTCTCGCTCTCTTTGATCTCGGCAATCATGCAGTTCCAGTCATCGAGCTTCAGAATATCCCTTGAGATGGTGGTGAAGGGTCGGCAGTAGGTGTAGTATGCTCGCAGCTGATACTCAATGAGGAGCTTGTACAGCGCAACAATCTCGTCGTAAATTACCTGCCGCAGCGCGCAGAAGCTGTGCGGGCTTTTCCAGTACGCGCGGTTGAGGAGGTCGAGAACTTGCCCGTACCATGTGAAGCGCGACATGACGTAGGAGAACCCTGCCTCGCGGGCGGCAATCTGTTCGGCGTGGTTGACAATGATCTGGCCTGTTAGCATGATAGGGGGAAGGAAGAGAAAAGGGGCAGCGTACTGGCAAGATGATGGTGCAAATGCCGGTCCATGCGAGTGACGCCGGCGGGGAGGATGCCAGAGCAAGACCCACAGCGTCTTTGGTCTTTTGGATGAAATGCACGGCCGAGGAAACTACGCCCTGATGGCCCGAGTCCCGTCTTGCGAGCTCCAGGTATTCCTGAGCGAGTCTCGTGAAACATGATTCCTCGCCGGAATTGGAATGCTCCTCGTCGTCGCTCATCGGCTCTCTCTGAGCGCGTGAAGAGCGACGAGACCCAAGTAAACCCCCGCCGGTACCAGCGATGTTGTTGAAGAGCTCCTCGTAATTCTTCACCAGCGGTTTGAGTGCCTCATCGCCTCTGACTTGGTCGTAGGCTTGCTCCCAGACGTCACGGGCCACGAGGGCGATCTCCTGATGAGAGTAGCCCGGAGAGGGACTGCTGCGTCCCAGTGGAGCGGTTTCAAAGGACGAGAACCGAGACGTATCCCGGGCGAGATAGCGCGGGGACAGGACGAGCGTGGACGAAGGACGACGGAAGGCTGGAGAGCAACTTGCGACGCGACGTTCGGGCGATGAAGAGGGCGACGGCGCGGAGGATGAGAGCCTGAACGGCGGCGGTCGAAAAGGCGAAACCTCGAGTGGGGGAAGCGCACTGGGAAGAAGCGATGTTTTGTCGGGCAGAGGGGACACGGGCCGTGGGTGTCTGGGACGTCCCCGGGGAGATATTCTCTGTCTCCTTTTCCGACGACCAGGAAGTGAACAGCAAGCCGTCAAGCCCATCTTTCGCCGAGGTGGACAATAGAGTTGCCTTTTGTTCGGCCCGTTCTCGAGAATTATGTTTGCTGGAGCGCGTCAGCCGAGAGCATAAAACTGGATGAAGCTGAGAATCAATGATGAGGATCTTGCTGGTAATGTGAGTCAAGTGAGCCCGATTGCAATTTCGAGGGAAGAGGAGAGTGCAAAATAAGGATATTTGGGAAGTTGTGGCTTTGGTCACGTTGATGAAGCCGGAAGAGGCAAGAATGACTGCCCTTGATGACAGCCTGGAAACAGCGAGAACACCTTCCTCCCGTTCCCCCCTTAAGACCTCTCCACCCGGATTGTCTCGGTCACCATAATCCCAGTATGTCCATGTCCATCCCCCTGGCCAGCCCTAGTTGTCCTCTCCTCATCCGACCTCCTGGCACTCCGCATCTGACTCCGGCGGTATTCATCCAAAATCTCCTCATGCGACGAATTACTATGACCGCCACCAACACCACGACCACTCCCGCCCCTCCCCCTGCCCACCGTCGTCCTCGTAAACGGCCCATTCACCCCCAGTTTGACATCACTAAAACTAATCTCATCATCGACGCTCCCATTCCCATCCTTCAAGTTGTCCACGGACGTGTCATCCCCGCCTGTACTCGCACCACCCTTTCTGGACTGCTGAGCGATGGGCCTGCCGTCGGCGCCAATCAACCCGCCGCCGATGGTGCGCAGCGGCAGCGAGTGGCTGCCGTCGGGTCCCGCAGACTGCTTTTGGTAGCCTTCTGCCGAGGAAGAGATCTCGCCGAGTAGGAGGCGGAAGGCGCGCCTGTAGAGGGGCCGGCAGACGGGGATGCCGATGCAGATGAGCGTGATGGCCATTTCGGCCGATGACCAGACTATGAGGCCGACGCTGTCTTCTGTTGGTGGGGTGGAGGGAGAGCAGGGCCAGGTGGTTAGTACCTAGTGCCGAGGGTGGTGAAGGGGGGGAAAGGGGGAGGGGGACGTACTGAGGTAGTTGGCAGTGTAGAGGCCTTCAACCTCTGTGGTGCGTTTAATGCCCGCTGCGGCAGCGCTTGGGAGGTTGAGAGTTAGCTGTTATTGTGTTGGTGCGGTATGGGCCACGGCGTGCTCACATCAAACCCAGGCTCATACTCCCGGCAATGGTGTATTTTTCGCGTTGTGGCATCTGAAGAGGCCAGACAATGATCCAGGGAAAGAAGGCGAAGAAAAAGTCGACGAGGATTGTGGAGACTGTCAAATCAGTTGAGTTGGCTGAGGTGGTGTCTTACGCTGTGCCTCGAGGCTGACAGTGACATACCACAGAGGATGTAGGACGTTGGACGCGTGTCGATGGGGCAGTGGCCGCCTTCAATGCGCCTGTCGTAGACGTAGTTCAGCGGTACGCATGAGAGCCAGAAGCAGAGTACTTGAGCTGTCGAGAGTTAGCGCTGTATTTGAACCGCAGACTCGGGTTGGGGCCAACTCACCGATGGATGCCAACATGACGAGGACCATGGCGCTCCGAATGGCAATTCGGTGCCACGCTATCGTGACAAGGCGGAGCAGGAAGAAGCCGAGCGAGGCTTTAGCGATGGCCATGCCGACGATGGCAAAGGCCTGGCCAATGCACTCGTAGAGGGTTGCCTTGACAGCCAGGTCTATTGACCCAATCTCCTCCATCGCTTGCCCAAATCCATATTGGCCGGCGAGGTGAGTGAAGACTGTGAAGATGAGCAGGAAGATGAATGCTACAATGTAGACGTGGTCGTCCAGGCCGTAGGATGCGAGACAGACGATGCGAGTGTAAAGGCGCAGGAGCAGAAAGAAGAAGACAAGCCCGGCGAGCAACCACATGACACCCAACGCCCAAGGGGCGTCGCCCTTGAGACCCATTTCGTTCGAGTGCTGAACTGGCCCAGGAGGGGACTGTCAAAGTTCAGGCGTCCAAAGCGCTCCTCTTCGTAGAGAGAAGTTGTACGCGCAGAATGGCCATGAGACGTCAGTATAACAGACGACATAGGTATTTAGCTAGTGGCATGCTCCTGAGAATCATTGTTTAGACGGGTGGACGAACTGATGGCGGCAGACGGGAGGACAGGGCAGGGCAAGGACGCTGGTAACGCCTCGCCGTAACGCATGGGAGAATGATGGCGATCGGCCTCCAACCGAAAGCGTTGAGGTCTAGATGTGGCCGCGGATTCGACCGTTTTGCTTGCGAAGCAGGCGGCAGATGGTCCCAGAGCCTGCTCCATGGTGTCCCCGCGGCCCTCGGCCGCGCTTCCGCTGTCACAACAACAGAGACTGCGTTGATCATTCTCGTGTTTGGCAGCGAAGGATTGTGCAACTTGCCCTGAGACAAGTACCTACATAGGGTTTGCTTTGTGGATCCATGCCTGTGTTGGAAAGACGCAAAGGGGAGGCGAGGTCGGCAACGGGCCGCTCCAACTGAACGCTGTCTTCCCCGTCTGGTTGTGACCAAAAGACTCGGACCCTTCGCAACAACAACCGGGGCACCGGGTCCTGGGTTACGGGAATGGGAAGAACAGGGGCACCCAGGCTATTGGATTGATCCCACTGAGTGGCCGGGGAGCGCGGATGAAGAGGACCCCTGTTCTTACAGATGCAGTTAGGTAACCCCGTGGAGGACGAGACATTTTTTCGGTATCCAGGGGTTCGAGATGCGGGGACACAGGAACAGTGCCGGTCGCACCCATCATCCATGGGCTGTCTGGTTCGCAACAATAAGCAGCGGGGGTGCTGGGGGACTCTCGAAGATGGAGACTTTGGCAAGGATTTGCGCATCTGGTGCGAGACGCGCTGTTCGCACACGCTCTAGGTTGATGACATATGGACTTGTCTCGTAAGCTGAGAAATACCTTTAGCTAGGTACTTGAAACGTTTGGCTTCGCCGCGAGGCCTGAGCAAGCCAATGAAGGCCTCCCCTTGTATTCGCTGATCTGCGAGATGCAGCGATGGCGAATGGCATTCCTGATTCGCTACGTTGAACCGGACTGGGGAGTTGGGGAAGGATTCGCCCAGATTTGAGGCGAGCAGCTTTGAACTCACATGAGTTTCGGTTTCTCTGAGGTTCACTTCTGCAGCCACAAACGGGTGAGGCAACCATGCCCGTCCCAAGCTGCCGGATCTCGGGGGCCACGAGTGTGGTCTGGTGTCTCAACTGGCACCTGGCAGTTTCTGGGCCGCAGATGCAACATCCGACACATTCATGCACTATAAAGTCGCACTCAGCCACCGACATTCTTTTCTTTTCTCATACAACCCCAAACCCACAGTTACTATACCGCTAACGTATGCCTTGTGTACCTTCGTTACACAGCGTTGAGAACTCAAGTCGATGTCGCCCCTGAAAATATTTCAACAAACCTGCAACGGGAAGAAGACAATCCCCGCTTTCTCATACGAGGAGATGCTGGAAAGTCCCCCAAACTCGCCGACATGCTCGAGCCGGGGAAGCCTCCGGGACCGGGATCGTCAGGACCCTCCGAAGACCACCTAAACTGTTGCGAGTTAGACCAAAATTAGGGGAGAATCCGGGCAAATGGTCTCCTTCCCCAAGACGCTCATGTGGAGAGCGCTAGAGCGTGCGCTAGGGAGCGGCCTAGTACTGTGGAGCAGCTTGGATGTGATCCGGACCAAATGGACGCGCAGTCCAATCCTAGGACGGGTCTGGGACATTGACATGGATAGGATCAAAAAGCACAAGTAGAACGCCATGCCACGCCATATCTAGCAGAGAAAGATCGACTATCCTAGGATATATTCCGTACACGTGTAGACATTCGCCTAAAAAAGCGGTATTCGTGATTCATATTTTTCTCTTTTCTCTGGGAGAGGAAACCGCAAGCATTTCTGGTTCATGGCTCTTGCCACCGTCAGACTTTCTTCCCCGTTGTCTCCCATTGGTTCTGGCATCTGGTCATCCTCGATGATCGGCTGCAGAATTGCCGTCTGCAATCTACCCCTGGAGCGTAACCATGCCGACCTCGTCCACACCTGCAGGTAGCATCCACCGTCTATCCGCTAAAACACAACGGGCGAGCAGCCAAGAGACTGCTGGTAAACCCCACTTGCATCCCAGTGATTCCGCCGCCGTTCATAACCTTGAACAAGTCCCTGCTGCTGTCCACAATTCGGGGTCTGTTCAGCGCAACCTCCCGAGTCCCCTTTCCGTCCGCGTCGTCAACTCTCCCCTATCCCAGAGCTCCTCACCCTGTGGCACGGCCACAGGCAAGAGTGCCGTTGCTCACCTTGTGGTGTTTTTACCCCTGAAATCGTGTTGCCCTGCCAAAACCCGGGCACATTTCATACCTCACTTATTCGTACACAGGCGCCATGCCGTCTGCGTCTCCAGCCGCCAACAGCGGCCCCGTCCCGACGGAGGCATCTGCCCTGGATATGACCTCCGTGCTCGCTGGCGTCTGGGGTAACAAGCTGGCTACCCTGGTCCTGGCGCCGTCCATTGCCGTCTTTCTGTGGTTCTTCGTCGCCTATCAAACATCGCCACTGAAGAAGTACCCCGGCCCCTTTCTGGCAGGTATGTCCATGTTGCAACAACCCATTCAATGTTGTTGAACAAGACGGAACACTGGTCTGACATGACTCAGGATGGACCAACCTCTGGCGTGTCTGGCAGGTCATCTCGGGCGAGTACGCGCCCCGGATGAAGAAGCTGCATGACAAGTACGGCCCGATCGTGCGCATCGGGCCGAACCTTCTCGACCTCGACATGCCGGAGCTGTACCGCATCATCTACGGCACCGACGGCAAGTGGGTCAAGTCCGACTTTTACCGCAACAGCAGCTCCGTCATCGACGGCAAGATCACCTACCACATGTTCTCGGAAACAGACCCGACGCTGCATGCCCAGATCAAGCGCCCGGTCGTGCGCCACTACTCGGTCCCGGCTGTGCTGGCCATGGAGCCGCTGATGGATTCGGTCATTACCGACTTTCTCGACACGTTGCAGAAGCGCTACGTCGAGCCCAATAAGACGTGCGAGTTTGGCGACTGGCTGAGCTACTACGCCTGGGACTTCATGGGCATGGTGACCTTCAGTACGAAGTTCGGGTACATGGAACAGGGCACCGACTTTGACGGCACGCTGGCCATAGCCGACAAGTCGATCGACTACCTGGCGCTGTGCGGCCAGATGCCATGGACCGACTTTGTGCTGGACAAGAACCCCATCTACCCGATTGGCCCGCCCAACGTCGGCAACGTCACGCGCATCGCCATCCAGAACCTGACGGCCCGGCTCAAGGGCGAGGACAAGAACTTCACCGAGGGCAAGCCCGACTTTCTGCAGTACTTCATCGAGTCCAAGTCGACACACCCGGACCTCGTCAATGACGGCAGCGTCATTGGCTATCTGTTGCTCAACCGTACGTACGACCCTCCCCTTCTTTTAAACTCACGTTTGATTACCTAACACCGTGAGTACACAGTCATCGCCGGCGCCGACACAACCGCCATCACGATGCGCGCCCTGTTCTACCACCTCCTCAAGCACCCACACACCTACACGCGCCTGCAAGCCGACGTGCGCGCCGCCTTCCCCTCCCCCTTCGAGCCCGCGTCCTACGCCAAGGCCCGGGCAATCCCCTACCTCGAGGCCGCCGTCAAGGAGACCCTACGGTACCACCCGGCCGTGTCCATGATCATGGAGCGGATCGTGCCCGAGGGCGGATTAACCCTCCCCCACGGCCTGGGTGTCGTGCCCGCGGGCCAGATGGTCGGCATGAACCCCTACATTGTGGGGCGGAACAAGAGCGTGTTTGGGGACGACGCCGACGAGTGGAACCCGGCGAGGTGGTTGCAGCGGGCAGGGGAGGGCGAGGACGAGTACAAGGACAGGATGCAGCGGTGGGGGCAGAGTCTTCTGGCGTTTGGCGGCGGGTATCGCATCTGCTTGGGGAGGAATTTGAGTATGATGGAGGTGTACAAGGTTGTGCCGACGCTGTTGGCGACGTTTGACATCGAGTTGGAGGATCCGAATGAGGTGTGGTGGACTTGCTCGAGGTGGTTTTATCGGACCAAGGGAGTCGTTTGTAGGCTGAAACCGAGGAGTGGTTAGGGAGAGGTTGGGTGTCAACAGAAACGAGCCTGTAAAAGGGGTGATTTGGGAAAGCCGGTATCCCCGAAGTCGCCGGTCGCCGGCTATACCGAGCTAAGCGCCTGCTCCTAGATGGCGGCATGGGAAACCTCTAGCTCCTTAGCCACAGCAGAAGCATACATGTAGTCGTCGACGACATTGATCACGGTGGTAGCCGCTACTCGAGCCTTCGGTGACGGTTACGGCTGCAACGGTGTGGTAGGCATGAGTGCTGACCTTGGCTACCGCTCTGGCCGCGGTTCGTCTACCTTTGACGCCAGCCGTGCAAACAGCAGCCACGACGATCGTAGGTGTTTGGGATTGGGCAACTTGACGTCCTCGTCCAGCTCAGTCAACTGACATGGAGACGCTTGAACATAGGGTGGGGGGGGGAGGGGATCATCTGTGGCCGGGACTGAGCTGGCGCGTCGATTGAAGGAAGTTTCCGAGTCTCCGAGTTGCTGATGGTGGATTCGACTTCTCTGGTCTCGGCCATGTATACTGCTGCGGCCAAGCGTGGAACCGCCGCAGCGTGTTGCCTATCATGATCGGAATCCGGAACTCGTTTAGAGGATAATTGAGGGCGTTGGGGCTCGAGAAAGCTCTACCAGGAGATTACTGATTATATACAGTGGCGTAAAGCACATGCCAGTCTTCAGGTACCTCAGCCCGTCCCATTCTCCCGAGCACCGAATGCGCTACTATAGCAGCAGGGTATCTTGGGATACAAACTCCCCTTCCAATGCTATCCCGAATACTCTTCAATCCAAAACCATCACACCCTGCCAAAACACCACCCATGCAAGGTCGGGCCACCAGAACAAAAAAGACAAAAGAAAAGGAAATGATAAAATGAGAGAGAGAGAAATGGAAAAGACTCAGTCAGAGCTCCTCCAACACCTCCCTCAGCGCCTCCTGCACAGCTCCTTGGTTATCCACGGCCACCTTACTCGGCGGCGCCCTCCTCTTCTGCGCGGCCCAGAGCTCTTGAAAGCCAGGTACGGCCCCCGGCTGATTGATCCCCGGCGCGCGAAACATAGCAGCCAGGGCCGCATTTCCCGCCGCCATCGCCGTCGCGCCAGTACTCGAAGTCCCCATCGACGAAACGCTTTCCTGAGGCGATTTACCCAATAAGCTTGTACTGGCGGAGCCTGCGGTAGGTGGGAGAGAGAGCGATAGCGTTGGAATGGCGGGTGAAGGAGCGAGTGACGGTGCAGACGGCGCCATTGACGCAGGCGTCGAGGAGGGACTCGTCTCGGTCGGCCCCGCCGCGTCATCGTTAGTGCTGCTGTTGTTGGTCCCGCCTCCTCCACCTCCGCCGCCCCACGGCCGCCACGAGACAAGCTTGCCCAGCGCCGACGGCGCTCGTGGGGTACTCCTCCGCCCGCCGCCGCCGTCTCTCTCCCTACCTCTTTCTCTACCCCTGCTCTCACCACCGCCCTGCCGCGATGTTGGTATATTCACTAGTGTATCCCTGAGAATGACACTGCCCCTCTTCCCTGCTGCGCTCAGGCTGCTCGATAGCATGGGCTGGGCCGTCACGGCACTGAGGTTGGTGCCTGCCGCGGTTGGGGAGCCGAGCGGTCGGAGTGCGAGCTGACTGGGCCGTGTCTTGAGCGTGTGGATGTCGAGCCCGTTGGCGAGGGACATGATGGATTCGTGTGAGACAACCCGCCGGAGACCGCCGTCGCGCGGGCGCTGTTCCACGCTTGGGTCGAACTGGGATGAGGAAGGGGAAGCCAGGGCATCTTCGTCGGCTCCGAGGTCGGTGGGGGGATTGAAAACGGGATAGCCGCCGAGGGAGGGAGAGGTGATGCTCGGCACATCGTCTGTGGTATATGGTGAATTTATGGTGGCTGGTGAATGTTCGTTCGATAGGAAGCTGGTCAGCGGTTGCGGCCGTGGAGGGTAAGCGTGCGGTAGATGGGGCCTGTCGGTTGATAACATGGCGGTTTCCGAGATGCTCCTGAGCGAGAACTCGGAGACTTTTTTCCTGTGCGCCGTCTTCCAGCCCGGCGACGCTGGGTCCACGCTTGTGGTGGGTGAAGCGGGCGAAGGGAGGTCTGGAACTCTGTCAAAGACGGAATCCCTGTTTGCAGACCGCGGTGAACTCGGGGCCGATGAAGGGATAAACTCTGACTGGTCCTCGGTCTGGAGGGACCAGCGTGCGGCGGCGGACATGGTAGGGCGATCGCCCGGGGGCGGCGATAATAGAGGCCCTGCGAGCGCACCGCGCTGGAACCGGGCGGATGTACCGATAGGCGATCCAGGGGCAGAGAACTGTGGCGGAGTGAAGGTCCCCGATGTGAGCCCATGTCGCCGTTTTCTCGACTTCCGTACATCTGGCTTGTGGGAAACGTGATAATGATGGTGGATGTGCAACTCCTGAGAAACCCGTGGTGGTTGGGGCGGCGACAGAGGCTCCTTCTTTTCGAGCTCGGCGCGCAGTGTTTTCGGTGAACCGGGTTCTTGGTTTCCTGCCGGCTGGTGGTACATCAGGTGCTCGCGCAACATCTGTATCTCGTCGTTGGAGCTCAGGAGCATCTCGCGCAACTCTGCGATGCCCAGTTGCAGGTTGGCGTTGTCCTGTAACAGGTCACGCACGAAATGGGCCACGGCGCTTCCCCCGCTCCTGCTCTCAGTCATCGACTTCACGGCAGCGGCGCCCTTAAGTCTGCCGGCGGCCGTGTTGAGCTCCTTCTCCATCGCGCGCTGCCGCTCCATGCGGCCGATGACCTCGACGTGGCGCTCGCGTTCCTCGCGTGCTTCTTTCTCCATGCGCTCCAGCTGCTCCTGTAGGTCGCTGAGCCCCTTCTCGGCCTGCCTCCACCGGTACATGGTCGTGCGGGCTTCCTCTTCGGTGCGGGCGATGGTGGTCCGCAGTACGACCTGCTCCTCCTCCAGTATTGTGATTTGCCGCTCAAGGCTAGCTGCCCTGTCGGCTGCGATCTCCAGCCTCCGGACTTCTCGCTGCGAATCCAGCAGCGTGGCCTCGAGCAGGCCGATCTTGGTTTCGGCATCATTCACGGTGTCGTTGAGCTGTTCTAGCTCATCCCTCAGTCCGTGGTTCTCTTCAGTGACGGCTTTGTTCCTCGCTTCCAGTTCTGTATTTTCGCGTTCCAGTTGCTCGATGCGGGCGGTGAGTTCGAGTCGATCGCGTTCGGCCGAGACCATATAAGCTTCATGGCGGGCTAGCAGGGTCTGTAGCGTGAACGTCAGCGAGGGGAAGCCATCTTCGGGCCTTGGCCGGCATAGCCGCCAAAGGTCTTCCACCTTGGCCATCCTGTTCAGTGTAGTGTATGGCCGACGAAACAGAGCTGCGTCAAGGCAATCACAAACGTGTTCAAGGAACAATGCTCAAGGCTTGATGGGGCGACATCGACACAAAGAATGCACACGGGACTCGGTCAAAGGAAAGGCGCCATCACAGGAATGCGGGACGAAACTGACCTGCCCCATGCGCGCTGCCGTGTGCACGTCGCGCTCGACGCTGGACAGGACGGAGCAGTTGTGCTTCAAGAACACACAATCCTCCTTTCCACAGCAGCACCGGAGGTCGTCGGGCTGGCTTGCAGCAACAAACCCCATCGTGTGTTGCAACGTGTCAGCATCCGTGATGGGGATGCCAACCATGCCTATCGCGGTGGAGGGCAAAGTTGAAACCGGAATGCAAAAGGGGACAGTCACATAGTCGCGAGATTCGGTTTGTGGGTTGCTGATGGTCTGGGGTTCAGAAAGGATACAGGTGCCGTTGACCGGCGCCAGTCAGGAAGTGCAGCACAAGTCTCGACCCACAAAGATATTGTCGTCGTCGTCGCAAGCGGCGACCGAGTCGGGACACTTCGGACACGGAGGCGAGTGAAGTGCTGGAGCGTGCTCGGGCCGTTGCAGGTGAGACAATGAATCGAGTGGAGTTGGCTGCTGTTGACGGGACTTTGTCTTGGGTGGAGGCGCGACGTGGGGCTCAAAGTTTCACCGCCTGACGGGCCACTAATCGGGGTTATTGCGCGTGCTATCAAATCTTGGACCATTCAAGCCCCGCTTGTCGGGGGACTGGTGAGTTGATGAGTGAAGCATGGCGAAGATGCTCAGCGTCGTGCAATGAGGGGCTTGACTGGAAGAAGAGGCTGGGAGACCTGCCCAACAAGAAACCTGGAAGGAGCGGCCCGCTTGGTTGGCCTGCGGCAGATCCCTGTTTGGCCCGCCGAGACAGACACAGCGCGCCTGCGCATCAGAGAAGCCCCTTATCGTCGAAGCCAACGTGATCTAATCAGCAATTCAAGATCGTGCCGATAAACTCGAGATCTCGGAATTTCTATCTGTTTGCTCGACCGTTTCTGGCGAAAACGAAAAGAACACGACAAAGAGAAACGAATACATCTCGGCTGGTCTTCACCGCTTTGATGGGAAAGTCGCGTTCTACTATTACCCCGGCCAGTGGCAGACTGCGACCGATCCGAGTTGAGTTCGAGCGACCAGAACAAGCCGAAAGTACAATGATTCAAGCACCTAACGACGGTGAATCGCAAGGCCAAGTAGGTGGCCAGAGAGCCTTTTAAAAGCATCATGGATGGAAGCGAGAGCGGAAAACAGATACTAAGAAGGGGCCTTCCAGTCATCCTCGATTGATGCGGAGCAGGCCGCGACCACATCGTCTACGAAAGGCGATTGGTGAGGCAGCAGTGTATGCATAGACAGGTAACATTGGGGCACTGCATATGCCCATTCAGAATACGTTGCTTCCAGCTGGCTTGCGTTCTTTCCTGCCATGCCTTCTTGCTTTACTCCGCATTTATCACTACCGAACATTATCGCGATTCGTGGATATCAGCGAGTCGTGGCCTGTTATTATTTTTGCAGGTGCAAAATAGGAAGAGTAACCTAACAATTGTTAGTGCACCTTAACAATTTCAGGGTACTTTTCCCCGTCTGATATACTCTAAAGATACCTGAGGCCACGACTCGCTGACGCCCATGACTCGCTCCTAATGCACGTTAACGTCAAACTGTCAACCCACCAAGTCTGAAGATCCGAAGCGGCACTCCGGCGTTCACGGCTAGGTCCGATTCTCAATATTCGCAATATCATTTCTCGTCTCTCTCCTATCTCTCAAGCCAACCGCGGCCCTTTCGGGTTCTGAGAAGCGGGCTGACTTCGCCGACAACTTCGCGACCGATCTTGCACCACTCATCACAGTTTTTGGCGAGCAGGTCACTAAACAATACCTGAGCGAGACTGACATCCTCGACGACGTCATCTTCAGGCTAGATCCGTCAGGTATTCTCACGGCCGTGGTTTCGGCCATCCGGCTGTACGGTGGGGCGTCTCTGAAGTGCTTTATCGGCCGTGCCCATGAAGCACACGGTGTCGCTGAGGCAGAGCTGTGTCCGTCGACCAGGCACGGCGTATGCGAGCTGTTGTCTAAGGGAGGTATCTGTCGCGTCTTCGGCAGGCCCATGATTCTGAAATTATCTACGCCAAGGGCGAAAGTTTCTACCCAACTGACTTCGATCGCACCGCCGACAACGGGCCGTCCCACTGTGGCATCTACCCGCCCAGGGACGCCCTGACCGCCGACGTTCCTGACCGATGGAACGAACAAGCTACAGCTTCCTTCGTCCCAAACTCAAAGACTGATGGGAACCTAGGGCTGATCCAGAATTATTTGCGCCCTACCAAAAATTTTCCCTAAACGTGGGGACGCGACGACTGAAGAAGCCGTTCTTACTGAGTCCTGTTACATGATGACAGCCCCCAAGCTCGCATGTTCGCATCTAGGGAGCATTTTAAAGCGGAAAACATAAAGCTGCAGCCTACCCAGAGCACACTGCGGCGGTCGTTCGGCTCTGGGTCTCCAGGGACAGGCCTTGGAGTACAAGCATGCCACGCTGTTGGAGGAGCGGTTGGACGACCGCCGTGCCGTTCAGGCTTTCGGTGAAGGAGAGTATGACGTTCCGTTTTCAGATAGCCAATGTTGTTGGATTTGGCTGATCTTGGAAGCCATATAGCGACGCTGCGGGTTCTGATGGCACCTTCGAAGGAGCAAAAGTCTCGCTATTATTCATACGAAGGCAGCGCTTCTTGAGATAATAGGCCAGGACGTTTTCAAGGCCTTCATGCTCGAGGCGGCATCCATTGTGGACAAATTGAGCGATGTCTCGGTCCGTCAGCGACTGAGCTCTTCGGCCGACAGAATAATGCGGCACAGAAGGCGGCGGACATCCCCATGGCTACCTCCACCACGCATTATCGCTGGCGTTTAGCCTCCACAAACGCGACTGTATTGAACTGCTGCTTCGACACGGCGCCAACATTGACCAGCGGTACGAGGGAGGCAAGACGCTGCTGTCTGCAGCGATGGAGGCCGTTTCTGTCCGACCCCAAGGTCCGAAAAGGTCACGGTGGACAAGAGCGGTCGGCCTTGACCATGACGATTCAGGCGGTGACCCAGTGCTCGTCGCCTTTCTCATCCAGTACGGTGCGACTTTCGACACAAACATGCACCACATCGTACTCCAGACGGCGGTTGCCTGGACTGGATACAGCACCTGTATAATTGCGAATACAACGTGGTGGGCGTGTTGAGCAAGATCGGTGCGCTGAGGATGCTTCTGGTCGCCATCATGGTGGAGGAAGGCGAACTTCACGAAAGGAAAGGGGCCCTCCCTTTGATAAAGCTGCTGCTCCAAATTGGTGCGTCACCCTTGAATAGTTTCCGTTTCGCTTTTGTCCATCCTCGACACTCTTCCAGCCTGTTGTTAAAGTCAAGGCATCGCCAGCGAAAGAAACACCGTAACAAAGGTAAGGTATGGACGGAACCGCACCGAGGAGGAGAGCCTTGCTCTGTTAGTTACTCAATAATGTCGATGATGTGTCGTATATAAACGGCTTAGATCCCGGTTCTTGTGACGTCTCTAGCCAATCATGTCTACTGCCCGTACACCTTCTCCTCCGGAAGGCGCCAGTTCATGATGTTGGTTGAACCGATCAGTAGCGGACCCCTCCTAACGTCGAGTAGCCGAAGCCTGCCTGATTCCATGTGGTATCCTCGCTTCGTGGCGGCACGGTCTAGCACCGCATCGCTGAGGCTGGCACACAGTTTTCCCTCGATAGCCCCCGGGTTGCTTGCCAGAGTTCACCGAACGTCGGGTGGGCGGATTTCAGAAAACAAACTTGAGAATTGGTGAGGATTCTTGCTTGTGAAAGCACAACACTGTGTTCCCACGATAGGCATCAGTTCAAAATATCCCAGTTGTCAGATGAAAGCACCACACCGCGGTTCTTGTTGCTAATTACACGTAGCTCCTCGTCCTATTAACAGTCCACCTCTACACGCGCCTCTACTGCACTTCCAGCCTCAGCGCATCATACTGCACGTAGACACTCCTCGGCAATAGCGCGCTTTCGTAGTCGGTCGCGTTGTACGGCAAACTCAGAATAATCTCATTCCTCGTCTTTCCCGTTGTAAGATATTCTGTTGGGAACGTGAATTTGTGAGATACTTGGTAGCAGGCGATGCCGCTGCGGACTCCGCAGGATGAGGAGTGGTGGTAGCTGTCAGGTGGAGCGTGTTAGTTCTTAGAGAGCTGAGCTCACCAAAAGGTTGTCGGCAGCGAGGGAGAAGGGGCCACTTAGCCACTTACGGGATAATCCACGGCTCCAACTCATGCCCGTTGACAGCGACGACAAAGGGCAGGTCGTTGTATGCCTGTGTTGCGTTGAACACATCCGTGTTTCCAGCTGCCGTCTTGGCTCCGGCGAGCTGGACAGTAAAGGTGGCCAGGCTGGTGTGGCGAAGCTGCTTGTCGTCAAGATCAAACGTGATGGTCCAGTTGTTGATCTCACCGTGTCCCTCGGCCTGCTGCGGCCGGCGGAAGTTGGCGTAGCCGCCGAAGACCGACCAGTGGATGTAGTTGAAATCCTTGGCCTCGTCGCTCGTGCCCACGTGGAATTTCACGCCCTCGGGGAAGTCGTCGATGAAGTCGTAGGCGCCCCAGTAGATGCGGTATTCGGGTGGGTGCAGAGGGTGGTGCGCGTCTCGGACATTGCCATGTCGCCACTCGCCGCCGGACTTATCCGGGGTCCCGATGCGCCAAAGCTCGGTGCCGGCCGACTCGGCAGACCACACCAAGCGCCCGCTGTTTGTCGTCTTGCCGGCATCGACGACGATCCCGTCATGCACGAAGTCGCCGAAGATGCCGTCGGCGTACACCGTCAGTCGGTACGTGCCCGCCTTGATCCGGTCGATCTGGACCTTGCCGCTGTTCGAGTCGACGTTGGCCCAGTACTGGTACGCCGAGGGATCGAGAACGTTATCCTGGAAGTCGACGCCGTCTTGTGCCAGGACGGCAACCGCGTTCTTGGCACCCTTGGGCAGCGCGATTTTGGCCTCCCACGAGCCTCGTCCCCCGGTGGGGACGTAGTTGGGCACGTACTGGGCGATGGCATCGTAGAAGTCGGCGTTCCAGGACGGCGACGCAAACTTGAGGGCCTCGTCCCGAAGACTCCGCCACGATCCGCCAGCAGGTCCCTTGTTGAAGTGGTAGTATTGGGGACCAAACGTGCGGTCGAAACCATCGGTGATGTTGGGGGTGCCGTCGCCGTGGTGGTTCGAGACAAGGTAGTTGTAGACAATGCCGTCAACCACCAGATCGGAATGGAGGGGCCCGCCAAAGTAAGTGTCCTTGGTGTTCATTACGAGCCAGGCCCCAAATGTGGAGTTATCATTGATGTAAGACCCATCGGCGAACAGGCCGTGAGCCGTCTGATCCCGCCACACCGCTGCAAAAGTGTATTTGGTGAAGTAGTCAGAGAACTTCTCGACATACGGGTCGCCAGTGCGGTTGGCCAGATACCAGGTCGCGTCCTGAACAGTGATGGCGTTTGTCGAACTCCCGGTCGCCGGATTGGGAACTGGCAGCGGAGCCCATGTTTGGTCATCCGTGATGAGATGAGTCCAAATCTTGGTGTTGGGCCGGAACAGAGTCCTGAACTCTTGGAGGTTGCGCAAGAACGGCTTGGTAGAGTTGTGGTATGCGATTCGACTGAAGGTGTGCAGCCCCGTCTCCCCGTCACGCAAGAACCAATACTGCTCCAGGACCTGGCCGGTGGGCGGGTAGACCTCGCTCATGACGACGCCCCCGTACTTGACATCGGATGCGTCCACTCCCTGGAAGACCTTGTAGGTCGCGCCTTTCGAACCAGGTGTGTACGAGCCGGATGGAGTGCAATAGCAGTCGAGATACGGCCCAATGCCGGACCTGCCATTGCCGGTAGCTCCTCCGGGTGTTACTGGAGTGCTGGATTGGGTACCGAGCAGGTCTTGGCCATCCAAGGTGAGGAAGTCGATCGCGCCAGTACTCTTGTTGACCGAGAAGGCGAGCCTGTCGTTCCCGATCCTCACGGACTGGGAAGTCTCATTGGCCGTTAAGACTGCCGAGACGAGCGAGGAGGAGGAGGAGAGCACCAAAAGGCTCCTGAGAACGGAGTTAAGACGCATTGTAAAGATTGTCTCTCGGGACGCGCCCTCGAGGCGACGACAATGCCAAGGCGAAGTTCTGGGCTCATGTTACCTACACAAGACTGAAGTTGGCTTGGCTCCTTATACTAGGTATCTCTTCGCCGTCTTCGGGAATGAAGGGGAATGACGGTTGGACGCAGGAGACAATGGGGTAATCCCAACCGAATTGCATTGTGGGGGAGGCAGGGAGCAGGTCTCCTATCGCGTGGAGTCAGGTTTGAGTATTTCCGTCAATGGTCGCCTAGTTGGCTATGCTTTGCTTCGCGCCAGTGTAGTCATGGGGATGAAGTGATCGGCAGCCGGACGGTGGCTGGGTTTGGAATTGAACATCCTCGGTATTTTGATGCCCCGAGAATACGCAATAGCACTCGCACTTGTCCAGCACCGAACCCCTTTGCTCAGGCTGTCTTTCTCCCATAGTCGCCGTTGCTGTTTCTGAGTTCCCCGCAAAAACAGCCTTTCTTGTCTGTGATGCGGACTAACATAAGACCACTTCAACGTCAAAATTTATCTACGCTCCGAGTGTTGAGCAACCTCGCACGACCGCCGCAGAAAGCGGTTGTACGCTTCGGGAGAGGGATGTCCGGTCCAAACATCAGGGGTACGGTGGGGATCTTCTCACGCGAGAACGGCTGCCGAAGCGGGGAAACACCCCTGCATATCTGGGGAAAGCTTAGCTTTGAGGATCTGCAACAAACGCCGGTAATAAAGCGGCGAGGAGTGTTGTAACATGCTGGGGTTGCAGGGTGCACACTTTAGGAATGTGCAACAGTTGTTTTCAGGCACCTTACCTTGCTTCTCTCCAGTACCGGATTGCTGGTGAGCCGCGAAGCTGCCTTGTCCAGTTTGCGGCAGTATTTGCGGAGCACAACGTGGTTCGGGCTGAGGAGACTCCGGGCCAGCAGCCGGGCCGGACTTGCCTGTGATGCCGGCAATCCCGACGCTGGTAGGCATCTTGTGATGTGTCAGCCGGTGGTGGTATGTTGAGATGTAATGACGTTAACGTTTAAGCGACCCGGAAGGGTTCAATGGCCGTGTGTGAAATTCGAGGTGTTGTGTAACGACTTTATTTTGGTACCTGACTTGTAAAAAACTGAGATCAACACTTCTTCGTCTGACTATGTCCTTCCTTTGCTTTTCATCCCGATTCGCAGCCGAGACCCCGGCTTGTCTCCGACGTTGGGGCGATTTCTCAGCATCCTCCGGGCTTCTCGCCAGCGGCTGACTGTCCAGTCCAGTTCGGAGGCCGAACGCGATATGATTGGTCGGTTTGTATCCCGCTCGGCGGCGACCCGGCCCCGGGCTTCGAAGATGAAGCTCTCCATCGGAAGGGTGTCGAAATGATCATTTTGTCATCTCAATCGTTATTTGTCATCTGGGTTCTGAATTCTCAGCTGCACTCGGAGCTCAATTGCACTCAGATCTGTCTTTAAGAAGAGGGCAGAGACCGACGATCAGTAAACTCAGAACAGCACAACACCGAAGTCCAACAACACCGTTCAGCAGAAGAACAACACCAATTGACAGCACCAATCTCCTTTCTCGCACATCATTCAGACCTCAGTTCCCGCAAGATTTCACAACTCCACAATTGTGCCCCATACTTGCCCCTCAATTACACTCTGCACATCTACCCTCGCCGACATGTCCTCTACCTACAACCGAGCAATCCTCGTCACCGGCGCCACCGGCAAACAAGGCGGTGCACTCATAAAGGTCCTGTTAGCCGAAAATTCCGGCTTCCAGATCCTGGCGGTGACCCGCAATAGCAACTCCCCGTCCGCCCAGCGCCTGGCGGCCAAATCATCCGACATCACCCTTGTTCAGGGCGACTTCGACGACACCGAGGCCATGTTCAAGGCTGCTGAGCAGTCCACATCCCATCCCATCTGGGGTGCATTTAGCGTTCAGGTATGTGCCCATACCACTTGCACATCTGATACACTTCAAATGCTAACCAGCCAGCAGGTGCCAGCATTCAACAAGAACGGAGCGGCCATCGAGCAACGGCAGGGGCAAGCCTTTGTAGACTCGGCCATCAAGCACGGTGTCAAGTACTTCGTCTACACGTCGGTGGACCGCCATGGCGACTCGTCCATCAAGAACCCGACCAACGTTCCCCACTTCGCCAGCAAGCATCACATCGAGCAGCACCTCATCAGCAAGGCCAAGGGCACCGACATGGCTTGGACCATCCTGCGTCCCGTGGCCTTCATGGAGAACTTCGCCCCCGGCTTGGTCGGCAAGGTCTTCCCATCGGCGTGGAAGGTGATGGTCAAGTCGCGGCCACTCCAGCTCGTCGCCACCGACGACATCGGCGTCTTCGCAGCCAAGTCGTTTCTCCAGCCCGACCGGTTCAAGGGACAGTCCATCTCGCTGGCCGGCGACGAGCTCACGTTCGACGAGATGGTGAAGGTGTTTAAGCAGACGACCGGCGCAGAGCCGCCGCGGACGTGGAACTGGGTCGCAAAGTTGATGCTTTCGATTTCGGAGGAGATGGGGACCATGTACACCTTTTTTGAAAACGAGGGTTATGCGGCCAATATTCCAGAGCTGAGGAAAGTGCATCCTGAGCTGAAGGGTTTAGGAAGGTGGTTGAAGGAGACTCGCAGAATGGCGTAGCCGGCGGCACAGACTCGTCCCCTGAATTGTACCAGTCGTGGGTTTCTTTCATTTTCTTTTCTGCTTTTTTTTTTTTTTTTTTTTTTTTTTTGGCGTAACGTACATGATAATGTTAAGCGAATGACACAGACAAGCGAATGATACACAAAATCGCACCCATAATTACATCTCCTGATTTTCTCTTTTGGTATTGACGGTCCGGCTGACCGCGCGCTGACCGCTGACTGGCGCCGCACGGGCCCAGCCGGTCCGACATGTGCGGGCATATCTTACGGGGACCCTTGCTAGCGCCGTGGATATCCCATCATATTGTTGGAAAGCCAACAACCACGATTCCACGGTAATACGCCTTTTGGGAGCCTTCCAAACAGTGAACTTTTCGAGTGCTTAGGACCAACCCAGAATTGTCAATTCAGTTGTCTTCTCCCTCAAGTTACCTGGGTACTTCCCAGACCCGACCAGGGTACGACACCGGCAACCCAGTTTCCGAGTTTAAAGTGCCATCACTTCCAACACCACTCTACTACGGAAGATAGTGGCTGTTATCAGCCACCGTAGCTTGGTGGCGTTGCCGAGCATGTCCTCTATGTGGGGACAACTGCTGTGAAGCAACAACTCATGCCTGACCCCACCACGACTGTCACACATCATCCCGATCCCAATCCCGATCCCAGTACATCGAACAACTTCACCGCGGCATGACGCTTTCGGTAGGTAACCTTCAGCTACTCTGAGTCTCTCCTTGCCTAAATTTCTCGATCGTCGACGCAAAACGGCGAATCCCATGTGCTTGAGCAACCATGCTTTTGATCACACAGCTGCCCTGCGAGATAATCGCCGAAATCCTGCGCAACCTGGACCATCTCCGGTTCCTATCCCCGGCTCTCCTAACGTGCCGCCATTTCTACACCTCCTTCAAGGAATACCATGGCATCGAAATCTCGATCCTCCGCCACCAAGTCACCCCGGCCCTCCTTCCACACGCAGTCGCCGTGGTGGAAGCGTCGCGTCTGCCTCGGCGCAGGGTTTTCACAAGCTCGTTCCGGTGTTTGCTCGACGAGCTCTACGAGCGACCGGCGCGTCTGGTGGACCGGCTGCCGACTTTTCCAACGACCTTGATTTGGAAAATAAGCCGCACTCATGACGTGATTCACGCCTTCGCGACCGACTTTGCGACTCGCGCCTTGGATTGCATTGCACCTGGAGCTGCATCAGCTGGTCCATGCACAGTGGTAGCGCTATCGCCTCTCGAATACTTTCGCTTCCGCCGGGCATTCTACAGGGTCGAATTGTTCTATACGCTTTTCCAGGACAGTTTGTTTAGAAAGAACATGGACAACTGGTTTTTTTCGAGACATCCGTTTTGGGAAAACGAACAAATCGGCTGTGTACACGAGTACTTGCTAGCAAGGTTCGCCGAAGGTTAGTACGCTATTGTCAGAACGAACGATAACCTGAGAAGTGTCTAAATGGGTTTGACGCCTTTCATAGCTTCTCGCGATATCGTCGCCCATGATGTTTTCTTCGGGGAGATCTCGATCGACTATCTCACGCCGGGGGAAGACGACCGATATCACACTTGGGTCGGTGCCCTTGAACTCCTCATTCGCCATCCCACTTTTGTAGCGCCTTGCTGACGCTTGAACGACTAGCTATCTCAAGGCGTTGAATTTGTTTACAACCTGACAGTTGCGGACTCTTACGATGCCAAGCACAGCATGTTGCAGTCTGCTCTAGACTCCAGACCCCGCTGTGTCAACTTGCTTGAGGCCTTGGTCGCGTTTCTCGACGGCCTCTACCTCCCGGACGGGAACAATATGGAGCAGCTATCTGAAGAAGAGTTGCGCTCTTTTACCCCAGGCCACGCTTATGATCCTGCCCAGGACGACATAGACCGAGGGCCGTACGAGTCTTGGCGCCACACTCGCGCAGATTTGAGGTTGGAGACATCGCTCATGCACGCTGATGACGGCTGGCTCCGTGAGCGCGCCTACGTGTTTTGGGACCAGGACCGCGTGCAGACGTATTTCAGGGCTGGGTTTGGGGAAGGCCCATCTCCAGATGCCATCCGCGAGCGGGAATATCATGATATGCTGGATACGTTCGCTCAAAGGTCAAAGATCTGGCGGAAAGGAGGCAGGGGTTACTGGAGCACTGATGACACGAGCCGGATAGTGTGGCCCGATAAACTGAACTAGGATGAAAGTTTTAGGATGGCCGCAACGGCGTTCTCAAGCCCATTCTAGTGCGGCTATTGAAAAGAAAGACGCTATCCTACTGCATATTGCCATGCTGCCAAACGCCGTGCTCTTGCCCAGGTACCGTTAACCTACGTGCATTAACGACACACTTCGGGCAATCATCGCCTGTAATACTTGATGTCAGGAATCACACCTAGCAGTCTGAGCAGCGAGGGTGTGGCATATTATAGGATTGCGGTTATAGTGTCCCGCTTGTTTACTGCCTCATATTCAACGGCTGCCAATTTGGAACACTCTATAATTCCTATGCTTGAATGCCCCGACAAGCGTCATACCATGAACCTCGAGATTTGAGTATAGTATATCACGAGAATTTAAACTGAAATAGCGCCAGTATACGAACTTTCCAAACTTGTTGTCGATGTAGCTACTATCTGCAAAAATTGCCGATATGGGTTTTTCACCCGGCCCACGAGGGCGCGGTTTTCCTGTATAGTAAGTTGTTGAAGGTCCGGCACGCCTTAGGGCACAGCGGTGTAGGAATAATAATATCTGGTTATTTCCACCAAGAGCTTTATGCTGAGTTTTGTTGATGACCACGCGTCTCCTGAGGCACTGTTTGTAGAAGCGGTTCTAGAATGTTGCTTCCTCTGCCGGCCAAACCTGGAAACTGAAAGTGCTGCATTGACATAATTTGGCTGCGGCTGTAACTAAACATGGTGTCTAGGTACATAGGTCTGGTGGTTTAGGCCATCATGTGCGAGGGTTTCTTGGGGACTCGAGGCGTTTCAGGCGGTCCCATATAGCTCGCCGCAACCTTCCCCCCTGTATCAACCACAATCTTCTCAATATATACCTCTGGTGAGTTAACCCTCCACATGAGCTCATGCGCACCCGCTTCCACCCTCCCCAATCTCACCGTCTTTGTCCAAACCTGATCGGCCACCTGGTTCGACCACTCGGGCGGCATGGCCCCGGCACTCGGCACATCGACATAGTCTCCCAGCACCCTGGTGAAGTTTGCGGGATTATTGTCCAGCGTCAAAGAGAATTCCATCTTCAAGCCCGGATCCGTGTCCAACCCCCCGTTGATGTAGACTGTTGCCGTCAGGTCGGTGGACGAGCTGAAGAGGAAGATGGGATACACCGCTTTTGCGGCCTTGGCCTGCTCGATGCTGTCCCTTGCGGCGAGGAACGGGCGGAGGGCGACGGAGCCGGACTCGCTTCGCGTTCCGAGGTTGGGTATGTGGGTGAAAACAACGGGGCTACTAACGTTTGTGTTGTCACTGCTCTCTCCTGGAGTTGACTTCTCAGAGAAGTGCGGCGCCTCTATTGAAATGTGCCCTGCTGACTCGGGGAAACCTTCGAACGTGTCTGGGGCTCGGACGTTGAGCACGGGGATATGGATCTGGTCAAAGTAGGGGTACCGAGCGGGCGTCGAGCGGATTCCCACAAGAAGGGTAGAGTTGAAGTTTGCCGGGACCGACGGCCAGTCAATGGTCACATTTAACCTTTCATCCGGGCGATCCTTGTTGAGTGTACCGTTCAAGGGCGAGATGGACAGCCACGGAACGGGGAGCGGATCAAGCGCCCAATGTATTGGCACGCGATAGTCGCCACGCATGAAGACGTCAACGGTTCGCACTTGCGGGCTGTACGGGTCCATCTGCGGTAGTACCGGAGCAAAGCTCGTTGTCGGCATCGACGCATCGACAGACTCCGCCCATCGACCCTGTTGAATTGGACTGGACGAACCCTCGGCGTAGATCCCGAGGTCTCCGAGCGAGAATTGCATGTTTTGCCGGAGCTGGACATACGACAGGTTGGCGACAATGTCGCGGGCAGGGCTGGCCCAGCGCTTGGGCTGCTCGACGGCGTCGAACACGGCCTGCGACATCATATCCGCCCATTTGCCCCCCAGCATGGCGTCCCACTCTTCAACCAAGTCGTAGGCAGCATCGAACTCGTCAAGAACCTGTGATGCCAAGAGGTTTGCCGAGTTGCGGCGCTCGAGGGCGTAGCGGTAGTTGAATGCCGTGTTGATGACCACGGCATGGACCGCGGCGCCAGACAGCACGGGCTGGCTCACCAGCTGGAAGAAGGCAGGACGCAGGTCGGAATCGACCAGAGATGTGAGAGTGCGTACTCGAGCAGCAAGCGCCTGCCACCTTGCCAGGACCCGCTCCGCTTCGTGAAAATTCACTGTCGAGTAGGTCGCTGGAGTGAGATGCTCGTATCTTCGCATACCGATGAGGCGGGAGTGTTCCATCAATATTTCGGCAATCTCACTGGCATGAGACACGCCAAACTCTCGTGCTGCGTAGTGGGTGAGGTATGCAGGAATGGTTTCGAAGCTGATGCTCGGCGCGTTCCAGGCGAGATCCATGGCCATACTCAGGGGTAGTTCCATCGGCTTCAGATCGCCTACGTTCATGATCCAAATCCGATCCGCCCCGCGAAGATGGGCGTGGGAGAGTTCCTTGTAAACCTTGGCCAGGTTGTTTGTGTTGTGCCACTTGTAAGACCTCGGTAGCCCAACGTACTCGAAGTGAAAGTACACTCCCGTGCCGCCCTGTCTCCCGGTCTCGTTCTTACTAGGCAATCGGTAGACGTTGCCTTGGTTGTCGTCCGGAAATAGCAGGGTGATATCCTCGGGCGGGTGCAGGCCGGCGTCGTAGTACGAGGCCACCTCTTTGTACAGGGCCCAGACCTGGCTCACAGCTGACTCGGATCCGTGGTATTTCCTGATGATGCCTCTCTGGACTTCAATCACGTCCTCCAGAAGCTTGATGGCGTTGTCGGCCTTGACCGCCTCGTCGCCCAGCCCTCTCAGTCCGATGGTGATGTAGGACTCGTTCTTCCCTGCTCTCACAATGCCCTCGTCCATGAACCTGGTAATGTTGACCTTATTTTTCGACCAGTCCCATGGCCCCATTTGGGTCACATTCCATTCGTTCGTGGCTCTTTGCATGGGCTCGTGGTGAGAAGTCGAGATGACCACGCCGTAGTCGTCGGCGAGTTGCTGGTTGCCGGGATCATCTGTGAAGAAGATGTTACCCGGAGGTGGCGTGAAGGAACTCCACATGGCAGGCCAGAGGTAGTTGGCCTTTAGGCGAAGGATGAGATCAAATACATGAGCGTAGAACTCTGTGTTCAGGGGATAGCGTGTCGCGTTGTGGCGACGAGCCCACCAGGTGTTGAGCGCTGGCTCCTCGTCGTTGATGAACAAGCCACGGTACTTGACAGTGGGCTCTCCGTGAATGGTGGTCTTGTTGAGTGCAAATATCCGTGCGTGCTTTTGAGCTGGCACGTCGGCAAACCAGTGCCAGGGGGATTGCCCGCATTGTTCGGCTAGAGTGTGAATGCCGAAGATGGTGCCTCTTTTGTCGCTGCCTGCAATAACCAAGGCTCGGCCGCTGCTCGGACGAGGGAGTTCCACCAGTGTCGTTTTAAACGTCTCCCATTTGCCCTCAATGTCGGAAGTGTCAAGATGTCCTTCGGCTAAGAGGGCGCGGATCAGAGACGAGTTCACGGACCCTGCGACAATGAAGACGTCCTGATCCTTGGTCGTTGTGACATCAGAGAGTGTCGCGTTGCTGATGCTCCTCGAAGCCCCCGTGATGGTTTCGAGATCGTTGGCAAGACTCCGAGCGGCGATGTGCACGCCAATGAAGTCATCTTGGGCAATGAGAATTGGTGCGTTGGCGATGTCAATACCCCTTTGCGAGATGGCAGGATCAGGCTCGAACGACACGAAGGCTTCTTCGAGTAATGCCAGGCAGGGAAATGGCAGGCTTGCGGCTATAACCCAAGCCTTGACCAAGCGGCATCTCATGGTGACGGTGAGCACCTGTTTTGTCTGAAATGGTGTGTAGTCTATGTCTCCTCGAGACATGCGTTGCTAGCGGACCAGCGCTCCTCATACGAATGTACCTAATATACGCCTGTCGGCAACGCAGCATCACACTGGCCAACGCTGCCGAGGATCCCTGTTACAAGCTCTTGGATTCACGGAAAATTTGGGCCAAGGGCCGGTAGATAGACGGTTGTGATCTACGCCCGCATGTAGACGCACTGAGCCTAAAGGACCTTGGCATGCTGCAGTGACTTTATCCGGACCCGTGACCGAAGCCTCTTTGCTACCTTTCCGACGTGCACAAGCACAGCTAACGTAAGTTGACGGAGGTAAGTATCTAAGCATCGCCTTTCATGTCATATTGACTCCATCTGAGTCAAGCAGCTTGTCGAGTCTGACCGCCAACAACCCCACTGTCCGTCTTCTCTTGGGCACAGCGAGGCAGCTTCATTTCTTGACCTGTTGCTTTTGATCATGGTGCTGGTTCTAGCGCTAACTATCATGTTGGTCCGATGTATGCTCTGGTTATTCTGGGCCATTACCCCACTGTCATCCATGTTATCATGCATGAGCACACGCTACCCACTCCCAAGGAGAGGGGCTTGAATCCTGATCTTCACCAAGCCAACGCTTTCAAGCCCGTCATCCCCATCCTAATACCTAAGTGTCTTCCTGCAGTCCCACTCCATGTACCCAAAGGCACCGATCAAAACAACCAGAGTCACACCGACCTCCGAACCCAAAACAATCCCGATCGATTCCCACTATGCTACCTTCCTGTGCGAGCTCGCGTCTCTTGAGCGGTGGAAGAGAATATGATCAAATTTGCAAGGGCAAAGAGAATGCCCAGAATGACTACCGTGACCCAGAGAAAGAGAACAACTCTGTACCACAAGATGTCGGCCCATGCTTCCCGGGAGCTGCGGCGTCGACGCCGGGGATGGGCTGCCGGGACTATTGCTGCCGCTCCGTTTATTGCGGGATGGTCGTTGGGCCATGAAGCCGCCGCCGGATTGCGAGCTGTCTGAAGTGTCGCAAGGTCTGTTTCGGGATTGAGATGAGAATGGTATGATGGTGCCGGTGTTGGCAATGCACTGTTGACGCCCAAAATGTCCAGCTCATTCCGGTCTTCGGCGCCTGCGCATGGTGCTTGATTTTCCAAACTCGACTAAGCCACCAACGAAACTCTTTTCAAGCCACCTCCTGAGGTCGTTCTTTCCCTTTTCCGCGCCTGCAAGTCCGACCCGATTTCTCACCAACTGCGCTTCGCTCCAACTCCCACCTCTTCCTGTGCAACCTCTGAGATGGTGAAAGCTCAACATGCCGCCGATGACTTGCTTTGGCTTATTAGGGAGGTTCCCAGGACTGTGATTGTTGACCAACTTGCCCACGCCCTCATCATCGACAACAAACTTTGGACGGCCTCACGCGCATGAATAACGGGCTTCATGATTTGTACAACTTGGAAGCACGCACATATACAAGCTGATAGGCGAAGTTGAACGATCTCTAGATTCAGTTGAACTCTGGAAAATGTCGACTAGCGAGTTGCACGTCTAACCGGAAACCAAGGGTGCTCGGCTTAGCCTAGTCCTGCACCTTGATAACAACCTTTCCGACATGGTTTCCCGAGTATAGATAGTCGAAGGCGGCCGGCGACTCGTCGAACTGAAAGACTCTGTCGATGAGGGGGGCGAGGGAGACTTTCTTCTCTTCCAGGAACCGATTCAGGTCGACATAATCCTGCTTTGAGCCTCCGAGAATGCCCCTAGATCGCGCAGGGAATCGTCAGTGGAGAGTTTTTTCGCCAGTCTGAGCTCACCACTTACTTCAACTTTGCGAATTTGGACATCAAGGCGATCATGACACTTGGCTCCCATACACCATTCATACCGGCTAGGAACCCGACGAGGGACACGAGACCGCCCCGTTGCCGCAAGAAGCTGATGTCTTCCGGGATGGAGGCCGGCCCAGCGTTGTTGACGACAATGTCGACACCCTTGCCGTCGGTAAGGCGTTTGACTTCCGAGGCTTGGTCAGCGACGGTCCTGTAATTGATGGTACCGACATCGGAGCCGAGCTGTTCTTGAATTTGTTCAAGCTTTTTGTCCGATGACGACGTGATGATGGGTCGAATGCCCGCAGCAAGGCAGATCAGCAAGCCAAAAAAGCTGACTCCTCCCGTGCCTTGGCTCTGCTCGTCAGCTACTTCCCGCCATGATGGTCCAGCTTTGGGAACGATTTGATCAGGTACAAACCTTGCAGGAGGGCGCTCCTCCGTTTCGCCCCTTGAAGGCCGTCGAGAGCAGTCCAAGCGCTGACGCCAGCACAAGTGATGGTAGCTGCCTACGGTTTTGATGCGATGTAAGCGAGATGATGGGGGATGAGGATGACAGGTAAAAAGGGGACCGTGATTGACCTCTTCCCACGACAGGTGCATAGGCAACAGCACAAGGTACTTGTCTTCGAAGATGGCGTACTCCCGGAGAAGGCCGTCGACGTCGCCGCCAAGTACTATAGACGGCTCATCCTCGCATCCGGTAAGATTGTTGAGGTCGACAATGACGGAAACGTGGTCACCAATGGCGAAATCTCTGACTTGGCGTCCAACGGCGGCAACCTCAGCAGCTGCGTCGGAACACGAGATACCGCGTTCAATCACATTCACCGGGTAGCGCCCGTGTAGCATAGCGACATCGCGGAAGTTGAGGGAGACGGCATGGATTTTGAGGAGGACATCGTGCGGTCCAAGCTCTCGGGGCAGCTGTTCCGTCGACGGGCTGATGGTCCTCGGCAGGTCGCCGATGGTGCGTCTGAAGGCTTTGTATGTCTCAGGAATAGCCATTGTAGACTCAATTGCGGGTCATCTAAGTTGCATGTTTTGAGCTCCGTGTAACTCAGCCATCGGATAGATCTGAGCAGAGAGGATGGCCGTTTTATACTTGGACAAGAGAGGCACGCAACGGGGCGTCCGAATGTCGCCTGATCGATCATCAAACGAGTCGCCACATTTTCTCGATGTGAACTCGGCAATGATGCTGGGAGGATTCCGTCACGGTGGGATTAATTATCCCGACCAACCCTCTTGGCGGTTAGTCGAATCGGCGTTAAGGAGCTTGTAACCGGGTACCCAGGCAGCCACAGCGCATCTTGATGGAGTGCAGTGATTGGTATGGTTCGGAGAAAACGAAACATCAGTCTGAATTGATCCGTTTTCTGGCGAAGCACAAAGTGAAGTCTCCGACCGTTGTGGTGTTTGATGCCAGAACTGCTATGGTACGGTAGTGCCGCCATCGCGTGATCGACTGTCGTGATGTAACTCAACGAACCCGTGTTGGGCAGCCAACAGTTACATGCTCAAGTAAGCTTAGATCAACCAAATGGTATTGAACAGATTGAGGTATGAAACGAAGCTTGAATTGGAGTCACGATTCCAGAGTGACCACACAAATGAAGGATCAAGATAGTGGGTTAGGATGCCTCAGAATGTCCCTTTCTTGTTGGAACAGAGAATTGTCCACTCTAATCCTCCCAGGGGAATTACCCCCTTATATAGAGACATTGTGCCATGGTATGACGCTATGTCAGGGACTGTGTCATTGTGATGGATCTGTGCTGACTGAGAGTCTCGCATTGAACATCAGTGCTCAGTCTGTGAATCTTGGTGCCAAGGAACCCACTCAGTTCAACAACCCGACTTCTCACAGTCAGTCGGATCGGCGATTAGGGTATCCTACCTTACAGTACTGTAATGGGGCCCGGAGGATGGTGTGTGTCATTTGGGTACGTCCGTACTCCGTCCGTCTCGTGTTTTGATTACTAGCCAGCCCCATGCATTTTAGATTGAGGTACACGCGCCGGCCTGTGGTGGTTGGTGTCAGATTGTACAGATCCGTACACCACCGCGCCCACCCAACCACCCTTACATAAAACCAACCCTGACTCTTTTCTTGAGTGATCCCACTCATCGCACAGCGCATTGTTAAACTTAACTGACATTGTATTACTCAAATACAGTGGATGCGGGGCATAATCTTTGCAGGGTTAGATGGAGAAGGGGGGGACAGTGGCTTTGCCCGGTTCAGTTGCCGTCTCCTAATGCCATCCTCTGTCCTTCTGTTGGTAAGGTTGAAGTACCTTCACCCCTACCCTTTTCGTACACTCGGTTGTGCTAAACGGCTAAAAGAGGGGGCCCCATGGATGACACTCAGCTTTAGTCCCGCACTTAGGTAATTGTATTGAGATTGTGGTCAGAGTTCTTAGCGATCTAATTAGCTCGTCCTTCATCTGGCACAGTTCGAGTCAAGTGTCTTCGGCGAGAAATGGCTATAACGTCCGCATGTGGTCATGACGTACTGCATCACTTCAGAGTTATAAACCTAATTACACAACCTTGCAACCGCCCTGGACGTAGACATTGCACTTCACATCAAAAGGTTGACAGGGACAGGTAACGGCAGTTTGTTTTCCTGGACTTGCCCGCTTTCCTAGCATGAATTCAAATTTTAGGTACTTGACAAGCCAGACGAGATGGGAATGATGTGTCAACAACCTTGCAGTATAACCACTCCAAGCTGTTGGAAGTGATGGCACTTGAAACTCGGGAACTGGGCTGCCGGTGCCGTACCCTGGTCAGGGGTAATACACAGCTGTTACATAAGGTCTGCGAGGTACCCAGATAACTTGAGGAGACGAAGAGAACTCAAAATTGACAGATTCTGGGCTGGTCCTAAGCACTCGAAAAGTTCACTGTTTTAACGGCTCCCATAAAGTGTGTCACCGTGGAATTGTGGCTGTTGGCTTTCCAACACAAGCATGCGTGATTCAGAACCGACTCGACCTCTTCTCGATAACGCCTCAACTATCACTGAGCGCACCGTCCCAGACCCTCCCAAGGTCTCAACCGTGAGTCGGCAGCCTAGTGACCCCCTTTCCCGCGCTGGCGCCGCTGTAGACGCCCAGGGCGTTGCGCTGCCATAGGTCGATGAGGAGGTCCAGGGTTGGTCTGCAGGTGCGTAACGTGGCCCGAAGCTTCCCCATGGAGCGGAACATGCCCCTTTTTCTTCTCTTCGTCTCTGGGATCGTGCCTGCCTCTCGCAGTGCGCCTATCTGTCTCTGGGGTGGACTGATGGTACGCCATCTAAGTTAATTTTCTTTGTATACACGGACCTTGTAGTTATCAAGCCACTTGTCCTCAATGATGACCAGCTGTGACGCCTGCAGCTTCTTCAGATACGTATCCTCCTCGCTGTCTTTATAGTCTTCCCTGTCGATGTCCATGAACCCCTCCTTGGCCACGGATCGTGGGGTAATCATCAGAGAACGCCCTAGCAAAGTTAGCTTCCATCACGCTCAGCAACGAAGCCAAAAGGGAGCAGTGGCATAACACAGTCCAACACAACATTGATGGTCTTGTCGCATGAAATCCTCATCATGCAGGCGGCCACGTCGTCCTGCTCTCCAAACTCGATGCCGCGGCTCAGAAGCCAGGCCTCGTATTCGGCCGTGCGAATGGCGCTCCTAATCCAGCAAGGCGCGACGTAGTTGATGCGGATGCCCTGTTCGAAGCTGGACCGCCGCGCCGTCCTCATGAAGCCGCGGAGGCCATACTTGGTGGCTGTGTATTCCCAATTGCCCGGCGAGTCGATCCAGGCCACCATGCTGCCCGTAATGATGAAGCAGCGGTCTCGGTCCGGCACATCCGGCTGCTTCCTGAAGTAGTGCACGGCCAGCTTCCACGTGTACAGAGTGCCGTCCAGATTGACCCTCACGATCTTGAGATTGGGTTTTGTTGGTGGGCCATGGGGATCTTGGGATATTGCCTTGCGTCAGGATGCTGCCGGAAGCTGAGGAGAGACGGGACGAGGGCAAGGGTAAGGCACTAACCATCCAAGTTCCAAAGGCTGTCTCCAGAGCTGCGGCTGATGCCCGCGTTGGCAATCACAATGTCGACACTCTTGCTCGGGCTTTTGGTCTTGGCTGTCTCAAACATGGCAACCTGCTGGTCCCAATCGCAGATGTCGACCTTGACGAATGCGCAGACATCCCTCCCATTGGCGTCGTTGAGTTCCTTCTCGATATCCTTGCCGCGGTCGTTGACGTCTCCGAATGTGACAAAGGCCCCGGCGGCCACGTAATGACGCACGCAAGTCTCGCCCATGCCGTTGGCGCCCCCAGTGATGATGACGGACTTGCCTTTTACAACGGAGCGGTCCGGCACGATCGTGTGGTCGACCGGGCCAGTGTACTGGTACCGTGCAAGAGTCATGGTTGGGAGCGGACTTCGATTCCTTTGCGGATCTTGCAATTCTGAATTGTGCATGAGACCAAGGAGGACAGCGGGCCGCGGTAAAGGGGTACGAATGCTGTATACATATTCGAATAGCTGGCTAATTTTCCAACCCTCACGTTGAGAACACCAAGTTACTTACCTATGGAGGCTTTTCAAGGGCTCTCAGCCTCGGCAATGCTCCGTACCAACATCTCCGCATGTGTGATGTCCCCCACCTCTCCCCGCATTCCTCCGCGACACCCTTGTTCGGCAATCCACATTGGGGTAGCCGTCGAAATGGGGATGGTGGAGTTGGTGGAAGGCACTGTGCCGGCGGCTCGCCCTTTCTTGGCACACTCGGTTCTCAGAAGTGAACGGGAGCTGAGAGGCGATGCCCTACCGGCCGACCTTGTTGATCGGCCGGGGGATGGCCGGACGGGGCTCAGGACTCGATTCACAGGGCCGTTCCCTCCCTCCAGGACGTTGATAGGAGTACAAAATAACACGCCCAACAAAGAAGACACTTGGTTCCATTGCCTAGGTCTTCAGGAGTTTCAGTTCAACAGAACTTTCACTTGGCGACATCGTGCCTTTCCCACACAATGACAGCCTTCGAGCAGACGCCAGAGCCACGCGTGGCCGCCACCGACACCATCGTGCAGCCGCTCAGTCCAGAGGCACAAGTCTCTCGGTCCGAGCCGACGGAACTGCCAGAACTGCCACGGAACATCAACGGCATAACAAACGCTGCTGCTGCCGCCCATTCCCAGACAGGTCCTGGCGCCACAGACGATCCATTCAAGCTCAGCTCAGACTATGCCTACACGCCGCGAAAGATCAAGGTCATCACCATCGGCGCTGGCTTCTCGGGCCTAATCATGGCCCACAAGTTCCAGCACCGCTTCCCCGAGATGCGGGACATTGTCGAGCACACCATCTTCGAGGCCTTGCATGACGTGGGCGGCACCTGGCTGATGAACAACTACCCGGGCGTCCAATGCGACGTCCCAGCCCACATCTACGCCTTCCCCTTTGACCCCAATCCGAACTGGTCACGTTTCTATGCCAGCGGCGCCGAGATCCTGGCCTACATCAAGGCGACGGTCAAGAAGTGGGACCTGGGCCGCGACATCCAGCTCAACACGCGCGTCGTCGGCGCCGAGTGGAACGACGAGACGGGGCAGTGGAGAGTGACGGTGGAGCACCAGGGCCGGCGTCGCGACGAGTACTGCCATGTACTGATCTCCAGCCAGGGCGTGCTCGTCCACGAGAACTGGCCGAGCATCCCCGGCCTGCGCGACGGCACCTTCAAGGGCCACGTCACCCACTCGGCGCGCTGGGACCACGGCTACGATTACTCGCACAAGCGCATTGCCGTCATCGGCAACGGCTCTTCGGGCATTCAGATCGTGCCGCAGATGGCCCGGCTCCCGGGCACCGACGTCCAGAATTTCATTCGCGGCCCGGCCTGGGTCTACTATCGCGCACCGCCGTCCAAGCACCTGGGCCGCGACTTGGACGACGACCCGAACCCGGCGTACACCGAGGACGAGAAGAAGCGGTTCCGCGATCCGGAACAGCACCTCGCCCACCGCAAGGGCATCGTCTCGCGGAGCAACAAGTCCTTCTACGTCTTCGTCAAAGGCGACAACAACAGGGAGGGCATGCGCCTCGCCGCCGCGCAGATGGCCGAGAAGCTGAACCACGACCCGGTTCTCTGCTCCAAGCTCATCCCCAAGTGGGAGCTCGGCTGCCGCCGCATCACGCCGGGGCCGGGCTACCTCGAGTCGTTCCTGCGGCCCAACTGCCACCTGACCGACAGCGCCATCACGCACGTCAGCGAGAGGGCGGTGCACACGGCCGACGGCAGGGCGTACGAGTGCGACGTCGTCGTGTGCGCAACGGGCTTCGACGTGTCGCACCGGCCGCGGTACCCGATCGTGGGCCGCAACAAGGCGACCGATCTCGCGACCGAGTGGGCCGACGACCCCAGGTCGTACCTGTCGGTGGCGGTGCCCGAGTACCCCAATTACTTCCTCATGATGGGCCCCAACTGCCTGGGCGGGCACGGGTCGCTGGTCGAGTCGCTCAACTGGACGGGCGATTACTTTGTCAAGTGGATCCGCAAGATGGCGACCGAGGACATCAAGTACGTGCACCCCAAGCGGCACGTCGCCGAAGCCTTCCTCCGCACGGGCGACGAGGTGCACAAGACACTGGTGTGGACGGGCAGCTGCAGCAGCTGGTACAAGCGCGGCAAGGTCGACGGCCGCGTCACGGCGCTTTTTGGCGGCAGTGCCCACCTGTTCCAGCGAATCCTGAGCGAGCTCCGGCCCGAGGACTTTGAAATCGAGTACAACACGGCCAACCCGTTCCGGTTCATGGGGAACGGCTTCACGGCGTTTGAGATGGACGAAAAGAGCGACTTGTCGTGGTATGTCGAGAAGGCCGAGACGCTCAAAGTCGAGGCTTAGAATAATTAGAACGGCTAGCTTGTATAGTGTGCATGTCTTGACGCATTCCTTGGTATTGTACGATGTTTCGATTGTAGTTCCCATACCCAAAATAGTCACCGTAGCAATTCCTTCGTGGGAGTAAAAGGCCATCAAGTACAACTTGAAAATCGTGCCGCATACCCCAGATCAAAGGCCTCTTGCTCGCCTACAGTGGCATTCCGTCATCACCATACCCAAACGGCTCAAGCAGACCGTGGTAATCCAGCATAAACGATTCCTGAAACAGCAAGCTCTCAGGCGACGGAAACCTCGTCGCCATGCCCGGCCCAGGTCCCGGGATCAGCGCATTCGCGATCCCACCCGTAGACCGCGTGACAAATGGGAACAAGGCTGTCCAGTCAAAGTCCGCTTCGTCGTGCGCGCATGGCGCCCTCGCGCTGGTTCCACCAAGCGGCAATAACGACGGCGGCGCATGCAGATGCACATCCTCCGCCCCGGGCCGTCCTGCACCGCCCGGTGTCGACCCCGGCCCCGGCTCCGGTCCAAGCCGTGTTTGCGTCGCCGTCGCGTTCCCATGATCTTCCGCATGCGATTGCCGCAGCCGGTCGAACGCCTGCCGCACCACCTTGGCCGATCCCCACATCTGCCTCAAATGCTCGACGGCGTGGGTCAGGACGTCGAGCCCGTCGCTGGCGTCGCCGGCCAAGCTCGCCACCCGGCATGCCTGGAGAAGGGCGATGAAGGCGGTCCCGCTGTACCAGCACGTGATGGGCATCAGGAACCGCGCGTCGCCGCGCGAGAGTATGTCCCGGAGGATGCGCGCGATGCACGAGGCGGCCAGGATGGCCGGCGGCAGCGCCTGCGGCAACCCCGACCCGGGTTGGCGGCGGAGGTGGAGGACGATGATGGTGGTGAGGTATGGCAGGTGGAGCTGGTGCACGTCACGGTCGAACAGCTCCGAGTCGGTGCGGTTGGAGCCGATGGGGAGCTGTAGATGCAGGGGGAGGGAGTGGACCCAGTCGACGAGTTCTTGGCGAAGGTGAGCCGGGGAGGTGGGAGACGCAGGGGATGGGGTGTATGTCGAAGACGCCGAGCGAGAGAGGCTCTTGGCTATTCGGCCCATGATGGCACAGAGACGGACCCAATAGATGAAGATTTCTCCTTTGCGCTGCATCTTGGGATCCGGGGGAAAGTCGGCCAGCGTGGGTTCCTTGATGTTGCAGTCTGCCGGGTCGATGATGCAGGGCTTGCTTTGGCAGAGAGCCGTGAGCCGCTCGCGGGCAAAGGCGGTCCACCAGATGCGGCGCCGTAGGCCTAGGTTGAGGGCGTCCCGGTGGGGGTAGTGGGGGCTGGGTTCGCGGTGGAAATTCATCTGTTGGGCGTGACGAATGAGGACTGAGGTCCACCACCAGGATGAGTGCCGGTGGGCCACCGCGGGGGAACGAGGCGCCCACCAGTAGAAGAGCGCGATGGCCTGGAGAGTGGCGAGGCCGTCGGCTTCCTCATCGTTGTAGAGGATTGAGGTTGCCTTCTTGTAGTAGGCGGCGGGTCCGTCGTGGGGTATCAGAGGCGGCCGGATATGGCTGCCAACCAGGGCGAGGGCGTTTCCCAGCAGGGAGGACCGCAGCGTGTCAGAGGATAGGCTGTCCATGTCGAGTACGGGACACCATGTGTAGCAGTACTCTAGGTACGTTTCGGCAAAGATCTGCTGGAGTTCTTGTTGCTGCGTGTCTGACAGTTTGTAGCCACGTCCCAGTGACGCCTCGAACTCCTGTTGCTCCGCGTCAATCTGGTTTTCCGGGCCGAAGACGTGGAGGAAACCCGTGTCGACGTCGCTCGGGTTGCTTCTTCCCGTGGGCGCTCCTGCCGGATCGACACCCTGCTGTGAGGGCGGAGTCCCATTGAGGGACAGCACAGGCTGCTGTGGTTGCGACTGTTGCTGGCATGGAGAGCACCGCTGGGGCTCCTGCTGCTGCCGCTGTTGTCGCTGTTGGTGGCATTGGTCCTGGCGGCGGTGAGGCGTTGGAATCACGATAGTAGGAAGAGTCGCGGACGGCGGAAGTTGCGGGGCCGTTGGAAGGGCTTGGATCGCGATCATGGGAGTTTGCGGTTGAGGGGAGGCAGCGGGGGCAGGACTATCGATGCGGGTTTCGTCGGGGAGTGATGGTGAGCGTCGGTAGCCATTCGCATGCGTCGCATCCTGAGGAAGCTCGCGGTTGCTCTTTTTGCGCTTGGACGGGTAGATCTGGCATTCCCGCCCTGCCGAGTCACAATTCGAACAGATGCCGTCGCCCTTACTCTGCAGGTCGCATTTCACTTTTTTGGAGTGACAGGAGAGGCACACGAGATCTGCACGCTTCCGCTTCGGCGGCTGGTGGGTGTGGTAGTGCAGCCACTCGGTCACAACGTCGGTCATGGCTATCCACAGTGACGCTCGGTGCTAATCGGCTGTCCAAGTTTCATCTGTCGCGCGCACAGGGACATGAAGACGGTATGACGCACGGGTTGCGGGCGAAAAGACGATGAAAAGATGGGCTTATGGGGGCCAACCAACTGCTGTCTCGACTGACCCCGTCAATCTTGGTTACGATCTCGAAATGTCTTTGTTGGGCCACGCTTGGCAATGTGGGGTAAGATGCGGGGAAACTACCGTACTGTGGTAAGTAACCAACCGCGCGGAGGGAAGTGTGGCCAATCACAAGGCGACGCTCATTCAAAGCGGGAAGGTGCGGTCGGCAGTCCAGATGGTCAGCTGTCTCTATTTAACCTCTGTCATGGGTTTGCGCTTGCCACTTGTAAATGCCCATGAATACACAACATTCGCAATGCAACATGAGGTGCTTGACAGGCAAGATCCATTATTCTCCTTTACTGCAAGCTCAGAACTAGGAGTCCGAATTTCAATATAGTGTCATCTGACGACCATAACAGTGGCGGCAACAACCCTCGACAGCCGACATCTTCTCAAAGTCCCACCATGTCCACCACACACAACACAAAACAGGGTACAGCTAACAACCTCAGAGAACGTATCGAAATTGCAGGTTCTGCGCGCCATATTTCGTTAGCCTATGCTCTCTTCTGCAGCTCCAAGACTAGACTCTTTCCGTCTACCGAAATGGGCACAGCGAACCGTCTTGTCAGTCAGATCATCATCGTAGGCATGGTCAAAGCCTTCCATGATGCCAGCCTTGTCACGCCTTTTGTTGTCGGAGAGACAGGTAAAGCGGTACACCAATATGAGGCCAGCCGCCACGGCCGACGTGATGAGGACGATGAGGAAGCCGCTGGCGTATCTCGGCGCATCCTCGGTCTTGAATGGCAGCGGCCCGATGAAGTTTCCTGGCGAGGCGTAAGTATGCGCAGCACACGCGCATATCCATCCGAAAAGCCCGGGGAGCTTACCGATGCAGTAGCCGATGTACAGCCCAGACGAGGCAATGGACCGCTTCGTGTAGCCTGCCGTGTTGGCCACCTGTAGTCCCATGAGGACCGCATATCCGCCTCCGATGGACGGCAGGAAGGTAGTGCCGAATAGCAGTCCGACCTTGTTTGACATGGGAAGCAGCCGCAGCAACAGACAGGCCAGAATAGTCCCCAGCTGGGCTGCGACAATGAGGTAGCATCGGGCGCCGGGCACCTTCTGGGCCAGGAAGGAGAGAAGCAGCATGCAGGAACCGGCCCATACGCCTACCGGAATCAACAGCAGAAGCGAGTTCAGACTGCTGAATCCGAAGCCAGAGACAATGATGGGGATGAAGGTCGAAATCGGCCCGTTGGCAATCATGCTGAGCACGGCGAAGGCGAAGACGAGCCAGAACTTGACATCAAGCAGCAGCTCCGTCACCTGCTCGATCTTGTAATGCGTGTTGCGGACTCCCGAGTTGTTGGTCCGGAGACGCGCCACGAGGATGTAGCGCTCCCTCTCGTCGAACCCTTTGGCGCGGATCGGGTCCGGAGGCAGGACGACGAACAGGGCGAGACCCCACAGCATGGTGAGACCGCCGGCGAAATAGTACATGTAGCGCCATGACGACACGCCGCCGCCGATGAGCCCGAAGCCGTAGTTGATCAAAGGTGACACGCACGAGACGTAGCCTGTCCAGCTGTACCAGACGCCCATCCGCATTGCCTGCTCCGGTTTCCTGTACCACATGCCCTGTTGTGGGCTATTAGTAACAAGTGGAGTCCGCTGACCGGCGGAGCTGCCAAATACGGAAATCTACCCACCACGATGAGCATAAACATGGGGCTGACGCCGCTCTCTAGGAAGCCAAGGAAGAACCGTTGAGCATAGATAGCTCGATAATCGTTGCAAACGACAGTCAGGATGAGGGTGAGACCCCAGAGGGTGACAATGCCCGAGGCGACGCGTTCAACGGGGAATCGCTGGGCGAGAATCATGGCAGGATACGCTCCGATTATGAAGCCGAGGTAGAAGATGGAGGAAGTCATGGAATACCGGTTGCCCGACAGCAAGTCCAGGTCGGTCCGCAGGCCGAACAGGGCCTTTGGTTGCATTGCAGGTCAGCAACATGTTCGCCTGAGAAGGGGGGTAAGGTTGAGAGAGCTGCAGATTTTTCGAAGGGGGAGACAGACAGCTTGTGAAAGCATGGCCTTATCGTAGTACTGGAGAGTGTAGGTGAAGCAGAGCACGGGCATCAGCTTCCAATCGATCTTGCGACGGATCTTCTTCTCTTCCTCCTCAGTCCACTCCGTATCACCGTTGTAGCCGCAAATGACCTTCAAGGCTTCGTCATTGTGGACTGTGTCGACAACCGGAGGCGAGATGGCGTCGGGAGCCTTTTCCGACATTTGGACCGACTCCTTGTCGGACATGGTGGTCGACGTCAAAGTTATGACCCTTTGTCAAAACAAAACAGGAAGAAGAGACTTGGACGCAGGGGCAGCTGGAGCTTTCCTGGATGCAAGAGCAGCCTGCAAAGTGACCAGACTTGGGTGAGGGCGCTTGGGGCAGTTTTGTAAAACACACAGAGGGCCGCGGTGCTCACTCAACGGAACCTCAAGACAAAAGACTCACGCCTTGCCTGCCAGCTATGACAGTCGGTTCCCGAGTAACAGGGCTGGGAGTCTCGAGCAAACATTGACCAAAGAGTTTGCGTCGCCCTTGGCTCAGGCGCGTGTTAGTCCCAAAGAGGACTGCCGGTCCACAAGCCGGGTTGTTGGACGCAACCCATGAACCCGAGTCCGGGTTCTGGGAGTGGGGATTGAGGGGTTTCGGCAACCCCACATCACGCTAATGCACCCCAACAATACTTCCCCGCATCCAGCGAGTCAATTGGGACAAGCTCCAGGAAGGTAGGCGTATGTAGGTAAGGTATCCATCCACCTACCTTACCTTATCACAGTCAACCAGTCATCCAGGGTTAATTCAAGAGTCAGAACGTGCGGAAACAGAACAGGGAGCAACTGAGCGAGCCTTGACAACTTTACTACAGTAGTACAACCTCACCTTGATACGCAACACTTTTCTGTAGAACTGTTACCCAGCGCAGCAACGCAACATGGCGACCGGGGAATCCTCAACTGCCCTCCCCGCTGGGCAGGAGATCATCACGGTAAAGGTGATCAATGCCGTCAACTTCGGCCCAGCCGTCATTGAACGGTTCATGGCTCCGCCAGTGCCCGGCCTCGCCACCTTCAAGGACTCTCCCTCATTCTCGTTCCTGCTGGAGCACCCTTCGGGCCGGAAGCTGGTCTTTGACCTAGGAATCCGGAAGGATGTCCAGAACTACGCCCCGAGAATAGCCGCCTATCTTCCCTCCACGAACTACGACATTCAAGTGACGGGAAATGTCGCGGAGATGCTCGAGGATGGGGGGATCAAAGCCAGCGAGATTGAGGCTGTCATCTGGAGCCACTGGCACTGGGACCACATCGGCGACCCGTCCACTTTCCCCCCTACCACCGACCTGATCGTGGGACCGGGCTTCAAGAGGGCCATGTTGCCAGGGGCACCAGCCAATCCCGACTCTCCTATTCTAGAGAGCGACTATGCGTACGACACGAAGCCCTTCCCAGCAGTCATATGAATGCAACTGTTGACATTGCTTTGGCAGCGGCCGCAACCTTCGCGAAATCACGTTTGAAGGAGGCCAGTCACTTCTCGCCGGCAAGTTCCCCGCCTATGACTACTTTGGGGACGGTTCGTTCTACCTCCTGGACAGCCCGGGCCACGCCGTCGGCCATCTCTGCGGACTTGCCCGGACCACCAAGGACCCAGACACGTTTGTCCTTCTCGGTGGGGATATCTGCCATTATGCCGGCATCTTCAGACCCTCCGAGCATCTCCCCATTCCCAGCACCATAACACCTCACCCCTGCCATCCCCACAGCGCCACCGCCACATCGCTGTGCCCCGGCCATGCTTGGGAAGAGCTGCAGGCGTCGAGAGGCCGGAAGGGGACGGACACGCTCTACGACATGACCTTTGGACTGGACATCCCGCTGGCCACCAGGACGATGGGGAGGCTGCAGGAGCTGGACTGCCTGGAGAATGTGTTTGTAATCATTTCCCATGACAGCACCGTCCGGGATGGCGTGCCTCACTTTCCGGAGAGTCTGAATGCGTGGAAAGAGAAGGGTTGGGGGGAGAGGCTGAAATGGTCGTTCCTCAAGGATTTGGAGGTTTATTGGAGGTCAAGGGGTCTCGCCTAAGCAGTCGAAGTTTGTGTTTGTTATGGGATGACCTAACGCAACCATGGGTCCGTGGATATGTTTCGTTGTTCTCGCGGTTGTGGACTGACAGTGAGAATACCCCTAATTACAGGGGGCAGCCCTTTGGGCAATTGCCCACCCTGCTATCGTTCTTTCAAAGCCCCACCAGTTCGAGACTGTAACCGACCCTACCTTTACCTATGCACAGGTACGGGGTGATGTTGGCCATTCCTGGCTAAGCTGGACCGTCGGCAATACTTGTTATAGTGTGCTTCGCTTTGCCGAAGAGGGGGATCTGAGCGGTAAGTTGCCCAGACAATGAAATTTGGGCTAACATAACGCTCCCGTGGCACTACCTAGTCATGGCTTCTTGGTCAGTGGCCCGGCGCATGACTCGCTCCCGTCTCGATCCAGGTTACTGGCCGCTCCACGGCTTCGGCTAGATTCGTTTTGGGGTTTGCCGTTGGAGGTGTGGAGTAGCCAAGTTAGCTAATCTCTGAATTCTCTCCATTGATGGACCCGGTGTGGGGAGCTAACAGCCTAACGCAGAGACCCCGAGGTCCAGGGGCGGCCTATCGGTTTAGCGGCCTATGAATGCCCTCACATCCCAGAGAGAGGACGACCCATCACTGTGAGGAATCCGTCGACATTACAGCCCTGTTCCTTATTTTCCCCTTCCTACCTGATGTTTCTTTTGCGCTTCATCGTTCACATCGATCTCTTACATCAGGGGTAATAGTTTACGCTATGAACAACATGTCGGCATTCGAGCTGGCCAACAAAGACCTGGACTACGATGTCCTCATTGTTGGGGCTGGGCTGAGCGGTATCTACAGCCTGCTGCGCATCCGCCAGCTGGGGCTGAGGGTCAAGGTGCTGGAGGCCGGCGAGGAAGAGGGTGGGACATGGTTCTGGTAAAAAGCCCTTCACGCCGTCTAGTGGTCGAGAGAGGTACTGACACGACTGGACCCAAGGAACCGCTATCCCGGAGCGCGCTTCGACTCGGAAAGCTACTCGTACATCTTCTCGTTCTCCCAAGAAGTGCTCGACGAGTGGCACTGGACGGAGCATTTTAGCCCTCAGACGGAGACTTTGAAGTACATCCAATACCTGACGACGAAGTTTGACCTGAAAAAGGACATGCAGTTCAGCACGCGCATCCAGTCGGCGCACTTCCAGACCCCTGGCAACTTTTGGATGCTCACCGACGAGAATGGCCGCCGGTACAACTGCCGTTATCTCATCACCTGCATGGGCATACTCAACCAGCCGACGCTGCCCGACATCCCCGGCGTCAGCGACTTCAAAGGTGAGGCCTGGCACACGGCCAGATGGCCCGCCAACGGCCAAGAGGCCCTCAGGGGCAAGCGCGTGGGCATCATCGGCACGGGAGCAACCGCCATCCAGACGATCCAGGAGATATACAAGGACGTGGGGCATCTAACGATCGTCCAGAGAACCCCCAATTGGACGGCCCCTCTCCGCAACGCCAAGATCGACGAGAAGGAAATGGCCGAGATTCGGGCCCGCTATCCCGAGATCTTCCAGCAGTGTCTCGAGTCCTACTCCTGCTTCATCCACGTCACCGAGGAGAAGAAGACAACAGACTATACCCGAGAGGATCTCCAGGCCCGCTGGGAGGAGCTGTTCCAACGGCCCGGCTTCGCCAAGGTGCTCGGCGTCTGCCCGGACATCGCCACGGACCGCGAAGCCAACCGGCTCTACAGCGAGTTCCATGCCAACAAGATCCGGCAGCGGGTCAGGGACCCGGTCGTGGCCGAGAAGCTGATCCCCAAGAACCACGGCTTCGGGACGCGGCGCGTGCCGCTCGAGAGCGGTTACTACGAGGCCTTCAACCAGCCCCACGTCGAGCTGCTCGACATCAGCGACGACCCGATCGAGCGCATCACGGAGACGGGGCTTTGCACCAAGAGCGGCATCGAGCGCAACCTGGACGTGCTCATCTACGCGACGGGCTTCGACGCCGTCACGGGGTCCTTCCACGCCGTCGACTTCCGCGGCGTAGACGGCGTCAGACTCCGCGACATGTGGGCCGACGGCATCCAGACCTTTCTCGGCCTGACGGTCAAGGACTTCCCCAACATGTTCATGATCATGGGCCCGCACCAGATGTTTGGCAACATTCCGCGGAGCATCGAGTACGCGGTCGACTGGGTCGCCGATTTTCTCGCGTGGGCCCGCGAGAACAATGTGTGCTTCGTCAACGCGACGCAGGAGAAGATGGACATGTGGTACAGGCACGTCGAGGAGATGGGCCGGGGCCTGTTGGCCAACGAGGTCGATTCGTGGATGACGGGCGTCAACAAGAACCTGGCGCACAAGCAAAAGAGGTCCCTTACCAGGTATAACGGGCCGGCGCCGGGGTACAGGAAGAGGTGTGATGAGGTTAAGGCGAAGGGTTATTCGGATTTTGTGTTGGGGTGATGGAAAGGGAGTTGGTTACCTTAGTTACCTTACCTATGGTCTGAAATAGGGTGTGTTAAATTAGGGTTATTTTATTGACCCCGTTTGGGAATGCGAACGCTGGTTTTGGACATGGACGTGTGCCCTGACGTCAGATTCTGGAACAGAAAGGGAACCGTTGCGTTGCGTCTGCAAGCAAAGTTGGATGTGATGCCCTATCGGCACGTCAGGGCGCCATGTTAGAAGAGGACTGAACTGGTTGAGGATCTCCACCAAGCACAGACTCACAGACATGAACATGTTTACATGTCTAGTCAGTTAACTACAGATAAATCACAGACACCGAATCCACCTAGTGCCTCCCTCCCCCTGGGACTCTATTTACGGTACATCGCATTTAAGCTTCTTCCCAGCCGGATCTATCACTACGCCCTTGAAGCTCCCCACTCCAATTCTGATGGCCTGCCCGCCTACCAGGTATGGACTGAGAACGCCGGGCACGCAGTGTGGCTCCCAAGGGCCCACCTAATGCCGTTCTCCATGACCTCGTCCCATTTCTTCGATGCCGACAACTTATCACCGAACCTCCTGAACCCATGGGGAACACCCTTGAACAGGTGCACATTGGTGGGGACCCTTTGAAAACATCAGCGCCATGATTCATACGGGTATTCACACAAAAAACAAAAAAAAAAAAAAATCGGACCGTCTTACCCAGACTCTGTGAGCATCTTCGCATAAAGCAGTCCCTCATCTCTCAGGGGATCCAGGCCGGCAATCCCAAATACGGTCGGCGGAAGCCCCTTCACCTGCTCGGGAGCCGCATTGCCCGGGTTCAACTTCAGGTTCTCGGCGCCCAGCTCGGCCCGGTCAATCTTGAGCAGGTCCGTGAAGAAACGGCAGGCCGACACGGGCAGGATCGGCGCGTCCTTGTTCTCCTCGTACGACGAGGCAGACGGATCCTTCATCTTCCGCACTTGGGGCTCGTAGCAGTCCATGTTGACCAGCGCAGGGATCATCAGCACCTGGCCGGCGATGGCCGGGCGCGGGGCCGCCACTCTTCCGACATGTTTGCCCAGCACCAGCGAGGCGGTGAGCTGGGCACCCGCCGAGATGCCGCCCACCACCACCCGCGCGGCATCACCGCCGACAAGCTGCATGTTATCATGCAGCCACTCGAATGCGTCCTCGACATCATTCCACGCCTTCGGGTAGCCATGTTCCGGAGTGTGGCGGTAATTCACGTTGAGGACCACGACCCGGGCATTGAGGCAGACGCGCGCGCAGGTCGCGTCCTCGGAGGCCAGGGTGCCGAACAAGAAGCCGCCGCCATGGAGGTGAATGTACACGGGCAGGGGGTGGTCCTCCGATGCGTTGCCGTCTACATGTCGCGGGCGGTAGCTGCGGGCTTTGATTTTCGACCCGTCGCGTGTGGGGATGGAATGGTCCCTCGTTCGCACCCGGCGGCTCAGCGCCTCCATGGCCTGGGCTGCGGCTTGTTCGCGGCCCTCGTTGACGGCCCGCCTCTTCTCCTCGACGGACTGCCCGAGTGGTGGCGGTGGGGGCAGGCTGGCTTCGAGGGCGAGCCACTCATCACTCGCCCCGCCATAGCAAGAGAAGTCGCACATTGTTTCGGTTCAGTTTGGCCGTTTTAATTCGCTTTCTCCGGATGAAACATGCTTTTTCTTTCTTTTCTTTTTTATTTTTCCCTTCCGCCAAAGAGAGCGTGTTTGAGCTGCCAGGTGGATCATTCAGCAAGTCCCAGTCTCACAACCCGTTCTTACAACCCGTCTTGGCAGGAACTGCTAGGAATCTGAACCCCGCGTCCCCAACTCAGTTTGTGAGACCAAGCTTTCCCCACATCCTCCAGAGGTCCAGTCCAGACTGTGCTGGAGGGTCTCAATCCCAGTTTGGTATGCCGGTAAGCTAGCCCTGAGGGTTCTTACCGAACAGCCTATGCCCGATCCTTGCTCAAGGAGTGAGGGACCCTAACGTTGACGGATACTGTCTAATCACTGTCCTCGGCATTGGTTGGTCATGCTCGCCTTGAACGAAGCTCAAGCGTTTCATTGCGTTAGCCCGCCCTCGGCATTACGGCATTCTCGATTAGGCAAACGTTTCGATTCCCCAAATGCCGCCCACGGCGGACGCTACCAGCTTCCTCGCCGTGCCAGCTACCTAAGGTGCGGTCGACACAGCCGAGGCATACATGGTGAGCACAGTATACCTTACTTGTGATTCCACTGACTGATGACTGCATTAGGACATCGTGTAAAGTTGAACACCACACCAACACCACCGTCCCCTGATCCGGCCAATCATGTCCGAAGCTCCACTCCAACCTCCGTCCCGCTCCCTCCGGGGCCGAGTCGCCATCGTCACGGGCGCCGGCTGCGTGGGCGACGGCCTCGGCAACGGCCGCGCCATCTCCATCCTGCTCGCCGACGACGGCTGCAACGTCGTCTGCCTCGACACAAACCACGACTGGGCCGCCAAGACAGCCGAGATGGCCAACTCGCAACCGGGCCGTGGCGCCGCTATCGCAGCCCAGGGCGACGTCACGTCGGCCGCCGACTGCGAAGCCGTCGTCCGGCTGGCCCTGGACCGGTTCGGGCGGCTCGACATCCTGGTCAACAACGTCGGCATCGCCGGCGCCCCGGGCACCGCCGTCGACGTGGACATGGACCAGTGGGCCAGGGGGCTCGAGGTCAACGTGTCGAGCATGGTGCTCATGGCAAAGTACGCCGTGCCGGCCATGGCGCGGAACGAGGGCGAGACCCGGGGGTCCATCATCAACATGGGGAGCGTCGCCGGCCTGCGGGGCGGGACGCCTCATCTACTGTACCCGACGAGCAAGGGCGCCGTGGTCAACATGACCAGGGCCATGGCTGCTCACCACGCCAAGGATGGCATTAGGGTCAATTGCGTGTGCCCCGGGGTAGATATTCATTTCACTTCATATGGCATGGTCTCTTCGCCTGAGCACGTGTGGCTAACACATGGGTGGCATAGATGCTTTACACGCCAATGATGTACGCAGGTGGCATGAGTGAGGAGGCGAGGGCCGCGAGGAAGGCAAGGAGCTTGCTTGGTACCGAGGGGAACGGCTGGGATTGTGCGTGCGCGGTTGTCTTCCTTGCCTCGGACCATGCCAGGTGGATCACCGGCTCCATCTTGACCGTTGATGCTGGCACGACGGCGGCCGTGGGGACTAGCATGCCTAAGAGTGCGAGTGTAAACGGCAGTTTCTAGACAGACAGACTATCTGTTCCTCCTTTTCGTTTTTCTACCTAATGGATTGACATCTTGGAGAAACTACTCCTGCAACAAGGCTACACGGCACTCGACTTTTCCTTCCGTCAGGTCCTGCAGCACGGTCGGGAAGTCCTTTAATATCCCAGGCTTAACCTGAGGGCGGATCACTCCTTTCGCAATCAGCCGAAGCACTTCTTCCAGATCCTCGACCTGGCCGCCGTAGGTGAAGATGAAGCTCAACCTCTTTCGGGTTCCCGTTTTCATGTGAACAGTATTCTCTGGGTCGATGCTACCGACACAGAGAATCTTTCCTCCACGGCGGACTACGGCCCCTTAGTTCTCAGAGCCTGGCAACAGAGGAAGGGGAAACAGTGCTCACCAATATACTGAGCAGCATCAAAAGTCTCATGTGTTCCCACAAAGTCCAAAACCGTATCAATCATGAGGCCCTTCTCTTGGACGAATTCCACCGCCGACTGGCCAACCGGAACAACGTCACCTTCCGGGACACCCAGCTTGATTGCTTCGTCAAGGCGCTGTTGCCGAATGTCACAGACGATAATCCTGGCCCCGATGTTGCGGACAAGCTGCAGGGCGTTGAATCCCAAGCCGCCGAGCCCGAAGAGGAAAACGGTCTCGGAGGCCTTAACCTCGCCGCGTCTGGTGACAGCGTGATAGGCCGTCGTCACGGCGTCGGTGGCCACTGCTGCCTCGGCAGGCGTGACGCCCTGAGGGACCAGAACAGCGCCACGGATATCGAGGGCGGCGTAGGGGGCATGGAAACCGTCCTGGCCGATGCCTGAGTGGTGGCCTCTCTCGCAGATTTGGGACAGGTCGCGCGAGCATTCCGGGCAGTCGGCCTGCCGGCATCCCGGGACGGCGTGCAGGGCGACGACATCCCCGACTTTGAATCTGGTCTCGTTGACTTCTTGGCTGATCTGTACAATCCGACCGCAGCCTTCATGGCCCTGTGGAAGAAGAAGAGGCGTGAGCTACATGTATGAGATGCGCCCTCACGACTCGGAACAGTGCGTACCAACGTGTACTTGTCCTGAAACCAAGCTGCTTGTTTCTCTATCGTGAGTAAGGAGTGGTCACTGCGGCAGACTGACGTCGGGGCCATATTAGCATGGCCGCACTCTCTTCAGTCGGGATACCATATCTTGAGATTTCGTGAAGCATACCTCCAGACGCCAGCACTTTACACAAGATTCCGTTGGGGGGCACTTCCGGGACAGCGACCTCTTCCCAGACCTAACCAAGGTGGCGGTGTTAGGCCATGTACGGGGTTTAGACACCTTATCCAAGTCGCCCGGCGTCAATCAACAACATACAGGCTCAGGGTTGCCCTTGTGCTTCCTCCACGCCCACATGGTCTTGGGGAGCTCCGCTGCGGCGGCCATTTTCCTGGGTGCAATGTAGGTGATGCAGTGTGATTGGGGCAATCGCCGATGAGCGCCAGTCGTGCTCGGGTTGGCTGGGGGCACGGTCTTGTAGAGGGAACTTAGATTAGAACATTGGTTTGCCCCTAACGGGCCCTCATCTTCCGGGCACTACTAGGTATGCGAATACGTGAGGGGGTTTGTATCTCGCTGTGGTGGATCTGTACCCCACAACACCGTTGCCCTCTGGGTTTGTGACTTTATTCGGCAGTCCTGTTTTAGGACTGCCTTGGTGCCGGGACATGTTCCCTGGCTTAGCCGGGTTTAATGGCTTGTGGTGGGGTAAACAGGTAAACACGTCGTTTTAGGAAACATGCATCCAGAGATGGTCCGAGTTGATGACAGTTAATAGCGTTTAACGAAGCTGACATTGGATCTCTGAATATGTTTCGAGTTTCTCTCCCTACGCTCGCCGGCTCGGTGCCTTCAATGTTCCTTCTCCGCTACGCCTCACACCATCTCTCATTCTCCTATTGCCTCTCCTTACCCTCACCACTCAACTCCTTCCCTCTGACAAAATGGTATTCTACCCACCATCCTGGGTGCCCAAGCTCCCAATTGGTCAGTAACCCTCCATTGCCTTCGGCCCTCCGACGGTCTTCCACAGGCTTATACTGGTACTGATTTACAGACCTATTAACACAACGCAGACCCGCCTGACTCCATCCCCATCATCGAGTTTATGCGGAATGAGCAATACGGCCGCCGCCCTTTCTCGAAGAGCCGTAATCCTTTCACTTGCGGATTGACGGGTAGAACAATCACCCACGCGCAAGCCTTCCACCGCTCGGAATGTCTAGCCAGGGCGTTGAGCAAGCGTCTGGGTTGGGCACCGAACGAAGGCACGGCGTGGAACAAGGTCTTGGGCATCTTTTCCTTTAACACCGTGAGTCTTCTGTCTCGTGTAGTACCTACCGGGTCTTCACAAAACCTATATTCTCCGGCAAACTTGAACCCTCTCGCTCTGCAGTGGCTTACGCCGCTTTGATGCCGCCATACGGTAGATTGACTACATTCCCACCGCCTACGCCGCCCATCACCTCTCTGGCATCGCGAGCTTGGCAAACGCAGCCTACTCTGTCCCAGAGCTCACTCACCAGCTGACATCGTCCGGGGTCAAGGTGCTCTTCACCTGCTCGGCCTTGCTCGGCACGGCCTTGTGCGCCGCAGACGCAGCTGGGATTGCCAGAAAGCACGTCTTCATCTTGCCCATGGTTGGCGATGACAAGAAAGAGACCGTGAAGAGACAGGCGTCGGACTCGGACTCGGACTCGTTCCTTACCATCGAGGACTTGATATCCGAAGGCGAGAAGCTGCCAGCGCTTGAGCCGCTGAGGTGGAGCAAAGGCCAGGGAGCCCGCCAGCCAGCGTTTCTGTGTTATTCAAGCGGCACTTCGGGTCTTCCGGTAGGCTTTCGCGCTTTCGGTTTTGTTTCGCGGACAGTTCCAGTCGCTGACAGATGGAGAATAGAAAGCAGTCATGATATCGCACCGGAACGTCATCGCGAACACCCTGCAATACACAGCGTACGAGTCTGTCGGGAGAAGGCAGCGCGGGGTTGAGACGCAGGTGGAACTGGGCCTTGTTCCCATGAGCCATATCTACGGCTTGGTCGTTGTGTCCCATGGCGCGACCTGGCGTGGCGACGAGGTCATTGTCCTGCCCAAGTTCGAGCTCGAGTCGTACCTGGCAGCGATTGAGACGTTCAAAATCGAGCATCTTGTCATTGTGAGTAGTAACAACTGAGCCGTATACAAACTCTAATGGGGAAAGAAAGCCATGATGTGTTGATGCCCCAAATCATCCAGGTCCCACCCATCATCATCCGCATGCTCCAGAGCCGCCATCTCTGCAAGAAATACAACCTTAGCAGCGTCCGCCTGGTCTACTCCGGAGCAGCCCCGCTGGGAAAGGAAACCATCGAGGAGCTTCTCCAGCTCTACCCGACATGGACTGTGGTCCAGGCCTACGGAATGACGGAATCTTGTGTCGTGGTCTGCTCCACCAGCGAACACGATGTGATGCATCGGTCGTCGGGCTCGTTGCTGCCTGGCTTCCGAGCCAAGATTGTGGATCCCCAAAACAACGAGATCACCGAGTACGATCGGCCGGGCGAGCTGCTGGTGCAATCTCCGTCGGTTGTGCTGGGATATATGGACAACGAGAAATCTACCGCGGAGACGTTTGTTTACCACGACGACGGTCGGTGGCTACGGACGGGCGATGAGGTGGTGGTCACAAAAGCACCATCCGGCAACGACCATTTTGTCGTCGTCGATAGGATCAAGGAACTGATCAAGGTGAAGGTGAGACTTCTCTGATATCAGTTCTTGTTCCGGCAGGCTGCGGTCTCCTCTTGACGCATGTCGACTGACGGCATCACAGGGGCACCAGGTCGCGCCAGCCGAGTTGGAAGCTCACATTTTGGCTCACCCTGCCGTGGCTGATTGCGCCGTGATTCAGGTCCCCGATGACCGCTCTGGCGAAGTTCCGAAGGCTTTCGTGGTCAGGTCGCCGGGGTTTGCCTCCCAGCCAGCAGAACAAGTTGCCCAGATCATTACCAAGCACGTCGCTGACCACAAGGCGTCGTACAAGTGGATCAGGGGAGGAGTTGAGTTCTTGGACGAGATTCCCAAAAGTCCGAGTGGCAAGATTCTGAGACGGCTGCTTCGGGATGCGGAGAAGGAGAGGAGGAGAAATGAAGGCAGCAGATTGTAGGCTTTGAGTTGGTACGCGGCCCAAAGAAACTCTAGCCATCGTCGCCTGGGACATTCTCAATGCTACACTCCCCAGGGCTCTTTGGCTTGAGTGAACTATCGAAAAGGGTAGACAATAGGCTAAAACCTACCATTTCAACAGCGTCGTGTTTGTAGAACGAGTATAGTAATGTGCTTCCGTCAGATTTCAATAACGGTATGACTGACTGGTAGCGTTGCCACGCAGAACACAGACTATCCCATATCCTAGAGACTACGGCATGCCCCAAAAGAACCCCAGAATCAGGCTTCAAACTCTCTAACGCCTAGGGAGGTCAGACGACTTGATATATTTAACATCGTCAAGTTCTCCCTTGGACGAATCGTGTACCAGCACATACCCTGCTTTAGCATCCGAGCTGCTCCTTGAAGATTTCGCATATAGCATGGCAGAACCCGCTGCCAGAACGCATAGACCGGTAATCATGGCGTATCTCCTAACAAACCGTGGAACTCCTTTTAGTCCTACAGCTCAGATTGACGGGACAGCATACGATCCTTCACGTACCTCCTCAGCGGTTTGCTATCAATGAGCGTTTCCTGGCCAGCAGGTCCGCCCATATCATCGTGTTGTTTGGCAGCTAGCACATGGGGTTTGTCCTTGTTAGGCGCGTTCACGACATGGCGGGCTTGGATGAAGGCAGGGAGGCAGGCTTGGAGAGGGCTCCTGGTCCCTGCCGAGGTCGGCGCGCGGAAGAGTGTGAGGAGACGCCTCTGGGCGACTCTGTTGGTTGGTGTGAGCATCACGTCGGTTTCTGACTGCTGTGAGCAAAAGTAAGTACTATACGGTCAGAACGGACAGGTATTATTGAAGGTGCAATGTCTAAACCAGCGCGAGAAGTTTAGAGTTATGAGGTGGAGATTGGCGATGACATCAACATGAAATGACGTCGAGAACAAAGTTGTGGGGCCCGGCACACAAGTAGATCCGTACACAGGAGCACAAACCGGGAGAGCGTCCTACGTTTCCCTTCCCCTCGATTCCCCAAACTTTGTGATTGCAATATAAATGCCAGTAAAAGCTGCTAGTTGTTTGAGAATCCGCTCATTCCAATATACTATGAATGCCAGCCACGATTGGAGACATGCTCCAGTAACTCGCATAATATAGTTACTCAAGATCCTGCTTTTGCCTGGATCGACTCTCACATTGCCCATCTCTCTGACCATTGATAGACAACTGCAAACTGACGCTCCCTTGAGGCTTCTCACCTCGGAGTTAAACCATTAGAACACGGAAACCCCGTCTAACTCTGAGTCTGAGCGCTTCGTAGCAACGGGGCGAAATCTCGCTTTGACCCCCGTCATCATCGCCAAGAAGTAACAGGGCATGTCCTTCTCTGCCGGCATGGCCGTAATCTCCACGTCAAACTCCTTCAACAACATCGGGACCGCTTTAGACAAGACCAGCTCGGCAAGATGCCTCCCCGGACAAGTCCGCGCCCCGCCTCCCCACGTCAGGTTAGTACTCTCCATCATCCGAACCCTGGCATCGTCATGCTCAGCAAGCCAACGAAGAGGGTTGCACCTGTCCGCATCCGCGCCAAAGATGTCTGGATTCCGGTGCAGTGCTAGAGGATTGCAGCCCACCGTCGTGCCGGCAGGGAAGAAATGGCCGTGCAGATGCGTTCCGCCGTGGGGAACGCTGCGCGGCAGTGCCATGGCGATGACGGGGTAAAGTCGCTGAGCTTCGCGCATGCTTGCCTGCGTGTATCGCAAACGGATAGCGTCGTCGTAGGTGAAGACTTTTGGGGTTTGGCGGACCTCCTCGGTGACTTTGCGATGGACTTCCCGGTGGGATCCGATCATGGCTATGATGGCAGTGAGAGCCGAGCACATCGTTTCATGACCGGCCCCGAAGTTCGTGACGGCGAGGCGGCGCAGGTAGGTCTCAGTGAACTCGGGCCGGTCCTTGTGGAGCTGTATTAGATCGGCGAGCAGGTCCTTGCGGTCGTCCTTTTTGGCCTTGGGTTGCACCGGCCCCCGAAGGGCACCAGCGATCCGTTTTGACGTTTTCTGATAGACTGGCTAATGAAGCAGTCAGTGATTGAGCGGATCGAAAGCAAATCAAGTCGGCCCGACTCACTGTGAAGAAGGGCTTGAAGTTTTTGGGCGTCGTGAAGGTCACGCCCCAGATGTTGGAAAAGACCCGGCTCAACGTCTTGGAACAAAATGACAGTTTGGTGATGGTCGGAAACAGGCCGAAGATGCTTTTTCGTTTCCAGCCGAGGTAACTCTGTGCACTGGTTCCGCCATCTGAGCGGTTCCTAATATATCCGGGGGACCAGGAAAGAACCACAGCCCCAAGGCACTCGACGGCAATGATGTGCATCCATTCCTTCAAGTCCACTTCGGCGCCATCCAAGTCTCGCAACGCAGAAATGACAGCCTTGACGACGCCGTCCACGGCAGGTTCGAACTTTCTGAGATGAGAGGTCGAGTATATGGGTCCGATTAGCCGCCTCTGCAGCCTATACCGAGTGACATCAAATTCAGAGAGGAAGTCGAGTGTGTCGGGGAAGCGCGTATTCAGCCTCCGATCCACGACAGGCCGGTTCAGAGCGGTAGCCACTACAGAGACGTCAGGTTCAGTTTGCGAAAACCAAGCCACGGGATAACGACTCACAGTAGAAGTTTGATTTCTCATACCTGTGTCCTGTGCCTTGGAATCGTCAGTGGACCAGGCGGAACGTAATGTCGAGATTTCGACGGCGTACGGTAAATTTGCCTGAATGCCTCCCGCGAGTTGAACCACACTTCGTTGGGTCCCACCCGTACAACAGGCCCATACTGCTTGTGAAGCGTCTTGGCCAGTTCATGGATGCGGCCTTTCCGCACATAGAGCCCTTGCCAGATGTTGGAGAGTGCAGCGACTCGTGGCCCGGGGACCCGTGCGAGAGGATGGAATAGAATGCGGTAGATGGCGATAGTAAACACGGGCGAAACAATGAGCAAGACTGCGGATGAATACAGCACTCCTGAGATGGAGCTCGTGGTCTCTTGAGAGCTCATTATCCCGTGTGCTCAAGTGCTCAAGTCTGTTTGTTGCTTGTCGGTGAAACTCGACTCGGATAGTTGCCCGGGGGGGCAGATTTGGCTGGCAGACTGAAGCATTTCAAGAACTCATCATTTGTGTTCGGTGAACCTCCGGCGCAGTTCTCATAGCGCACGTTGTCCTGTCGCACAGGAAGGAGTGCAACGAGTCGAAAATTGGAACCCGATTGTAGCCTACACAGCGCGGAAAAGAGTTCATCCACCCTTCCTGTGCGGGTTAGGGTTGCGTAACGTCAATTATCACACGAACGCTAAACTCGAAACGACTCAACAAGAATCTCCTACTATCTGCATGCCTCCCCCTTCTCACTCAGAAGCCAGTCACTGGGGTGGCCCAATACTCAGGATATCCAGACCTCCCTGCAGCTGGGTCTTGCTGGGCATGCGGTTGAGCGACATGAGCTGGGCGCACTGCGCCATGGCCGGGTCCATGCCCATGCTCGCCATGGCGACGATGGTCTCTCCCTTCGCGTAGTAGGCCACCCACTTGCCCTGCTCCGGGTCGCCTTGCAGCACTAGGTCATCCCACCCGCCGGCCATGGTGTTGCCACAGTAGCGCAGCTGGGACCCGAGAGCGCTCCAGAACACGGGCGTGTAGAACTCCGGTATGCGGTTGGGGTTGAGGATGTGGCTGGCAGCTGTCCGCCCAGCATTCTGCGCAACATTCCAATGCTCAATGCGCACATACTTGCCCTCTCCACCAGGGCCCCGGTAAGGGTGTGTGGCAATATCCCCCAGAGCATACACGTCCTTGAGGCCGACGACCGAGTAAGTCTCGTCCACCTTTAAGCTACCGTCTGGCTCCAACCGGACAACGCTGTTGTCCTTGAGATACTCCGTCGCAGGAGCAACGCCGACGCCCAGAATGACAAGGTCGGCCTCGAGCGTGGTACCGTCCTTCAGGTGGACAAAGCCGACATTGGACGGGTTGGAGGGGGATGGCTCAGCCTTCTCAACGCCCGCAGACAGGTAGAACTTGACGCCCTTTGCCTCGACGCCCTTCTTGATGATGTTGCCGACCTTCTCTCCGAGGACACGCTCCAACGGTGCCTTCTCCATCCCGACGACGGTCACGTCGTTCCCGTTCGACGTGGCAACCGCAATCTCCATGCCGATGAAGGACGAGCCGATGATGACGATTTTCTTGCCCTTGTCGCCGATGGCGTCAACAATGCGCTTGGCATCATGGACGTTGCGGAGGGTGAAGATGTTGGCCAGCACCTTGAACCCCGGAACTGGCAGCGCCCTGGGTGTTCCACCCGTCGATAGGACGAGCTTTGTGTAGGCGAACTTGCCGCCCGACTTGGTGGTGACGGTCTTGGTGGCGAAGTCGACGCCAGTCACCTCGTCCTGTACAATGTCCACGCTGGCGTCCTTGTACCAGCCCTCGTCCCGCCATTGCAGCTTTGCCAGGTCGGTCATCAACGCCTTGCTGAGCTTTGGCCGGTCAATGGGCAGGTAACCCTCGTTGGAGATGACCGTAATGGCGCCTTGGTACCCGCCTCCACGCAGTCCCTCGATAACCCCCAGCGCGCCGGATCCGCCCCCGACGACCAGGACCTTGTCCCCAGTGACAGCAGAACACTTGAACAATGGTGCGCGGTGACCCCGCTTGATGGTCTCGGCGTCGCCAGTGATGTAAACGGCGCCGTCGCGTTCGGTCGCTTTGAAGACGGGAAGGGCGTTCAGGGCAGGGGCGTCTTCGACGTCGCCGGTCTTGGCATTGAAGCAAGCTGCGGTTCAAGACCTCCATAGTCAGCAACAGTCGCGCGTGAAGACAAAAGAGCGGAGGGAAGCGTTTCGGTTACCTCCGTGCCACGGGCAAGTAAGCTTCCCGTTCGTGCCCAACACACCCTTGACCAGAGGCGCTCCATAGTGCGTGCACCGAGGACCAACCGCCTGAACCGTTCCGCCTGCGTTGAGCAGAAGGACCTTTGCGCCAAGGTCCTCAACCTCGACCTCCTGCTTCTCACCCGGTTGCAGCGCGAGCGAGCTGACGCCCTTGAGCTTGTATTCCTGCGCCATCTTGCTTGAGGCGACCCCAAAACACCGTCTGGCAGTAGTTCCTCGTCTCAAAGGGATAATGAATCGTTCGATGACAAGCGGGTGAGGGACGTTGCGAGCGGCTATCAACCTGAAGGTTATCATCAATATTAGCAAAAGAGGGGAAACCGAAGATGCCGCAGGAATAGTGTTGGGCGAGGACGGAAGCGATTGGGAGCTGCACCTCAACCGCGGTTTCGTGCAGCACAGCCCACCGAGTAGGAACCTCTGGTCGCAATGGGAAGGAACATTGTGTCGAAGTGAGGGGCACAACCTGGAATCCGTAATCACGACCGATCTGACTGGTCGACTACTTCAGCCGGCGTGATCTTTCTTAAAGTTCGGTGTCGTCATTGCGGGGCGGGGGAGCAGCAAAACGTCCTCCCAGCTTCCTGCTGTCATGCCAGATTCGTGCCAAGAATGAAAGGGTTAGGGCTGGCCGAAGTTGGACTCGCCCATAGTACTTGTACCATAGAGTAATGGTTTCAGTCTCCGCGCCATTAGAGACCCGCCTGGAGAAGGGAAAATGAGAGTAAGTATACCAAATCCTGTACTTCGCTACCCATTTGAAGGTGACCACCCTTAGCCACTCATTGCCGGCTCCCCTTCGACTACCACCATCCCGTGCTTGCCATGGTAGGTGGAAGGTTCAGCGGGCCGCCAGCCAGCTCTGTGCAGGAAATCACCATCTTCTAGACGCAACACCTCGACCTTAAGAGGACGGCAGCACTTGATCATTTCTTTCTCGCTGTCGGCGCCAAAGCCCCACAATGACAGATCTCCTCCAGGGCAAGTGCCTGTCAGACTGTGTTAGACATGCTATGCTCGGCCACCCAAAACAAGAATGCGTGGGGGAAACACAAACTCAATGCCATCAAGACGTCCTGCTCTGCCAGAAACTCGATGTAATCCCCGCTCTTGGCGGGGCACGGGTTCATGAAGTATCTCCCCTTTGCATCCAGACCTGTCACTTGGAAGATGTTGATGACGTCGTGAACATCAAACTCGGTCAATCCAAATGGCAGCACGGCGCGGGTTAGGTTGGAGTGGCAGTGGAAATCATACTGCCCCCCGCTCAAGACGGTGTTGATGTAGGGATCGCAGCGAGTGCCGAGCAGGTCATGGACGCGGCCGCCATGTTCATCCTCGCCATACCAATCCAGGCTGTCCGCGATGATGGTCACCAAGGGCCGCATGTACGGCAGACACGACCAGAGTCGGTCATATGTCGACACGTGGGTTGCGTGCAACTGCCGAGTGCGCGACGCCCAGAATCGCTCCCGAGGATTGTGCGCGTTCCAGATGTTCAGGTCGCCGACCTGTGGACCGTCGGGCGTGCTGATGCGGATGATGCTCCCGGCCGGCGCTTTCCAAGCACGACCGGACCGGATGGGAAGAGTGAATTCTTCGGTGAGGAGTCGCGGAGCCTTTTGGATGGAAGCATAGAGGGCCGTGTCGACTGTCAGGGGAGATCCCGCAAGAGGGAGATAAGCGGGGACCGGCGTGGGGATAGGCTTCCGACTCTGCTGACGCGCTGCTACGGCATTTGCGAGGCTCGATGTATCTTGGTCCTGCGACATTTGATTGGAAACTGGCGGGCGTATTGGGCCGAGTATTCTGGGCCGGATTCTCGAGGACTCTTAAGGAGAGGGTGAACTCCGGTGAAATCAGCAATCTCAAATCAGTTCCTCTTCCATCCAAACCCGTTTCAAAGACCCGAGATCGGCCCTGACACAAGAAGGTGGGTTTGTTCGCTAACGAACCCCACAATTTGGGTTAATGCCGAAGACAACCCCGGATGGTCAAAACGACCCTTGGGTATCTCGGGCTTCACTCCTGATCGTGGTCATGGTGTGGAGTTGAAGCTGGAGGCTGGTCGGGAAGCGTCGGCTTTCGGTACATGTCGGCCCGCCGATTTTAATGCATCCAGTCCATACAGTTGCCGACACCCTGTACATCCGTACTTATATAAGGCCAAGGTAACCTGTCTTGGCCCCTTTTTGTGCAACCGTCCTCCACTTCATCTTCCGTTCTCGCGACATCGAAGGCACGGACGAACCTAATGCCATCGCCAGCGTCATCCACATCAACGAAGTATCAAGCCGCTCTTCCCTCAGGACCATTAATGCGAATAGTCTCACAACAGCTACCGCCGCAGCGAGAGGAGCACCTGTGTACTCGGCGCCTCCTTACCCTCGGAAGGGGTTTTTTATTCTGGGGGGGGGGAGGGGGAGTTGTGGGGGAGCTGAACTTTCCCAGCTTATATTTATCAAGCCATTCAAGCCATTGAGCGGCTAATGCGCTGCTCAAAACCCCTTAAGCCCGTCTTGAGCAGTGCCTTAACCGCCCGATTTTCAAGCCGCTCAATACAGGAGGCGCTCCTTCCGCCCAAGCGGCCTAAGGACCGCCCACAAACCTTATAGGAAGGAACGGCTTCCTTCAATAAGCCGCTTGCCAATTAAGCCGCTACTTAGTCTTGTACGGCTCATAAGGCGCTAATTTGCATGACCTAAAGTTTCCCGGTTTATATTCTTTGGTGAGCAGTTGACGTGGCATTGATCGGCTGCTCAAGTACGGCTCCCCGACGCCCCTTGCGCGAGTAGTCTCCCACCATAGCCCGAGGTTTCCATTGAGCAGCTCATGAGCGGCATGATTGGCTCAGCTCCCAGCATGTGCTGCGCTTCCTCAACGCTCTGGAACGCTCGCCAACTTCAATGAAAACCCGGGGTAGCTGCTGGTTGATGCCTGGCGACGAAGGCAAAAGCTCAAGACTTGCACGGCTTCAGTTATCCATGGATCCAGTATGTCTGATGGAAGGTAGAAGGACGGTGCGTCCCCCCCCATCCCTCTCCTAACCGTACGGTTCAGTATTCTCTTGTTCCTTTTCCTTCTGCACCTACAAGCTATATTGTTATCAGGTGCCTTTTAGAAGGTTTACAACCGCCTCTCTGTGAATCAGCACGGCGCTCAATCTTTAGCGGATCACCAGCTATGTGTCCCCCTTCCACCCCGCCCGACCGAGCGGGATCTGACGCCGGGGAAGACGAAGAACGGCTCATGGGTCGCCCGGGGACTGCCTCCGTTGGTTTCGACGGGCCGCTCGTCCACATGCACCCGCAGCCGGAGCAGGTGAAGTTAGTCTACAAGAACGCGGGAAGAGCGCAGGGAGGACGCTCCTCCTCCTCCTCCTCCTCCTACTTGCTACCACCCGAACAGCCAGCGCCGATACCAGCTGCCGGTGCCGATCTGGCTGCCCTTTTCGCTTCACCCGGACGCGGTGGCCCCCCACCGAACTACCCGCCCCCGGACAAGCACTGCGACGGATCGCCCTCCACCGCGACACCCACATGGCCATCCTGCGACCTGTCCTATGGAGAGCCCTCCGCGGGCTTCTCGGCCCGGACGCCCCAGTACATCGGATGGTTGATGCGACACTCCTCAATGACTACTACGAGGGGGTCGTCGTCGAAGGACCTCGAAACGGGGTGGTGGAGCAAGCAGTACGGCCCGGGAGGGCCGCGTGATTGACGCCTACTGGGACGTTGGGAAGAGCGTCTACGTAGTGCAGTTCTTTTGAGTTTCGCCTCAGCTGGCGCGTCGGGGTGGACCATGTCGGCCCGCCGATCGCGACACTCGTGGCGCGAGACGAGCTCGGCGAGGACGGGGAGGCCGTTTTCGACGTGAACGAGCCCTGTGAGCGGTGGAGATTGCCGTACAACCGTAAAATCCACGAGCAGGTGAGTGGGATTAGCTGAGGAGTGTAAAAAGCGAGGTGTTTCTGGAGTGTACCGAGACGGGTGTGCGACTTCGTCTTAAAGATCGCATCCACACATTCCAAAGATGGTAGGTAGTTGCGATGCGCCGTCCGTGGATTCATAATCACGGCGTGCGAGTCACATCGGAGCGCTCGGAACTGGAAGTACGGGAGAACAGCCGGCACCAGGTCCACCCACTTTGTTCCAATCTGACCCTCTGGTGGTCATTCTCTAATCGAAGGATTCTCGGAACTAGCGCTAACCTGCACTAGTCAACATTATCCGCTTAAAGGACCATGGTCACGGGCTGCTCGTCGCCCTAATGAAGCTCCAAAACTAGCAGTTCGATGCGAGGTCAGACTTCAATCACTGAAGGCACTAATACCGATACATCCGAGGCAATGAGAACTTACCGGTAAGCCACCATCCGCCAACAACACAATCGCATAACAGCATCACAAAGTATAAGTACCTTACGTTGCTCAATTGGCGGGTTCTGATCGATTTGAATTTGACGAATACATTATTACCTTATTCAGACTTTGCTAGGTGCGAGTTTCATTACTCAGCACTCATCTCTCATCATTTCTGTCATACCGCTCACCACTTATCCCTACCACCACACGGTTCTTTCAACATGGAGTTCAACCCTACTAGAGCCGTTGTTCATAACGAAGGTTGCGACCTGCATTACTGGTACCAGGGCAAGGGGCCGCTCATCACCTTCGTCCCGGGCGGCAACGGCCATGGACGGCAGTTCAACAACATGATTGCCACCTTATCCGACAGGTATACCTGCGCCACCTTTGACCGTCGCCAGATGTCGGCAAGCAAGGTCGAGGTCAATAAAAAGCTCAGCATTCCGCAGCAAGCCCGAGACATCCGCGCCGTCATTAAGGCCGTGGGCTTCGAGAAGTCGATCGTCTTCGGGAGCAGTAGCGGAGCCATCTTCTCCTACCATCTCGCCCACGACTTCCCCGAGATGGTCGACCACCTGATCGCCCACGAGGCACCCACCATCAACATCCTCCCCGACGCCTCCGAGGTGTTCGAATGGTTCCTCCACCTCATGGAGGTCTACGAGACCCAAGGCCTAGACCAGGCCGCCGGCGAGTTCGGCGCCAAGCTGCTCGGGTACGACGACGATGGCGTTCCCAAGACCGTTCCCCCCGAGCCCGAGAACCTGCGCAATTTCTGGGACAACGAGTTCCCCGTCCTGCTGGGCTACACGCCCAATCTCTGGCGTCTGAGGCAGAAGAATACCAGCATCGGCGTCATGAGAGCCGTCAGGTCGAGGGATGCCTGGTTTGCGAGGGCAGTCGAGGAGCAGGCAAAGATCCTGGCATGCACCAAGCTGCTGGTCCCGGGACACCACCAGGGGTTCGAGGTCGAGACTAAGGAGTTTCTGCCTTATTTCCTGTACATGCTGGAGATTTTGGAGGACAAGAGGAGAGGAGTGTAGGATACCCAGTTTTGAGCCTCAAGATTGCCGAATGCCATTGAAGTCGGTGACTTGCCATTTATCTGCTATGTCTAAGTAAAGCATTCCTGGTGATGGATCACTGGTGACCAGAAGCGATAATAACAATCTGCATGGGCCGCCTTGAAAATTGGGGATGTATGATGTGTATTTGTCGGATACAGAGTTGACAGTTAGAACAAGATTGTGTGCCAACTTGAACTAGAACTATGGACCACCTCGGCTGGACACCTTGAGCCATTGCATGCCTACCTCCCTTGGTCCCATGTCGAGGACTGGTTGGCGTCGAACCGATGGGATAGTCTTGAAAAAGCCCCGGTTGGACTCTGCCTACTCATGACGTGGGATATCTCTCCCCTTGGTCCCACTGTTTGACAAGTGATTAGCTGTTCAGTTCATTCCTAAGGTATCAGAACCCGGCTAACTGGGACCGACATGTTCAGCAATGCAGCCTGCTTCCCAGCGGAACCGGTCCACGACCTCACCAAAACCAGCAGCTCTGTAGTTGACCCATGACATATTACCCCTGATTGTCGAACGGAGCAAGGTGTGCTGCATGCCGTCCCAAAACGGACTGAGGATGCTCCAAGCCGACTCAGATCCGTTGCGAGCGGCAGGGTTGTGGTTCTGCGTATCGAATTGTCAGCTCCCTCGACACATATATCTGAGGCGGGCTAGCTCGGTGAAAGTCGTACAATGTAGTCGGCAGCAATATATTCAAACGCCTTCGAGATGTTCTTCGATTTGCCAACAAAAACCTCAACAAAGGCCGCGAACCTGGCATCGGTTTCCTCCTGCGTGGGAGGCGGGTTCATCCTGACACACGGAGGAGGCGCCCTTCTCTGTCTGGAAAAGAGAAGACTGCCTGGCTCGGCCACAGCCGCCCCATTGTTGGTCGGTAGGGCAACCACAGAGAATGGGGTGGCGAGGAATGCCACGACAGAAATCAGAACGCGCATGTTGGAAGCGTTCGAAATGAACATGAGAATAAAGTGAAAAAATTGACGAGAGGAAGGGGACCCTGAGCTTCCCGCTGTCGAGATGTACCTGGTATGCAGTTATATCTCTAAGCAAGCGAGTGGGGACCGGTACTCCTTCTGTCTTCTCCGAATCAATCTAGAGAGGTACCATTCCGTCAAATTTTCCCGTACCCATGCCAAACTACAGTGAGATGACAAATTGGTAGCATGTGAATCAAAGTCCCTTGGCAATATCATCTCCGCTAAGGTGCCTGCGAGATGTCGACACAATCAGATTCTGGGCTGCCCACTGATCCCTCGCAGCAGCTCATGAGATTAAGAAACAGTAAACGCGCCTTGAGGGTGGTCTCCGGCAAAAGACAGCACAGGGTCAGAATAGACTGGGTTGACAGGGACGGGGGAAGGGAAAAAAAGACGTCCATGACCGCCGGATAAATGGCGCCATTGTACACCAAGCCGGCAACTTCGCAATGTTGTTTCGCCATCGGAAGAGAACCTTCCACTCTAAGGCTCTAGACAGCTCTCTACCGGCGTCTTATGTCGGCAGTTGTTTCCTATAGGACTGGACCCGGTCTTGGCTTTGGTGTACATATCAGAGACGGATAGAATTAAGTAGGAAATGCATATACAGCCAAGCTATAAAGCAAGTGAAGTCTGTCTCGGTCATCCCATCCTTGGTACCATATCCACTATGCATCACCCACATTATATGAGACTAGATGCTCTATGTACAAAGCGCGGAATGCCATTTCCTCCTCCCATTGTGATGATCTGATCAACATATCAAGTCAACTCAAGCGCGAGTCCATTCATATCAGTTGTGCCAAGTTTTAGTAAATCTAATTCAAGTTATCAATACAAATACCGAGCTGAGGTGGATCGAGAGTACCGTGCGAGAGGTGCTGAAAGTTACCATCACCCTAATAACACATCAGAGTTAGCAGAGGTGGGGGAGTATAATGCCTCTCACCGGATTACACATTTGCTTCCGACATCAAAGATGCCACACTCATGGTCCTTCTTCATTTCGGGATCGGCGGTATACCACTCCACAGCCTAACCGTACGCTCGAGCTGCGAATCCATCGTTCCCCTCCCAAGACCAGGAAGCCAGTTGCGGGTTTGGACGGTTTCGATAGCGTGGTGCGTCCAGTCACAGCAGTTCTCGTCGACATCAGCCACGGGCATTCCCTGGCAAACCTGGTGGACGTGTTGGGCCGTGACGCCGGCCGGCAGTATCCCGAGGAGGATCCTGCCGATCAACTTATCGCCGTCGCGCCAGTCAGCTAATTTCCCTCTTGTCACGGATGAGTTGCATTCTCAACCATCGTGGTAGTCAGGACGATTGACAGGCCGAGGTCCGTAGAACGGGACGTGGAAGTATTCACCAAGGCCACGACTGTGCGTCTTCTCGAACCACAAGCCGCAGTGGAAGACGGGAGGGTTGCCGGCGGTGCCTACAGGTTCCTGCTGAAAGTAAACGCAGAAATAAATGCGGTTTCCGTCTCGGTTGGCCAACATTTTGGCGTTGACGGAGTTGGGGCTAGAGAGTTAAAGTGTATCTAAAATATGTGAGTTATGAAGTTCGTTGTCAATAGGTTGTTGATAGGCGAAGCGAGAGTGTCCGATGTACCTAACCTCGGAGAACTAGCTAGAGGCATCACAGTGCTTAATATACTCTTTCCCCTGCCTAAAATGCCACAGTAGCTGTTAGAGTCGAACAGCCTATGTCGTTGTATTGTTGCACATTCTAATTCTTATACGTTTACAATGAGAACGTTATCAGGGGGATAACAAACAGCCAAGGAGATTGAGCTCTGCCCCTCACAAATCATGACACCGTTAGAAGAAGCCCTCGCTTCCTCTAGACTCTACACCACCGAGTCTCAGCGTGGGAGATTGAAAGTAGTTTACCATGGTTACCTAGGCTCGTGCTTTGAGCAAGCAATGGAGTCAGGACAACCTGAAACAAGCGTGAACGATGAGAATCGAGAGGAGCATACAGATGCAAAGGAATGTCGAACAAGGGCATGTTAGAGCAATTATTGTTGTTTTGCGAACAGCATTTATATTTTGATACAATAATTTCTAAGTACTCCAACTTCAGAGGGTTAAAGCTACCCAAGATGCCAAGACATAAACAAGATAAAAGTGAAAAGCCGATCTCTTTGTCTGCTGATTCGTCCCTGGACTCTGACCCAACTGTTGCTTTATAACTATGCCATCAAAGAACCAGAATCAAGGGTACCTTATCCAACCTGTTCCATTCAAGTGCTTGATTTCCATCCTTCTTATCATGCTCATCTTCCTCATCCTCACCATCCTCGTCATTCTCACCGTCCTCGTCATTCTCACCGTCCTCGTCATTCTCACCGTCCTCGTCATTCTCACCGTCCTCGTCATTCTCCGAACTTCCAACACCTTCCGACCTCGGACTCGTCCACCCCCTTCTTGGACTAATCGGGGTTTGACTGGTGGCCACCCACCTTGCAACCGGGCTCTGAACCAGGCTGATCACAGCATGTCCACACGAACCCTTCTGGGAAATCTTCTCGCATCTCATCCGTGTCGATTGTTCCATGACAGCGTTCACCATAATCAAACCATAAGCCACCGTCATAGTCAGGTGCAATCTCGCTTAGATTTCGCTTGAGCATGAGAGCTTTCAATGATACGGGGTTTGAGGAGAAAATATACCCGAGTGGTGTCTGCATTCCCCAGCCTGATGACTGGCTTCGTAGAATGGCTCATCGCACTGTACACAAAATGCTGAGAGGAGAGGTTACCTTGAGCTTCTTATTGTTCGCGGAGTCCGCCCCAGCTGTTTTGGCCTTGATGGCGGCCTCCGGTTCCAGCATACTGAGGTACTGTAACTAAGTGTCTTTGCACGAACCCGACCGTCGACGCAGAGGCTGGTTAGAATAGCTTGAACCGTCCCATCCGAAATGTGGAGGTTCGCGCGTCCATTCTGGTTAAGCTGACTTCGGAAAGACGGAAGGATAGTTTTGTTCCTGTAATGATGCTAGAGAAGTGAAAACTGGAGGGGTCAATAGTTTAGACGCGTTTTCGAGCGCCAGAATCAATGGCGGGATTCTTGGCGCTGACATATGCACCCGCAAAACATCCGTACTGCACCAATATTAAAATTGTACCCTATAGGACGTAGCATTTCCAGTCGTGCAATCATCAGAGGTGATAATGTCACATTTGGAGCCTGGATGATTTGAAGGATTCTCTGGATCTGGGACTCATCATCTATAAGTCGGTTTGGGAGTAAACAAGGCCGTAGCAAATGCCAGCTCGAAGACAAGGTTCGGGGTTGCTCTACCGTTACATTCGGACCTTGGCGGGGCCGACATCCGCGGAGGATCGGACTCCTCAACTTCGTTCCTCCCCTCGGCCGGATGGGCCCAGGTCTGTCTCTCGAGTTCCCGCCAGATGCTAGCTCTTCGAGGCTCTGATTTCCGTTTCCACAACCCACCAGAGGAATCAAAGACCAGAAAGCCAGCCGATACTGTCAATGAGCGCGATTACAGACACCGATTGGAGCGTGGCCAGGGTCAGTCTGGTTTCCGGCTCAGCAGGCTCCGAATCAGAACGCTCAATCCAACAGCAGCCTTTGGCTCTGCCCCAAGCCGACTCTGCTTCTGGCAACGGGTCTAGCTTCAGACACGACCCAAACCGCCGTCGGGAAAAGCGTCAGCTATCATGCAATCTCTGCCGCCGTCGCAAGTAAGAAAGCCCTGGCCCATCTGCTGACTAGTCCAGTCGATACCTCTCCAGTCCGTTCAATACTGATCATTGATCGCATTTACACACCCTCCCAGGCTCCGGTGCGACCGCCAACAGCCATGTTCGAACTGCTCACTCCGCCAGCTGACTTGCTCGTACCCTGAGCAATCGGTCACAGCTTCGTTGCCGTCCAAGAAGGCTGCCATGCACGACCGCATCATTCAACTTGAGAGCCTTGTAATGTCGCTCGTCCCTGGCTCCAAGTCTCGGGCTATGTCCTATACTCCGAAACCGACTTGAGAATAGTCACTTACTTCGCTGGTATTCAAGGCACTGCACCGGAGAGCAGGGCAATGGGCAGCACGATCTTGCCGACCCCCGCCACTCCGACAGGCACCACTTCACGCATCATCTCGAAGAGGAGGAACAGTTTCAGGCAACACAAGACGACCATGGGCTCGTCGGCACTCATGAAAGTGACCGAGCACTCGACGCGCCACCTTCCCGCACACTGCTTCTTTATGCCCCTCACTGGCCAATCTCACGGCAAGAAATCCTCGCATCTTTACCCCCCAAAGGTGCCGTAGATCGCTACGTGTCTCGGTACTTCAACCGCCTGGACTTGGTCTACTGTCAGTGCTTCTTATCTTGACTCCAGCAGCACGTTGCGGCAAAGCTTTGCTGACTTGACCATTGTCAAGCCATTGTCCACGGCCCGAGCTTTCTTCGAGAGGCAGGTCCCGACCACTTATCAGCTTGATGGACAAGGCACAGGGCTGACACACATGCACTAATTAATACAGTATGAAGCGTTCTAAACCAATCTATCGAGCGTCCCAATCGCGTGGCTGGGGCTTCTCTTCAGCATGATCTGCCTGGCTCTCCTCGCCTCAGACGTGTCCGACACTGCCCGTGGCGACCCAGAGCACCGGTCACTCCAGATCCGCCTCTATCGAGAGAGGACGGTACAATGCCTAATTGAGGGAGAGTACACTAAGTCTGGCCCGTACGTGCTGGAGACACTAGTGCACTACATCTACATCGAACTGAACCTTCGAGGCGACGCTGACAAGGACATCTGGGCATTGTTTGCTCTAGAAGTGAACTTGGCCCTGCGCATGGGATACCACCGTGACCCCCGACACTTTCCAGGCATTACTCCGCTTCAAGGCGAGATGAGACGCAGACTATGGGCTACGGTTCTTCAGGGGGATATCCTCGTGTCCAGTCAAATGGGCATGCCACGCATGATCTCAGACTCCAAATGGGATACTGAAGAGCCACGGAACCTGACTGATGCTGACCTCGACGAGTCCACGACCGATCTGCCACCATCCCGCCCCGAGACTGAACTCACCCCAGCTCTCGGTATCATCGCGAGGAGGAGGATGTTTGTGGCCCTAGGTGCCGTTGCTGATCTCACGGCAGCGGTCCAGCCATGTAGCTATGCCGAAGTTGTGAGGATTGACGGGGTGCTGCGGGAGGCAGCTGCTAGTATCCCGCCGCCCCTGAAACCGAAATTACTGACTATGAGCGTCACCGATCCGCCCGAGGTCATGATGTCGCGCCTGTTCATTGAGCACCTATACTTTCTCGGACAGATGAAGCTCCACCGGCGCTTCCTTTACGCACCGCTGAGCCCTCACGACAAAGACGTCTTCGCCTACTCCAGGACAAGCTGCTTGGACGCCTGCCTCGGCGCACTTCGAATCCACAGCATTTTAGACGAGGAAACCTGTCCTGGAGGGCAGCTTCACATGATGCGCTGGCGCATGTCATCCATCATGAACCACACCTTCCTGACTGCAACCATGATCCTGTGTTCCATGTTGCATCGAGGCCGGACGCTTGAGCGGGAAGACGAAATCCTGGAGGCTCTGCGAAAGGCGAGGAGCATCTGGCTGCGCGCGAGCCCCAACTCACGCGAGGCGAGGAAGGCGGCCGAAACGGTAAACCTTGTGATGGCGAAGGTCAGAGCCGGACACAGCACACAACAGGACCGATATCGGGGAGTGGTTGAAAACACAACCCACCTGACCACCCGGAGCGACTTAGGGAGCGAATTTGGTTCTGCCCCTGACAAGGACGTTGGAGGAGCGGCCCTTCAGGCGCTCAATATGCTGGTCGCTGAAAACTCGAGTCTTGGGGATGGGGTTTTCGACCGTAAGTCACGACATCAATCACCCACTTACACCATTCTGGGAACTGACCATGGCTTAGCGGACTCATTCGTTGTTCCGGATCTCCTCGAGACATTCATGCCCGCAGATTCACAAGCGCAGACCTTCTCCAGTATGATCTAGTCTATTACTATAATTCAGAATCTTGCTGTTAGCCCTACGGCCACCGTCCTCGAATGTTGGCAGCCGGAAACAGGCCAGCAGGCCTCCAAAAAATGCAATAAGCAGCGTTGTTAGACGGGAACATTACCGAATTGGGAGTCTTGGACCGCCGGTCAGGTACTCAGATCCCAAACATCGCATGGACGACCCGCAGTCGTTGGAGGGTTTTCCACCCAACCCGCACCAAAAATAAAAAATCTCCCACGCCTGCTTTCTATAGACACTTCATTTACCAGATTCAGACCTGCCTTGGGAACGAGCCGACGTCTGTGGAAAAAGCGCCCGTGGCAGTGGCAGCGGCAGCGGCCCGGACCATTCCTATTTCCTACAGGTATAAAGTGGCCACCGGACGCCAGGCTCGCAACAATGGAGCCCGTAGACCTGGGCCACCACGACAACTTCCTTCTCAATGACGATATTAAAAGGTCGACGGCCGACTTCCACAAACACATTTTCGACAACGTAGCCATCTACAGCAAATATCGAGTCACGGCCCTGACGCACCTCAAGGACCTTGGCTCGATATTCTCACACGAGTACCTGTTCTTCACCGCCCATCATACCGAAACCGGGCAGCCTGTCCGCTTCCTGGCCGAGCGGGACGTGGCCAAGGACGTCGTCATTGTAGGGCCTCTCGTCACACGCAAGCTCGGGTCGTCGACGAAACCGCTCCCACTGCCGCTGCGGATCCTGACGTTCGACACCTCGGCGGCGACCCGGGAGCGACCAAGCCTCTTCCAAGTAGCAGCCGTCCTGAAGAGAACCTCGGCTGCCGGCGGCACCTACAAGCCCGGGTTCAAGGACTGCTTCTGGTTCGCCAGGGTCGTATACTCGGCGTTTCACGAGCGGTACAAGACGACGTCGACCCATACAACAGTCAACTCGGTCAGCCCCGGCCGATTGACGAGGTGGATATATCCCCAGCTGTTCAAGGGCCGTATGCTGGTAAGCTCTCCCAGCACTTCCCCTGATGTCAGAACCAACGACGCCGGATGAGGGCTGACCAAGTGTGTTTTCTTGTGCCCAGGCTTCGGCAAAAGATTATGCCAACCAGCACGGGGAATGGCCCGTCGAGTCGAAAAATAAAGATGGAACACTCGACGAGCTTTCGGACTGGGACTCGGTAAGCAAGAGGAATATTTAAAGAGCTCGGGACCCAATCCCTTTGTGACTGGTTGAGCAAGCAATCTAAGTCCAGCTAACAAGACTGGGCTTAGGGATTGAGAGAAGAAGTCTCGTGCATTTCAAATTAGATCTCCTAGGGGAACAAGACGTCGTTGACTGGCCACTAGATGTATTATTGGGGATCTGGTTCCCGACAGCTGGACGAGGATATTGCATACCTGTCGCTGGTCGGCAAAGTGCGTGCGGATATATACATGACACTCGCAGACCTGCTGTGTGATAAGCGAGAATGAGGGTGAACCTCACGTTATAACGGTTATATAGTTAACGTTATCATTTGTTTTTAACTTCCACCGCACCTCCCAGTGGTACCTCTTCCCGCACCGTCAGATTCTCCCTGTTCTCAATGTTCAACACACCGCAGCCCCTGATATGTAATAGCCGAGAAACCATCCCGGCTTTTACCCCTTGTCCTGCGGCCATCCATATGCGAAACCGTCCGGTTTCCCACTTCGCCCACCTCCCGCATTCTTCCCCCGCAGACGATACCTGACTCGAATGGGGGGGGGGGGTAGTGGAGAAGGATCGCGCAGTTGTCAGCAGCCCCCGCTCATTCATGCATGACGATCCAACAACCAAGCCCGAAGGGACCCTTACGCAGACTTCTGGGTCCCCTTCCCCCCCATACTGTGGTAACTTTCCTGACTTTGTCATGGCTGAGTCAGAGAGCTCAGCCAACGGTCGAACGATGTTGTTTCCCAAGAGACTCCACTGGCAGGATTACCTCAGACGGCTCAGCGTGCTTAGCCATGATGCGGCCGGCAGCTAGGCTCGGTGAGCCGATGACCGGCTTTCATCAAGCCTCCGAATCGAGGCCCAATACTTAATTGGGACTGCCCGCTTTGTTCTAACCAGAACCCGACAACCCACACTCTCCCCACCACCAAGGCCGGACCTCTGAACCTTTAGCACACATCTCATCATGGCGGACGAGGACGTTGTGAAGACCGATCTCTTGATTGTGGGCGCGGGGCCAGCCGGGGCCTCGCTCGCTTGCTTCCTGGCTGCACACGGTATGTGAGGCGGAGGACTTTCGAGTGATACACAGCTTGTCGTCCCGGCCGAGACACGCACGAAATCACTGACACCGAGGGGAATGATGCAGGCAGGAAAGGCATATTGATCGCCGCCGCGCCGGGAACGGCCGAAACTCCACGTGCCCACATCACGAACATGGCCGGACTGGGTGCGTGTGCATTCGTTGGAGTCGGACCCAAGCAAACACAGTCTGGCAATCTGACACTCGAATTACATATGTAGAGTGTCTGCGGGACATTGGCCTTGAGCAGGACTGTCTCGATGTTGCGACCCCGAGCCACAACATGGCGCATACAAGATGGTGCCGCAGCATGGCTGGCGAGGAGTTTGCCCGCGTGTACTCCTGGGGGCACGATCCAAAGTACAAGGTATGATAATAAGGGGCCGCAAGGTGCTTACCTTGGGTGGTGAATTCGTTGTTGATGCTGGGAATCCTGGATTCCATCCCTGATTCCAATGTCAAGTTTGGGCGCCTCTTATGTACTGACAGTGATGGTCCATGACTAGGGCGACTACGAGGCCGCAAGTCCCTGCAATCATGTGGACCTACCGCAAACACTGCTTGAGCCCATTCTCACCAAGAGGGCAATCCACAAAGGCTGGACGATCCGATTCAACACTAGATTCCTTCGGTTAAGCCGCCCATCGCCCGACGTCGTCATATCCGAGGTTCTTGACGAAGTCACGCAAAAGACCTACAGGATCCAATCTCGCTATCTCTTCGGCTGTGACGGCGCTCGAAGCCAGGTTGTGCGGGAGCTGGGCATTCCGCTCATCAAGAAGCCCGGTCAGGGCCTGGCCTTGAATGTGCTGGTCCGAGCGGACATGTCGCACCTCATTGAGAACCGCATCGGAAACCTGCACTGGGTGCTCCGGCCCGAAGAGATGAACGCTCCACCATGGGGATGGGCCGCCGTGGTGCGCATGGTGCGGCCGTGGAATGAGTGGATGTTCATCTTCCTTGCGGCACCCGGGCATGACCTGAAGGCCGAGGATATGGATGCCAGCCACGATGAGTATTTGGCGAGGGTCAAGGAGTTGATCGGCGACGACTCGGTCAAGGTTGAGCTGCTGCATGCCAGCAAGTGGTGGATCAACGAGGTTGTGGCCGAGTACTACTCGGATGGCAATGTGTGAGTTTCCCGAGTCACTGCCCTCGCCCCATTCTCGGTGGGGTAAGTTGGTAGATTCTGACCCTGACCTGACCGCGCATCTCTCAGCTTCTGCCTCGGCGACGCGACACATCGGCACCCGCCCTTCAACGGACTCGGTTCCAACACGTGCATCCAGGACGCCTTCAACCTAGCCTGGAAGATCGACTATGTCATGTCCGGCAAGGCCGGGCCCGAGCTCCTCGAGTCGTTCAGTAAGGAACGCCAGCCCGTGGGCGTGGACGTCATCACGCGCGCCAACCAGGGGTTGCGAGACCACATCCACTGGCAGCAGACGCTGGGCATGCTCGAACCCGACGAGACCAAGCGGCTCCAGATACTGGCCGAGTTCGACGACCCGGGCGAGAAAGGCCGCAGGCGCCGGCAGGCGTTTCAGGAAGCCATCTGGGCGACGACGACCGAGTTCCACGGGCTCGGCATCGAGATGAACCAGCGCTACGTCTCGGACGCCGTGTTTTTCTCCGACGAGGCTGGTCCACCCCCGACGCCGCCCGAGGACAGGGTCAGGACGCACCAGATCACGACGTACCCCGGCCGCCGCCTGCCGCATGTCTGGCTGAACACGAGGTCGCCCGGCAAGCGCGTGTCGACCATTGACTTGGCGGGCCACGGTCGGTTCTGTCTGCTCACCGGCCCCGGGGGGCAGGCGTGGAAGGATGCGGCGCGGGCGGTTTCTGAGGCGCTCGAGGTGGAGATTGTGGGCTACTCGATTGGCTGGAAACAGGACTATGAGGATGTCTACTTTGACTGGGCGAGGAAGCGGGAGGTGGACGAGGACGGGTGCGTCTTGGTGCGCCCAGACAGGTTTGTGGTGTGGAGGTCACAGAGCACGGTTGCGAACGCGCAACGGAAGCTCGAAGAGGTGATGAGGAGTGTGTTGGCTCTGTGAACATCAATTTGGGCCCCGAGTATTTGGATTCGTTGACTTGGGTAGACAACAAAGTCCAGGTTGAGTGTCGATGCTGGGTGTCAGAGCATTGCATCTGGAACGGAAGAACCTTCCGCCGGTGTGGAAGATGGTCAATGCTACACGATGTCTTTCGAGGAGCTCAAACATCAGGAAGGATGGTAGCCGGTCAGGAAAGGGTGTGTGCTCGCATGCTCCGTGGACATACAGTAGACTGTCCACAAGTAGAGGCCCAATATCAACTGGTTTTGGACAACTTTCTGGCTAATCGGATCGCGAATTGAAGCCTCGACGAATATGGGTGGCCCCCTTTGATGATCGTGTACCTGGCCGGTACCTTCTTATTATAGGTAGCATCACTCAATGTTCCAGGGGTCAAAGACCTGCAGAACTCCAAACACGTACAGTACGCGTAAGCGCTGCAACAGAGTTGAGGGGCTAAGTTTGGACGCCCTAGCCAACGCGTATATCTGGTACATGTGGTACTGCCCCAGAGCGGACTGGAGCAGATCGCTATGTAGGGACCTTAGGTACTGCAAAGTAAACGTCTGGAGAGGAGGACGACATGGTTCTGAGGTGAGGGAAGTTGAAGTCTTGGCGACCCTCAGCTGGTTCTGTTCTGCTGCATTATGACGTAGCCGTCGCCAGAAGCATCAAAGACCCTGAATCGGCACACCAATCAGTTCTTTCATGCAGTCAGAGGCACTCAGACGCCGAACGATGAGTGGCCTCAATGTTTGCTCATTGTGCACAAAACTTGGCAACGCTGCATGCCTTGTCCTTCTTCTGTCCTCCTCGAGTTCGACGATCTTCGTCGTCATTCCCCGAGAAGATGCTAAGAGGTGACGAGAAGCTGTCATGCGCCGACCTGCGAGACTACGGCGGGCTGCAAACCAGGCAACATGGCTGCATGGCACACACTTGGGCATGTGAAACAGCGTCACCGCCGGGTTCTGCCTACCTGTTGCTGGGCGACCAAACAGGGCAGAGCCCCCAATCCTCTTGCAGGGCAAGAACGTTGGAGGCTGGAAGAAAGAGCTTCGAATTAGCTGGTATAAGTAGGTACATCATTTGACACGTCCCGCGCCCTTTGGAGGTTGTGATCGTCTATCACCACAACCCACCTCTCACCGTCTGTTAGCCAAGAGCGCGACGTGCTCTTCCAAATCGTGACAGCAGCTTCCTACTCTCCCTCCGATCGCACCATCTGCTCCTAAAACCCGCGGCAACAGCTGCCTAGCAAACACAATGGTCAACGGAGAGACGCGTGCCCGTACCGGGCTCTCCACATTCCTGCTCGCCAGCAGCGCGCTGGTCTGGGTGTCATCTGTCATTGTAATGGGCATTCTCGCCTACTACGTCTCCATTGGCTATGGCGGTGACCACATCATCTACGAGCTGGTGATTGTAGGTTTTGATCCTTCCTCCCTTTTGTGGGCGTCCCGTGAAGCTGACTAGGGCGGGCGGCATGCAGTCGGTCTTGACAACGGTCTTCTTTCCCTTGGCATACTTCCTCCGGCTCTACCCAGGCCACATTCTCCTCTTCAACTTGATCTTCTCGTACCTTTGGATCGTTGCCGTCTCGTTCGCGGCTTCCGACTGGATCGGACCTTACGGCAGCCCCTCAGCCCTGTTGGCTACGGTCGTGGCCTTCACCTTCATCGCATTGTACGTGACCTCGAAAAGCCGACACAAAACTGAAGAGTTAATATCGTGCTAACTTGGCCGCAGCTTCTTCTTGTTTTTCAATGTTCTGTACGACTGGCACTACGGCTTCTACCGGGGCGGCGCCCGTACCAGGGCGGTCGTCTAGAGGAGAGTCACGGGGATGACTGTTGCCCCATGCAGATCGACGTAAATCAACAACCCAAGGCGGATTATATGTGCTGGAGAAATCACGGTTCGAGAGATTGGAAGGAATGACTAACAAAAAGCAAACAAAGGCCATGATAGCGCGGAACCGTTGCAGGCAGGGAGCTTAGGTGGCTAGTTGGGACACCGGCAAGGGTTGGAGAGTTTGACTGTACCATGATGTTTCTGTTCTTCTTACTTTTTAGCGTCGTTACTTTGGTTTGCCTAGCGAAGATAACTCTTCCCAATTCATTATCCCTAATAAGACTAACTATAAGACCGACCTGGCATCTCTTCGATGCGAGGCCACGACTGGGTTGACGCCACTGACAAGAAATAAAGATGAGACGCGAGCACTACAGCGCTCTCGGGAATTATAACTGTCGAAATTACTGATGTCGAGTTTGCTGCGGGAACTTGTGGGTTGCCTCGGCTATTTGATTTATTTCCATGAATCCTACTGCAACACTACGGCGCAGCGCAATGCGAGCTCGGTTACCCGCTTACCGCTCAAGTTGTTAGTACAATACATCAACTGATCCGCAAGCCCTTCGCATCCGTCCTTGCCTCACCGACACTGCCTACGATCTGTGACACTTCACTCCATGTTCGCGATGTACAGGGCATTTTGTGCAAGTTTGTTTGCTGCCCAGTGCCTCTACTTCGCCGCGCTTGTCCAAGCACACGTCTTCCTAACTTATCCGGGTTGGAGGGGCAACAACCTGGGACACAATGACGACTCTCCGTTTGGAATGCAATGGATGTACCCATGTACGTATCAGATTCCATGTCTGCGGCGTAATCGAGGCATACCGCAAGGCAAGCGACTGACGATGTCGCTTTAAATGCAGGCGGTGGCCTGCCGGTCACCACCAACCGCACGTACTGGCCTATCGACGGCGGCGCGGTGGGAATGCAGCCGGGCTGGTTCACAGGACACAAAACGGCGTTGATGTACATCAATATCGGGTTGGGCGAGTCACCCGACAACTACTCGTGGCCGATTACCAAATTCCATCTGCAAGGCCCTACCGACGCGCCGTATCCAGACACAGTCTGTCTGCCCAAGCTCTGGCTGCCCGAAGATGTGAGGAGCCGGATCAAGAGCGGAGATCTCGCGACGATCCAGGTGGTCCAGGCCGCGAAGCATGGCGCCGGGCTGTTTACGGTCAGTGGTCGTCCCATGACTGGAGTCACAGGTGTCGGGAGTCGGGGACTAACTGGCGGTGAGTAAAAGTGCGCCGACATCATCTTTACCGACAATGATAGCAAGGTGCCGGCCTTGGACGAGTCAAACTGCTCCAATTCGACCGGTGTTCGCATCTCGGACGTGGCGATACTCGGCGCAGGGGAGCTGCCCACTGCCTGCGCAAGCCTCGGCCTGGCTGCCACGACAGCAGTGGCAGGCACGGAAGCAACAGGCTCGGGAGGGATGTGGGCATGGTCCTGTGAGGAAAACGGGCGGTCACAACTGTTCAACGTGTCGGGCGGCAATACGACGCGCTGCCCGTCCTCAAGCCCTTCCCCAAGTCAAAGTGCAGGACAACAGAATGGCGTGCAGGGCGTCGGGGCGAGGAATGGCCTCATGGTAGCGGTGCCCGTGGCAGCCACCCTTATGGTACTGCTCGGCGCATTGTAGCCAGCTAGAAAATAACGATACGGAATATCAGAGGCTGCTGCGTGCATACTAATGATAGGGTGGTAGAAGCATCTCGTTTTGTTTCTTTTTTTTTTAAAAAAAAAAGTTAACGTTATCAAAAAAATAACGTTATAACGTTAACTAAGTTAACTTAGTTACGTTATTCGTTAACTAACTATATATAACTACCCGACTGTGGTGGTTCAACCCCAGTAATTGAAAAGCGAAGCTGCAAAACACTGTAGAGCACGCATGCCCTAACCCTCCTCCACCATCTTCCGCTTTCGGCAGGTGGGGTAAAAACAAACCCCGCACTGGCGCGCATCACTGCATAAACAAACACCAGCGCGTCTTATACATAGCCAACTTTCCAGCGGGCGGAGCACTCGGAGCCTATGGGTGGCAAAGTTCGCCAACTCTCTCAAACTCCCAACTCTCGTACCGTCTCCAACACCATGAAAGCCGTCCCGAGCCCTGTCTCGGCAAGCAAGGCAGCGGGGTCCCATGCACGAGCACGGCCTCACCTCGCAACAGTCACCAATGCAAGTGTGACAGGGGCTGTCACAGGTCACGCTCGCCGCCAAATTGCCAGTGTCGACTCGGCCCACACTCCTCGGCTTGCCCTGGCTCATGGACACCACCGCGCAGCCCAGCACACACGGCGCATCTCGGGCTCGCAACGCTGTTTGCACATGATCAGCGCCCAAGTCAACAAACCCAACCATCAGACCAAGGTCGGCATGTGGCTCGCCCATGTCGATGCCTGTCGTGCGGCGCCGCAGCCGTGCCCAAGTCCGAAACTGAACGACACATCTCCCAACACAGTTTCGCCCGAGACGACTCAGATTATGTCGAGACTCACTTTGCCACGAATGCCTCTTGCGGATATCACGCCTCTCGTCTTGGCTGCCGAAAGTAGCTCCGAGTCCAGCTTCTGGTCGTTCGACGAAGCACAAGTGCAACTGGCCTCGCCGCCTCGGAGCCGTCGTCATGCTCCGGACCTCACCAGAGCCATCGACCTGCTTACCCCGGACGAGGCAAGGCGGTTGCTGCTCCTATCTGCGCAGTCCAACACGTCCGTGGCCACCGCCATCCGGGAAATTGCCTTGGTCCGGGCCGAACCATCCATGTCACCGAAGCAACTTGAGCTCAACGAGAGCTACGTAGCCGACACCTTCAGGTTTGACGATCCGCGGGTCTTTGGCGGCGCCTGAACCCACGACGTTCCTGTTGCTTCATTTATTAGAGCCCGTCTCAACTCACAACATGAATGTCACGAGCTGCCGAGCCTCTGACGTGCTCAGCTGGCACCCAAGCCCCGGCGTTTGAGCCGGTCTACGCGACGCCGAGCCCCGCCGTGTCCATGACGGTAAGCAATTCCCTGTCACGGCTCTGTCCGCTACTTCATGTACGACAGTGCCTCTCCACTTGGGCCGCGCTGATCTGCAGTTGTGGTAGGAACCAGTCTACCTTCACCTGGTCTGGCATATCCAAGGGCTTCAGCCAGCACACACCTCATACCGGTGCCGCCGGTGCCGCACACCTTCAGTGATGCCCCGCGCCTGGCAGGCATCTACCGCTTGAGGCGTGACAGTAGCACAGAGCTGCATGATGGGCAACTTCTGTATATAGAAGGCTCCCGGGGCGTGAGAGGGCACGCCGAGCATCAACGTGCGCTGTGAGACGAGATCAGGAGGCTTAACCTCTCTCAGGGACGAAGCCCACGAAGACGACATGGATGCTTGGGCCTGTATTGGACCAGGACGATCGCCATTGAGCAGGCGAGCGTCCCACAAATGATAGGATGACTCGAGGTCCTTCCAGATGGACAAGGCGGAGAGCGGAAAAAAAGAGGCAACAAATTCATATTACCATGTAGTTAACCTTTACTATCACCAGTCTAGAACATTTGTGCGCTACTTTCAGTAACCCCATAAGGTTACATGTGGTATCAAACGTAGTTACAGTACAGAACTTTGCTGGACCCACAGTATTGAACTACCAACACAAAGCTGTTGGAACCTGCAGGGCGACGACCGCTGAGATATGCGCTGGAAGAAGCTATTCCCAGTCAAAGCAGTGGATTGAATTTTTAAGGTTGTAAAAAGTGATTGATTGACCATGCTGTTGATGGGCATGGGAGAGGACTAAGTATGTAAGGAAGAGGGGTTGCGGTGCTGGCACCAATCAACCACCGAGGTCCGTTGAATGCAGCCATCAAGGCGGCTTCGTTTCGACAAAAGCACGCTTCTTCCAATTTCCGGGACTTCCACCTGATACCATGCTCAGCGCCTCGAAATGGACTCCCAAACCCTCACAGCCTGGTCAACTCAGGAGTGCCCTCGGCCCGCGGAAGCGAGAACTTGGTCTCGACGAAGACCTTCTGGATGTTGTCCTCGTGGGCATTGAACTTGTAGTAAACCTTGTCGATATCCTCCAGCCGGTAGCGGTGCGAAAGCATCTGAATGGGATCCAACTCGCCCCGTCGAATCTTTTCCAACAGTCCCTCCCAGTACTTCATGACCGGGGCCTGTCCGTTGCCGATGAGACGGATGCCGCGTTGCATGACGGAGCCAATGTTGAAATGGTTGGTCTAGCAGGAACGGTTAGCAGCATGCAAGAGTGTTGCTGAAGTCCGGATGCCTTACGTATCCCACATAGACACCTGTGATGCCAGCGCGCCCATAGTTCCTTACGCTCTCCACCATCTCGTTGAGGATCTCGCTTGTGTCCGTCTCGGCGCCTAACGACAATTCAATCCAGTGCATCCATCCCTTGGCGTACTCCCCCGCGGCGCACTCGATGGCCACGTCCGGGCCGCGGCCCTCATGGCACAGCTCCTTGAGCTTGCTGACAACCGTCTCCTTGTTGGTGACGCCGAAGCTGAGCTTCTTGTAGTCGATGACTTCGAGCTTATCCTTGTGCTCGGCCGGCCAGCGTTGTTGAAGGGCAGACAATCGCGGCTCCGTGTCAACAAAGATCACCTTACTCGCGCCCTCGCCGACGGCAAAGACGCCGGCCATCTGACCAATGGGGCCGGCGCCGAAAATGGCCACTTGGTCATTGGGGTAGACGGCCGTGTCCTTGACGGCGTTGTAGGCGGTTGGGAGGACGTCGGAGAGGTAGAGCGCTACACATAGTTAGACGATCATGATATGATTACAGCTGAGAGTTTTAAAGGGATACCCACCCTTTTCGTCTGGGACATCGTCCGGAATCTCTAGCAGGTTGACATCACCCATTGGTACGCGCACGTATTCGGCTTGGCCGCCGGCAAAGCCGCCCGTGAAGTGCGAGTAGCCGAAGAAGCCGGCCGACTGGGCGCCGTACATGGCCTTGGCCGTCGTGTTGGAGTTGGTCCGTTCACATTGCGATGACAGCTTCTGCTTGCAGTAAAAACACTATCGGGAGAGAAACTGTGAGCTGTTTGTGACCGACAGGGTAGCAGTAGCAGTGTGTTAGTTGGTTCCTTTTAACCTACCTCTCCGCAAGTGATTTGGAAGGCGGCAACATAACGCTTGCCGACTTTGATGTTCTTGACAGCAGGCCCGACCTGGTCAACGATGCCGCAGAACTCGTGGCCGAGGATGTCGCCTTTCTTCATCTGGATAACGGTGCCGTGAAGCAAGTGCAAGTCACTCCCGCAGACGGTTGTCCCAGTCACCTTGAGGATCACATCTCGGTCCTCGAGAATTCGTGGCTTTGGCACGTCGACTGAGTTGGTGAGACCCTTTTGTTAGTGATCGGTTTGTTGTACTCCCCAGGTCAGAAACAGCGCCTCACCGCCACATACCAACTTCCACCTTCATCTTGCCCTGCCAGACGAGGGCCTTCATGGTCTCGTTGGGGTCGCCTAGTGCTCCTTCGTAATTGGAGACATCCTGCATAATTTCTTCCTTCTGGTGGCCGATTGCCTTCTCGGCTGCATACGCAGCTTGGGATGTGGCCATGATGTATAGTTTAGAATTATCTCAGAATGGTCTTGGGAAGGATGTGGGAGCTGAGGAATCAAGTGAGGGCAGGTGATTTGAGATGTGGTCAACCGTCGAGTATGTGATGAATGAATCTTGTAGATGGAATGTAAACGTCCACCGGAACCCTTTTTGTTCACTGAGATTCTGAAAGGCACTTGCTCTCCCACGTCAGGATACCAAGGCATTATTGCACTCTCATTGGACATGTAAGTTGTGGGCAGGTCCGATGAACACGATGATGATGACGGCGTGGGGTCGTCATTGGCAGCCAAGCCGGCAACTGTCCACTTCTGGATCTAATCAAACCGTATCAACCGCACATAGAACTGTGACATTGCCACCAATAACTTATCCGGTGCCTCAAGTGTGATTCTATGGAGTAAGACCTGGTGTGAAAGAAAGGAATTAGGGTTGTGGTGACGTCATGGACATATGCATCAAAGCCCGAAACTCCGAGTGTTGGAACAGGTGGGTCAACCGTCAACCAACTCGGCACTCTTGGTAGACAATTGGACCGCGAGTAGGACGCGCATTTTGACGAGTTGCCCAAATCGAACCCTGATTCTGACTCTGAAGGCTTTCAGTGGATTATACAGAGATAGTGATATCGTTATGACTGAGACCTCCGAAGATAAGGTTCGGCAGATGAAAAAACGGTGCATTCACAGATAGCCGGTACCAGGAGTAACTACAGAAATCAGAGGAAAGTCACTTGCACAGGCTTCATTTGTCCTTATATTACCCCCAGGGAGCCAGAGGCTACGGAACACCAGAGGAACGGCAGCGACTGAACGAAGATTGAAGCTTCAACTACCTAGCGAAGAGTTTGAAGACCACGTCGACAGATATAGTACAGTCATGGACCGGCGCATGCCTCGGTGCATGGCATTCCGCCCCATTGGCGGTATCTGAGAGAATCTTTGCAGACAGAACTCCTTAACGATGCTAGGGCCACAGTCTTCACTATTAGTGATTCACTCTGTACGTTTCTTTGTGTGTTGGGCGCGAGGGAAAGCTTAAAGAACTTGTAACATAAACAATATTGTAGTTCATTCCCCTGGCAGAACAGTAGAGCGTGTTCCAACTGTGGCTGTTTTCGGCATGGCAATGGACAGTCTAAGATACTGTATCGAGAGACATGGGCAATGGTAAGGTAGGTAGGTATACAGATATATAAGGCGACCAACTCAACTCATTCATAATTCCGTCTGCAGCCTTCTTGTTCCTAACTTCCTCCTTTCCTCGGACACATCCTCTTCTCCGCCTACTCAGAAGCGATGGGGTTTCAACGGTCCTCTCAGTCCCCTAGAAGCGTTATTATACTCGTTGGCAACGGAATACTGGTTGAGGCCGCTCCCCTTATGTCAGACACGCAAGAAACCACGTCAGTTTCAGGAAGATGTTCAGGAATTGCGATCGGTCTGACTGTACTCGGATGCACCACCGCAGCGGTAATCCTCACCGGAATTCTCTACTTCCGCAACTCTGTTTGCAAGAGCTCGGTCTGCGGAAGCAATGTTGAGTTACGGCCCAGCCCAATTGAGAAGCGTTCAACGGAAGGAGATTCCGCTTCAACTCAGCTGCCTGCTGAGCCCCAGCCTGCTCCAGTAAAGGGAAACTTTGAGCGCTGGAAGGAAAGGCGTGATGCCAAACAGGACGTGCACAAGGAGTACTTGCGGAAAAAGCGGGCCGAGTTTGCTGCGCTGAAGATGAAGCAGGAGAATGACGGCGGCTTGGTGGTGCCGTCAACGTCTCCTCCTAGAGTCCTCGGTTCAACCGCCTCCCGACATTGACCTGGATTTTGAAAGTTGGCTTGCGGTGCAAGTACTTAATAGCCCGTTGATGTCCTCTAACCAAGGTAATGTCGGAACGAAGCCGCCTTGATGGCTGCATTCAACGGACCTCGGTGGTTGATTGGTGCCAGCACTGCAACCCCTTTTTCAAACATACCTGACTTAATCCTCTCCCATGCCCATCAGCAGCATGGAAAAATCAAGCACTTTTACCACTTTTCAATTCAATCCACTGCTTTGTCTCGGAATAGCTTCTTCTAGCGCATATCTCAGCGGTTATCGCCCTGCAGGTTCCAACAGGTAATTTCAGTCAGATGAGATACTGTTCTCAATAACGGCACAGCCAGGTTGCCACGGGGCGCAGGTGACTGGAAGGTTGGAGGTCGTCCTATTACAATAAAGAATGAACAGGGCTTTGCTGCGTAAACGTTGACAACCAAGTTTTTGTCAGTAACTGCCGAATGTTATATGACTGCTTGAGCATTGTGGCTCGACTTCCTTTGTTCATGTTTAAGAACCTACGTTACATTCAACTGACGCCCCATTCTTCCGTGGTTAATAGAAATCTCTACCTAAGGCATTTCTGCACTTCTAACGTACATTAATTATCAGCTGGTGGATCAATTCCGTACGCAACGCGTCCCTCTTGCACCCAACACCAGTTTCCTCTACCACATCAACAAAGCCAACAGCCCCGAATTAACCGCACCGTAGCAATTGGGCACAAAAGATGGGCAACCACTCAATTGATGATGATCCTGGTGTCTGCGTTGTTCCAAACAGTTGCAGGCCTCTTCCTGATCCTGGGAATCCTGGTGCCAAGCCATTAAGTCACACCTGAACTGCCCTCCCTGACCACCTGTCAAATCCAACAGTATGTTAGGTGCTGGAAGACGGAGTAAAGAAGGCTTCGCTGCTCATTTCTGTGCGTCCGGGGTTTTGGCGGGTGACGCCAGGTACTTGTACAGCGCCTTAGATCCTCTGACTGAGGAGCAGCGCTCGCTGCTGAGGTACTGTCCAATCACAGTCTCCGCGGCTTTTACGTTGTCAGAGTGATATGGTCACACGGATGGCACAGTGGCGCATGCGTGTCTGTACGATGATCTGAAAAGGGAAATGCGTGTGCGTGGCGCAGGGTGGTATTGCAATCTCCCGGACTAACCAACGAACCTGCCGTGGTGCAGATAAATGCACCACAGTAAATCTAAGACCCAACCGTGCCGAGGAGCGAGGGCAGGTGCCTTGGTTCTCTTCATTGCAAACAACAAAACAGCGATGGGGTCGACATCTCTAGTGCCGGTGATGCCTTCTGTACAGGCAAAGGGGTTGGTGACGCTCTTCCTTCCCGACTCGGAGCCGATCTCTCTCGAGGCCTCGGCCATTGCCGTCAACACGGTCGGACGCGATCCAGTCACGACGCTGCAGGTTGCCTGTCCGACAGCGGCGTCTCCCGAGAATGACGCGTGCCGGTCGGCGGGCATCTACCCAGCGCAGGTCTACCACACCCAGGGGCCCGTTTGGGGCGGGACGACGACCTACTCAGTTGACGACAGCACGACGACGTGGGTGTGCACGCTGGGCGGCTCCAACCCTAAACTGTCCGGCGAATGCACCAAGACGATTGTCAGCTCGGGCTCGACGCGCACTGAGACGGCCGAGTACGGCAACTGTTATGTCGTTGCCCACCAGCGGCCGATTGTGGTGACGGCCGGCGGTGAGAATATCAATTCGCGCCATTATCTGGAAATGGACGCCAGTCAATACGTCTCGCTGCGAAGCCGTATCCTCGCCGAGGACGGGTGTCCTGCAAGCCAGACGACCATTTGGGCCGGCGCAGCTGCTTCGACAACCGCTACTTCGGGTGCGACGACAGGCGCCTCTTCGACTGGCAGTTCGCCGACGACGACAACCCCACAGTCACAGACCCAGACGGGCTCGGCCCCGGCAGCTACGTCTACCTCAAGTGGTGCCGGAAGGGCCGGAAAGAATGCGATGGTGGCGGTGTTGGTTGGAATGGGGTTGAGCTTCATCCTTGGGTTGATGTGAGCATGAGCACGGACGATTCTGGGCATGTGTAAAATTAGATGTTTCTCACTACAAAGCGGGATTGTTGAGAGCGTGTGAGATCATATCGGGTATAATCCAGACATCAGATGCGCCTGCCGACAGTAGCAGGGGCAGGGGAGCAGCCTCAGAGTTGACAAAATCCATTAATTGAGGTTCGCAGTGTGATACGGATCCGTAGAGCAGCGATAAAAGCAGATGTTTGTGTTGAGAGACGCTTTGGGAGAGGGCGCTTCAGCGAGCTTTTAGCGGATGAAGTGCTCCACAGAGGGCCAATGAAAGCCACGTGGCAGCGCACACTGCGCTATCCCGCGATCCACAGTTCCCTCACCGTCACCAGACTTTCGAACATGCGATCAGCACAGAGCTCCCGGGCCGACATCCATCTCGAAATCCTGCAGCCAACCCACACCAAGCCTCCTGTGACATTCCATGCCGTCACAGAATGCCACAGGCAGCAGTACGCAAGCCCTGCGGGGCGCGTCGTTGTTGATCCTGCTGCAGGTGGTCTCGCGAGCCATCACTTTTGTGGCCAACCAGGTGTTGCTGCGCTTCCTGACGGCCCAGCTGCTCGGCGTGTCCACACAACTCGAAGTCTACTACCTGTCCGTCATTTTCTTTGCCCGCGAAAGCTTGAGGGTCGCCATCCAGAGACAAGACTCATCGGATCTTTCATCATCAACCGGGAAGGGGGGAAATGGGCCGAGAAACAACAACAACACTTCGGCCCAGGCCGCAGTCAACCTGGGATACCTCTCGATTGCTCTCGGCATACCCCTCGCATTCCTGTTTGGGTGGCTCTACCTCAGCTCTCTCAGCGCCGACACTCTCGCAGCCGCGCCGAACCTGGTCATCTCTCTCTACATATACGCCTTAGCCGCCGTTCTGGAATTGCTATCAGAACCCGCCTTCGTCGTGATGCAGACCCGCCTGCAATTCGGCACCCGTGCTACCGCCGAGTCCGCCGCCACCTTCCTGCGCTGCCTAGTCACTCTCGGGTCGGCAGTATGGGGTGCCAGCGGTGACGCAGGCGTCCTCCCCTTTGCCCTAGGCCAGCTGAGCTACGGCGCGGGCTTGCTCGCCGTCTACACCTGGCACGGCGCAGGGCTCGCAAACCGGGAGGGCTTCTCCCTCCTCCCCCGGCGCATCACCACCAACAGTCCCGCAAGCAACGACAACAAAGACCGCCTACCGAGCTTCACTCTCTCCTACTTCTACCGCCCAACCCTGCAGCTCGCCTCGAGCATGATGGCCCAGAGCGTGGTCAAGCACGTCCTCACGCAGGGCGACACCTTCCTCGTCAGCGTCCTGTCCTCGCCGACCGCCCAGGGCGTGTACGCCCTCGCCAACAATTACGGCGGCCTGCTGGCCCGCCTCGTCTTCCAGCCCATCGAGGAAAGCAGCCGCAGCTACTTTAGCCGTCTCCTCGCGCCTTCGTTGTCGTCCACCAACACCATCATGTCGAAAGAAACAACAACCATAAAGGAAGCCCGCACCGCCCTCCAATCCCTCCTCAAATCCTACCTCCTCCTCACACTAGCCGTAACAACCCTCGGCCCGGCCGCATCAGCTCCCTTACTCGCTCTCGTAGCGGGCCCCCGCTGGGCCGGCTCCGGTGCCGCCGCCTGTCTGGCTGCCTACACGTGGTATGTCCCCCTGCTGGCCATCAACGGCGTGGCCGAGGCGTTTGTTGCGTCGGTGGCGAGCGAGGGTGAGGTGCATGCGCAGAGCGCCTGGATGGCCGTCTTCTCGGTCGTGTTCGCGGGCACTGGGTTCACTTTGCTGAGGGTGCTGGACTGGGGCGCCGTCGGGTTGGTGGTGGCGAACGGGGTGAACATGGCATGTCGAATCGTGTGGTGCGCCGTGTTTATCAGGCGGTATTTCGCGGCGAAGGGGGTCGGGTTTGATTTGACGGAGGTGTTGCCCTCGCCAGGGTGCGTGTTGGCTGGGGCTTTGGTTTCACAGGTTGTGAAGCGTGCTGTGGCATCTGTGGAAGCGCCAATTGGAGCACCGAAGGCGGTGGAGGAGCTGGTCAAGCTGGCGGCAGTCGCGCTGCCATTTGTGCTGGTAGTGTAAGTTGACCTGTCTCTATGTCTATGGTATCGGCTGGCTAACAACGAGCAGGGCTGCGTCCGAACGACGGTTTCTGTACAGCGCGTTCCACGCTGTCCGAGGGCAGCAGCAAATGGAGCAGTAAGGGTCCTTCAAGCCTCCAAAACAGCAATAACACAACCTCAACGCCCCGCTATCTATCTAGTCGAACGTGATCTTGGTGGCCTTCTTGCTCGGATCCACATCCTTGTAGAATGCCCCGTATGCATCGTGCGCCTTCTTCTTCACGGTCGTGCCGAATTTGAGCAGATCCTCGGGAACGTCCTGCTTTGCCGCCCTGAGAATGTTGATGAGCCTGAACATGCAAGGTAAGCATAATGTCAACAGAAATTGCACAACCACGGAAGCTTACGATCCAGAATGCGCCTTGTCATGCTCGGTGAACAGTGTGATGGCCTTGCCCTTTTTCCCGGCGCGGCCCGTCCGCCCAATGCGATGAACATAATCCTCAATCGTCAGGGGAAACTGTGGTTGGTCAGCTTCCACTGTCCAAGTTCTCCAAAGGGGGTGCGGCACCTACCGTGACGTTGATGACCAGCTTGACCTCGGGGATATCCAGGCCACGTGCAGCAACATCGGTCGCCACCAGGACCGACGTTGTGCCGGCCTTGAACGCCTCGAGGCTGCGCGTCCGCTGTTCCTGCCGAAGATCACCGTGAATACTGGCCACGCGGATTCCTCTCCTCTCAAGGAACTGCTCCACGCGGACAGCTTCCTTCTTGTACAAGCAGAAGACCAATATCCTGTCGTTCTTTGCGCTCCCCTTCTGCGCCTCCCGGAGCAACTCCAACAGCCGCTGCTCCTTGCCGCGGGGGTCCACGACCTCGACCTTCTGCTCGATACGGCTGTTGGCCTGCAGCTCGACGGACCCATTCCCCTCCCCATTCTCATCGCCGCCCGCGCGGGTGCGGTTGCCGATGGTGACCTTGACCGGGTTCACCATGAAGCCCTCGGCCAGGCCGCGCACGCTCGTGGGCCAGGTGGCCGTGAACATGAGCGTCTGCCGCTTCTCGCGGGGCGGGCAGCTTCCGAGGATGAGCTTGATGTCCTCCTCAAAACCCTTGTCGAGCATGCGGTCGGCCTCGTCGAGGACGGCGAACATGACGTCGGACAGCGACACGGCGCCTTCGGCGAGGAAATCCTTCAACCGCCCCGGGGTCGCGACGATGATGTCGGCGCCGGTATTCTTGCGCAGCAACGCGCGCTGGTCGTCCTTGGACGCGCCACCGTACAGGCAGACGGTCGACAGGCCGACGAGCGAGGCCAGGGACGACATGGCGGCGTGGGTCTGCATGGCGAGCTCGCGTGTCGGGGACACTACGACGGCGCGTGCATGAGCCGTCTTGTCCTTCTTGCTATGGGATGGCTTTGGGGACGAGGCGAGAGACTCGACGCAGGGGAGGGCAAAGGCCATGGTCTTGCCGGACCCGGTCTCGGCGATACCAATGACGTCGCGGCCGGAGAGGGCGTAGGGCCATGAAGCGGCCTGAATCGGCGTGGGAGCTGTGTAGGCGGAGAAGGGTTTCTTGGAGAGCAGGGTCGAGGTCGGCAGGTGCGAGAACTGAAGGACTGGGCGGAAATTGGTGCCGGACTGATCTGAGACGGCAATTTCCTGCTTCTTTAAGAACGCCTGGATCTCATCCTCGGACAGGGCGCCTAGGGCCAGGGTTTGCTGGTACGAGTAGGCGGCGCCGTTGCGCTGGAGTGCGTCGTTCGTGGTCGGGGCGGGGCCGACTGTGGTAGTGTCATTGGACACTGCGTCCTGCGTATCCGGAGTCGAGGTTGACTCTTCTGCAGACTTGGATTTCTTCTTCTTGACCTTCTTGTCTTTCTTGTCTTTCTTGTCTTTCTTGTCGTTCTTGTCGTTCTTGTCGTTCTCGTCGTTCTTGTCGTTCTTGTCCTTCTTGTCCTTCTTCTCGGGCTTCGACTCCGATGCGGCCTCAACAGCGACAGGGTCCTGCTGGTCCTCTTCCTGGTCCGCGTCCTCGAGCTCGTCTTTCTTCTGTTTCTTCCCCTTCTTCTCTTTCCTTTCCTTCTTGTCTTTCTTGTCCTTCTTCTTCTTATCGGCCTTCAGGGTGGAGGGCTCGCCTTCAAGCGTGGCATCGGCAATCTCGCTCGTCTTTGGTTTCTTTGCGACCCGGACGCTCTGGTCCTCGCTGTCGCTGCGAGCATGCTTCTTTCCGGCCGACATAATTTTTCGGAGCAAAATTGAATCGAACAACAATGTCGTCAAACCTCGCGAAAATCAACAAATTCGAACTTGGAACGGACTGGAAGCGTCGGGGGGCTTGCTTTTTTGGAATTTGCCAAATTCTTATCGATAACGTTAGTACGTTTCTGTCCTTTCCCCACCATGACATGGCTCCGCAGAAAAATGTCTTGGGACGTTCTTTTGCAATTTGAACACTAATGTGAGGCTCCTTCGCAGCTTCGCTGCATTGCTGGGATCTGGACGGGAATAGCAGAAGGTGACAACCTTCGAGTCAAGGTCCTTCAAATCAAACTACAAAAGCCCCAAGCCCGAAGCGAACATCACACTCGTGACCATTCGCAGATGAGCCTTTTTCGTAACTGGAAATTACTCAAACAGCGCATTCCGCCTTCCTAATGTTACATGGCGACTGACGGAGGAAGCACCACCGGCCAGCAGTTGTGAATGGGTGACGACGTGCGACAAGCGGACGGGGATTCCAACTGTCCGTTGGAAAAAGACCTCGAGTATCACCACAATCGATCGGGAGTGTATTCTCGATAGTCCTCCAGGTATTCCACAAGTTGACCTCCTTGTCTGATGAATCTTCTACATTTTCCTCTGTCTCCTCTTCCTAGCAAGCCGGTGGATCCGCTTGTCAAGGCATGTAACTCGGGGTCTTGACCAGTACTCGCACAAGGCGTACAGTTCAGCCAGGGATTCTGGCCGCCGTGTCGGCCAGGGTGTAGAGGGGGGCGCTTCTCGCTGAGCTGCGGGTGCCACTGCTGCGCCGAGGGCCGTGACCGCCTGTCCACCATGGGGTGCAGCGAGGGGTGCCTAACATTGAATTGCAGGCGCCGGGTCTTCGGTGCGTCAATATCGATTGCTGAGGGTGAAGATGACCAAAGTCCGAAAAAAAAAAAAAAAAAAAAAAAGGCATTACCTTCCAGCAAATATCGTCGCTTCTGTTTGTCGTAGGCATTGTGTCTGGGTCTTTGTTGTCAGGACCGGATCAAACGGGGAGCGGAGACGAAGAATTATGGCACATCACCATCGTCTTCCACCGGGCGCGCTCGCTTGGTGGAGCGTCAAGGTGCCGGGTCTTACAGTGTCCGCAGATACTCTAAACTGGAATTCGACAGAAGTAGGTGTGTGACCAGCTAGATTACCTCCTCGCGCCGCTGTTGTGGTCTGAGGATCGTTCCATCCAGCCTTGGAATAGTCGGGTCTGCAGTTCCAGCAGGAATAGTCGATCCAGTAGATGTCGTTGTAACTCATCTCCGGAACGCAGTTTCGTGTCGCACTGTTGCCGAGTCGGTTGGGCAGCCTTTCCCCCTGACCAGAAGCTGTTCGCAAGGCGCGTAGTGTCCACAAGGACGGTATATCACGGGCCGGAAGTAACACATGGCGATGGGTGAGATGTGACTGGCACTCGAAAGGCGATGAGTTATTGAGATTGGCAGGGGGGTTGGCCCGAGACTTTGAGTGTCTCCAACTTGAGTACTTGGTGGTCAGACAGCTGGGAAAGAAAACTTGAAAAGATAGGGTGAAGAGTGGCCTTGAGACGCGTTTTATACATTCAGTCAAAAGAAATTCGAAACACATTCAGCATGAGACGCGACGTCGTCCTCTATCAGCATCACGCGACTGTCACCGTATACCATGCATGTCAACATCGAAAGAGTATGTGCGTACATTAGTACCTCAGGTACGATAACATGGAGGTATGGATGACGTGCATGTACAGGTATTCAGATACGAATGAAGCGGAACCCGCCCTGATTGTGAGATGGGATGTGAGAACCTGCAGGTAACGATGAGCCAAAGTATCTTGAGTATCTGAGCCCTCCTGAATACACATCTGACTTCAGTCAGCACACTTGAACTGCTAGTCACGCTTCAATCCCAATCATTGTCGGGATCTGGGGATTCTAAAACGGATACCGGCGCCTTGAGGCATGTTAGGGCTGGTAGCGGTATATGAATCCTCCAACAGTCATCTATGTCTCTGTCGTACCTACAATATTTCCTAGGCGTATACCAGAACTTCCATCATTATTTGTTCCACCGCCCAGGTATATACCATTGCCATTGTATCTCCATCGCAATCAAAATGTATTAATCAGGTCACACAACCAAGCCTCAAGCACCTTTGATTGCGAGGGTGCCCATGAGCTTATTGTCTGGGCGAAGGAGTGCGACAAGGGCCCGTGGCCGTATTTGTCCGGCATGTACCCGCCGCCATGCTATGATGATGAAATCTGCACGGAGGAATATCTGGGCAGGTTTTCTCTATCCGTGCCACTCAGCTGCCTCGCGGCCATCGGAAGTAAGATTTCGAGATCTTAGGCTAAGTGCTCCCAGGTGTCTACAGCCCCTAGCCCTGGATGATGCAAATCACGTTGGATATCAGGCGCTCATAAGGGGGACATGGAGTAAATGAATGGAAATTGGAACGACTGATCAACCGTCTCCCCTCCTGCTTAGCCATTCTCTCTCTCCAGGGACTTCCATTCTTACCTAGTCATCCGCATCCAGCTCATTCTCATACAAAGGATTCACCTGCACTTCCCTCACCCACAACTGCCATGGCCTCTCGACTGTCGGAATGATAGCCGACCATCCATCCCGGACCTGTTGGGGAGTCAGATAATCGATTCCATTGTGACCTCTGGCGGCCTTGCCGGTGTAGGCGTGCTGGATCTGAAGGGCTTCGGACTGGATTCTGGCCTGGACCACTGCATTGACGCCGAGGAAGGTCATGGTCTTGATATCAGTGGCGACGGCGGTGAAGCCGTGAGATTGCATGAGGACAAGATTATGGGCTGGGAAGCGGTTGTTGTCGTTGTCTGAGTTCGCGACGTCCTGGTCATCGCAATGGCCGGTGGCAGTAGCGTTGCCGTCGGAGTGCACAGGGCACGAGTCGAAAACGGCTGCAAGCGCAGCACCGAGACGGGGAGTGTTCACAAGAATGGATTGGGGGTCGTCGGGGCCGAGATAGTTGAAAATGTCAAACAGGGGAACCTCTGTGTCTACTCTGGTTGATCAATTACGGCGATATTCACGCCTCACTGATGCCACTTACCGAGGATCCAGGGCCGCAAGGGGACGTCAGTGAGGCTGTACAAGAACAGCTCCGGTGAATGGCCGTGCAAGACCACGTTGACGTCTGGGTATCGCTTGAGAACCTCGCTGTGAATGTAGCGTTCGATGGGCGGTTGTGGCATTCCAGGGCTAACAGGCTCGGCATCTGAGACGCGGAACTCGCCAATGTCGTCGGGGCTAGAAACCAGAGCGGGAGCGAGTCTGCCCATCAGGAAGAAGGTTGGCGGGTTGTCGGGGTTCCGCACCGAGAGGTGACCATAGCCATCAAGCACCCCGTGAAGGTGAAGAATGTGGAGGGCATGGATGTAAGTGGCCAACAGCTCTGTGATATTTGCCGAGACCATGATGACACCACCTTCTGGAGGAGACTGGCTGAAGGTGGCTGCGCGATCCGTGAGGTTCGAGGCGAAGTTGCGTAGGAGAGAGCTGGTTGGGGTAGTGCGGATACCTTAGTAAACAGTTGGGTCGTCTCATCAAGTCACGTAAATGTCCAGTCCGGCAGTCTCAGGTATTTGTAGCGATAGATCGCAATATTCTGAAGGTCCGAGTCTCAGGAGAGTGCTCTGCTCGAGCTCTTTCCCAACAACCAGACACTGCGCAGACCGCGCTCGAGCGCCCTATCGACCAAGCTAAGGCACATACCTAGCAAAGACAAAGTAGAGAGGTACTGTTGTAGCTGCATAATCATGTATGTACCGATTCCTTGATGCTCGCCGTTTTCTGAACTGGACAGTCAGTAACCTACAAACGAACCCTGTGAACAATTTTCAGCCATTCCTGCCTCCGATAATCCGAGTCCCAAGTGTGCCGGGGACCTCCCGCAACTGGACTCTCACTTGCCCACATCCGACACACTACGCCCAATCGTGCTTTCCATGGGTTTCTGACCCGGCCTCTGCGCAGCCATGTCGGTCCGAGTCCGCCGCCGCATGACCATGTAGAGGCCGCCCAAGCCGACGGCGCCGAGGCCAATGTTTCTCCACCTGCCGTGACACGCATCGGTCAACATTCGTGAATTCGAAATGGTCAACGCTGACGATGAGAGAGACGTACATGACCCTACTATCCGACGCCCCCATCTCCTTCGCAGTCGCCCCGCCGGGCATGTTCTGGCCTTTGGGACGGTGCGGCATGGCCGAGTGCAGGTCGAGGCCGGCCTCCTCGAGACGCTGCTTTTCGTGCCTGGCCTGGCTCTCGGACGGATAGTCGAAGACGAGGTCGATGTCTTCGACCGGCTGCTCACCGCTGCGCGCGTCCTTGGAGGGGTACTTGTTTGTCGGGGTCGCCCAGGAGCGGGCAGACGTGGCTGAGAAACACCGTGCGGCGGTGGCCTTGGGGAGAACCCGGAAGTTGACGACGGCTCGTTTTGGGAGGAGCATGTTTGCTGTGTTGGGTTATTATATCTCTGGCAGTTAGTAACTTAGGAACGAATTGAGTGAGCCCGATTGATGGGTCTGTTATGCACGCGCAATATAGACACAGAGAGATGCGGGTTAGCAGCACCTTCAGTGTGTGGCATTAAAGCTGTCCCGTGAACCTCTGTCCATGACGTATGGTTGACAAGTTCACTTGAGGGGTCCAACGGAGCTCGATCCCGGCAGCACTTGCAATGCATTGACCATCATCATCGTCATTTGGAAATTGGAACGGATCTTCCAACAGTGGAACGACCCAATTGCTGTGGCTCACTCGAAGAGTCCTAGCTTCAGAACGTTCTCGGCCCGCCGACGTACCATGGGCATGTCGGAATTCGCTACTACTGTACCTAAACCGGCACTAATAAATTATTACAAGGGCTTCTTATAAGGGAGGTTCAATGGTTATTATAGATTCTTTCCAACTATGGGTAGCATTGATGAATGGTGGCTGATCTAAGAGGCAACGTACAGGTGTACCTAAGATCCGAGTCATCCAATACCTACCCTACCTTCGGAATCGTAATCCGTAGAGTTACTTATGTATTGCCACAGACTCGTCACACTTGTATGGTTTGGGACATACATTCGAGTTGTTTTCAGAAAAACACTGAGACAGGACAGTATGGACAAAGTAACCAGGCAAGGCTGATATTGCACTTCTGCCACTGCACCAACCTGAACCAGGTGTAACTATGCCTTATAGGGTGTATATCAGACGAGCATTCACTGTTACGTCCGGGCTCCACAACGGCATGGCGCCGTCCTCGACGATATAGCAGATGCGCAACTTTTCAATCTGGCAAGAGCAGCCGAATCTGGCCCCCAAACGGTGCCAAGATGGTTGTGTTGCCCTGAACACGGTGCGTAGAGTTCGGTCAATGTATTCCTCATAGAATGTGACATTCTAAAGTACAAATCACGATTTTATTCGTGGAAATATTATCAGAAGAAGGAAGGTGTTATCCTGGGGTAAAATATATGTCAGCCACAAGCAGAGACTAGGGGCCGTTGCACAGCCCCAGTACCACATGACCCAACTGCGGACACACGGGATGTAAGTGATCGTAGGCTTCCACTTGTTTGATGTGCTTCAACAAAGTCCACTGCAGAGACATCACCAGACATCTCCAACCCATACTCCAAGTCACGTCGAATCACGTTCCGCAAATGGGTGGCCTCGCTACAGCTGTGCGCCCAGCTTCTGCTCCTTCATAAGCTCTCCTTGTGCCACTAGATCAGCTATTAACCCGTCACAGTGGGACAAATGCGTCGACGTCGTCGGCCGAATTCTCATGCACGCTACCAATGCTACAGGTGAGCTTCGAAAGCAACCCCCTAACAGTCCTCTGGCGTGCGATACTGTCTAGTGTGGAACTGACTTTGACGTTAGCGGCGGGGGCATCAAGTCACAGTGGCAGCGTGGATGCCAAGGCATTCGACGGGCCCATATACGGCTCCAAGAGTTCCCGCAAGAAGCCGGCGATGGTGAAGAATGAGGATAATAAAGATGATTCGGAGTCGGAGCTTGCTGTTTCTCAGGTCTGTAAATAGAGATTTAACGAGGGACCGCTTATTACAGGATGTGGTTGGGTTGAAGGAGCGAAGTAAATGTGTTTGTTGATATGACATTGTTTCCTGCGACCATGGCATGGAGGCTCCATAGACTTCAGATTGGTTATGACTCGCAGACTGAACCGGTTCGAGGTTGTCGGGGTCAGGGTGTACTTGAGCAGTGTTGGGAAGTTAGCCCTTTATACAAACCTCGGCACTCAGACCCCCTCGATATGGACTGAAATTCAAGAACGAAGGAAGAGGCAAAGTGGATATGGCAGCTTGAACGTTGCAATCCTCTTCCAACCAAGGCTATGTCAAACACAGTCTGCGAGGCGTTAACAATTGCGCGGAGAGGTCTATTACCGCCAACTCTTCCAATGGCGAGGGTACTGACGCCGCATGCCCTCAGCGGACACCCACCGGTAAACCCTCGGACAGTCAGACAAGAAGAGGGCCAAAGTGAGCAAAGAAAGAAATGAAGACAAACAGCCTACCGAGATAACAAGAAGCTGAGACCTCCCTCGATAAATGCAACCCATAAGGGAGAAACAGCCACCCTACGACTCCGCCAACTCCTCGACGCGAAAGCAGCATGCGTAAAACAACAGTTACATCAAGCAAAAGGGGTATCACTTCATAGCGCCCGCCACCGCCAACCGGTCCGCCGCAATATTTCCCTGGTCCGTGTCATGGCCCTTGACCCAGATGAACTGGGTGCGGCCGCCCTTGGCCTCGCGCTCCTCAATTTTGTCGCGGACGAGCTGGACCAGGTCCTGGTTCTTGACGGGGCCGGCGCGCGTCTTCCAGCCGTTCTTCTCCCAGTTGATGTACCACTCGGTGACGCACTGGATTGAGTACTTGCTGTCGGTGCGGATCTCCAGGTCCCGCGCGAGGTCGACCGTCTCGAGGGCGCGCAGGATGGCCGTGAGCTCGGCGCGTTGGTTCGTCTGGGTCTCGCCCTGCAGGCGCTCAGATATGTTCCTGTTGTTGAAGAAATGGTCAGCGATACGGGCCTGGAATATGCGCTGGGAGGACAAACCTTGGATCGCCCTCCCCAAAGTAGACGCCTACGCCGGCACTCGCGCCCACACGCCCATTGCCCAGACTACTTCCATCGGTGTAGACCACCTCGACACCGCTTCGTGAATTTGCCGGCTTGGGTGCCTTCTTTGCCTTCTTTGCGCGAGGCTCCTCGGCTTCATCCGCTTCGTGTCCATTGGCCTCGGGGACAAGAGGTCCTGCTAACTTGGCTGCGTTGCTGTAGGTCTTGACGAACGTCTCCGCCTCGGCCCAGGTCTCGAACTTTTTGTACTTGGGCCCCTTCCAGCCGACAATGGCCTCCTGTGCGGCGGACCACTCTGTGTATACGCCGGGCTTGCGTCCGATAGCAACGCCGTAGAAGCGGGGCGGCTTGGAGTCGCTCGTCGAGGAAGGCAGATTGCGACCGGCGACGAACGCCGAGGCGTCTTCGTAATTGAGGAAAGACTTGACTGCGAAGCCGTCAGCGGGACCATTGGATATGGACACTCAGGACCAGGGCAACGTACATTGCGCCCCCTTGAAGCCCGTGATCTGCTGCTGGCAAATGGCCCAGCTGGTGTAGACTCCGGGCTTGAAGCCGGCACGAACTGCGTAGTATTTCTGCTCGGTGGCGTCCATCTTGCGCTTCTTGGTCGGCGGCTCCGTTGCCGGGACCGGGACAATGCTGTTGCCAGTTGACGGCATGATGAGTGTGGTTAGTGCGAGGCGAGCTGCGAGAAGGAGGGTCAACCCGTTGACGTTGTGTCGCGCAGGCAGCCGCCAACGCCAAAGAACCGAGGCGTTGGAAATATTCTGAGCGCTGCGGACCCGGAAAAAGATGGAAACGGCCGTTATGTCGGTGTTACCGACAAGTTTGGTTTTGGGCGATTTTTTATTGCAAAGGAGGCCGAGACCAGAGAGGGGTAGCTGCCCAGGTGGTGCTGCTGTTTTGGGTCAGATTGACGGCATCTTTTGGCGCGACGATGGCGACCTGCGGGCTTAGACGCGCTTTTATCAGCCGTTTACTTGCCTGTTCGGGCTTTGTTTGGGATGGGGTGAAAGCGGCTGAGGTCTAAAGACAGGCAAAGAAAGAGGTTTGCGACCGCTGAAAGAAGCAATCGGCTGTCGTTTGCGGGATACAAGTGGTTTCCAGAAATGTTCATGGTCAGTCGATAAGATAAGTCCGCCGACTCCACTGCTCCAAGGCACCAGGCTCGATTTGCTGTTTCTCCTATGTTCCCCACATGCTTGATCTCGAACGTCCAACGTCAACAAATCTTGCCATTGACAGATTATTGACTCGACAACGATGGGTGAGAAAACCAAAATTGCCAATCAGATAGTTGACACACGCAGCTTTAATTGCCTCTTCTTTGGGCACAGCTTCCTATTGTCGTATGTTTCGGGGACGACGGAGGGATGGCCATCGAGAGAGAGCTTGGGAGAGCGGTTGCGTGAAAGGGTACCCATTTTCAGGTGCCTTTCTTTGCTGTTTCCAGCACGCATGCCCTGCTGAAGCCTGACACACGTTTCTGGTGTTGTAAGAAATGACGTCTGCCTTGGGAATTGAATCAGACGAAATCCGTACCTACTCTAGTCGTCAAAATCTCTCGAAGTAGAGAGACTGTTATACATCGGTAAGGTACCTTGGGTAACGAGACACGGGAGTGCTTCTGGTAATTTGGGCGCTGAAGCAAGTGAACCAACCTGCAAGGCGCGTAGGTGGTCCTCTCATCGCTGATGGCGGCTTGTCTGGAACCCTGGTTCGTCGTCGTCGTCGACGATAAGAATTTGAACGAGCATCAACTCACTGACTTAGGTGGCTGATAAGTTTCACTCCAACAGCAATGGCCAATTCCTCAGAACCTTCCACGCAAGGCCAGCTAAGGATTTACCTGAGACTACCTAGGTGTGATGTGCACCTCTGCCTGTCAAATTGAGACAGACAGTACGAGACCAGCTCAGTACACCATCGTCCTCCGTCGTCTCCACCCATCCCTTCATCTCCTCGTCCCCAGAGCCCCAGCAAGCCCATCAAGGACTTAATCGTGACTCGGAAGCGACGGGCTACTTAAACAGGGAAGGGAACGGGCCAATGATAGCGCGAGTTTGCTCCGCACCCCCAACCACGCGCACTGCAAATTCGGGCGGAAATTGCATCTGATGCACACATAGGATGATTGATCAACGTGCTCCTTAAAGTGCCAGCAGTTCATGTTGTAGTTATCGACGAAGTCGCCACGACCTCCGGCACCCTTCTCGCCCCCTCGCGGTCTCGGGGGAGCCGGAGTGTGCTGCTTGCGGGCTGCCGAGGTCGAACCCTCCTGCTTCCCGGAGGCGGAAGCTTTCTGTGGCCCGGACGCGAGTACGGCGCCTTACCGGGGGTTGACGCGTGCTGTCTACCACCAGTGCCTTCTGCATATTCTCGGGTGGTGTGGTGCGGCGAAAACTGAGAGACAGGTATGTTATCTAGAAAGATCCAAGAGAGTTAGCCGCTGAGATACAAGCATGGGGATCTCGTGTTAGGAGTTGTGACTACAAACCACAGGTATCTGACAAAATATCAAATTGGCCTGAGCAGGTTGTCGCTAGTAGGGGTAAAACCATGAACTGTGAGAGCGAAGATGAGATGTCGAATGAAGAATGCCGTGATGTGATGGTGACTACCGAAAGCAAAGGCAGCTTGATAGGTGATTTATATTGTATATATACGAGACTGAGCTTGTTATTCTTTTGACAGTCATCCAAGGTCACCACATAGCATCTGCATGAACCACCTTCGATCACTGCTGGATTCTATCTTTGGTAACAGGTTCTCACTAACTGACGCAAACCCTTAATGTTGGCCTTTGACTCTTGGCTTGATACAACCCGACCAGGCCGTTGGTCTGCACGGAGAGCCATGGCCCTGCTACCTAAGAGGAGAAGTGCGGACGCACTTGCTCCTAGACTGTGTCTAAAACCAACCACAGAAGGCGAAGAAAAGGCCGAGTGATATGTGGATGAAGCTACCTAGGCAAGACAACTAGGGGTACCAAGCAAATTGGTACCTTACGAGTATAGTTCATTACATGCCTACCTAAATACTAGCTTAGGTACATACGTATCATTTAGACTCTACCCGAGGTTTAATTGCCTAGCCAGCGTCAGGCAGTGGAGGGCTGAGTACCTGAAGCGAGGCAACTGATGTTTCAGGGCTTCATGAACGATGCGAGCAGAAGAATTCGTCATCCGTGCAGCCCGCAGTTCCAGTTCTGCAAGGGGGAGGAGGTCAATGAGCGTTGGTCCTCGTTGCTGTTGGCTGCAGGTCGGTGAGATCTATTGTACGAGCTCTGTTATTGGCCGCTGAACTGTTTCATAACTGTCTACCACCCCTAGTCCATTTTTTCAACCTGTTCTCATGTTGAATACAAAAGTCGCCTCGTTATCAGGCACTTCTCCCTCGTTGAAAACGACCGAGGTATCCACTGTCCAGCCAGACTGGATACTTCCTCCGCAGTCCACAGAGTTCCGCCGTCTACTCCTTGAAAGTTGTCAATCTATCTACTTCCGTATACTTCGATTTCATTGCAGTTTCTCCCCTTTCACTACCGTCACAAAGCCTCTTCCTGCGTCACATTATGGCTCGCAGTCCGTTTGGTTACGAAGAGAAGGAGGGCGAGGTCCTCGCCCCTTCTTACAAGCTCATCAAATCCAAAACAGTCGAGCTCAATCAGATCGTCAAGCCCTGGTTCAACAATGGCAAGGGCGAGGTGGTCGGGCGCCGCTACGATAAGGAACGAATGTTGAACAACGCCGCGGCCCTGCAACACATCTCGAAGAGAACCACCATTCCGGTACCACGGCTAATCGGGTTCGGGGTGAACGCCGACGGCACAGCATGGATCGAAATGGAACGTAGTTCGCACAACGGCATCTGGCTGCCCCTCGTTAAGGACGAGTGCCGGATGCCGACAGGCAAGAAGCACGTCGCCGAGGCGAGTGCGCCGAGTGCGACCGCATTGCCAAGGCCAACGCCCGACGCTTCGTGACTGACGAGGTGCTTCCGCAGCTCAGGTCGCTCATCTCGGACACGGGCGGGCTGAACGTGGTAGTGATTCCGCCGCTGTGGGTGATGGAGTGGGAGCGGGACGCCTTCTGGCCGAGTCGGGCAGGGAGGAATACGTCTTTTGCCAAGGTAACTTGCATTTGCACAGCATTATGATGCATGCCGACACGCTGCATGTGCTCAAGATTGTCGACTGGGAGAACGGTGGGTATTTCCCGCCCAAGTTTCTCAACGTCTGGTCGCTGGAGCGGTCTGACTATGAGGAATACTACGCGAACGGAGAGCGATGAAAGAAGTTGAGTGGGCTGATGGTGTAAGAAACGAAGAACTGCATGACCAGAGACGTGTTTGGGCGTTGGGAGGGGACGGGGACAAGAGAGGGGCTGTACCACTGGCCTAAGCTCGAGTTCTTCACATCGATGGATTCCAAGGTTTCCATTAAAGTTCTGCATCACAGATCGTGTCAGTATTGTTTCCCTTGCTCGGGTATCTTCGTGAAGCCTTGCAGGTCCCGGATGGTTGTTAGCCAGGAACTTGAGCCTGAACTCGATCGCTGCTCTCCGGACACAAATGGCGACTCCCCCCGGTTTCTGTCGCTGGCGTGGTTTGTAGTCGTTAATGGAGGCGGCTCTGATCCAGGAACACGAACGGAATCTCGTTGGGCAAGACTCCGGGCGAGCGACGAGCCGAGCCAGCCGAGCGAGCAATCGCCGTCGTGCAGCCCGCAAAGATTGTGCCCATAAAGTTCCGCCTCCAGAGCCAGCCCGTTGAGCCCCAGGGATGGCTCCGCTGATCACAGCGTCTACACATCCGAAGACGACTTTGCCCCCTCGACATTCTCATTATTTAAGCCAGCTTCATCCTTGACGATGTCAACCCCCTGTGCGTGGCGGGCGGCGTCGATCAGGTCGGATCTCTCCTGTTTCATCCGCGCAAAGGTGGCCTCGGCATCCCAGGTCCAGGGGGTTGGAGCTGAGAAAAGCAAGTCAATCTCCTCCAAGGTGCGCTGGTTGGTCTCCGGGTAGAGTGCCCAGACGACGGGGATGGCCAGGATATTGCAAGCGCCAAAGATGTAGAGCGTCTTCTCGCCAATGGCGTTGAACATGACGGGGCACAGCAGAGTCAGCCAGCCGTTACCGATGGACCAGCCAAAGACGCCAAGGGCGTTGCCGCGGGCGCGGATCTGCAGCGGGAAAATTTCGGCCGGGTAGAGCCAGGGGACAGTTAGCCAAGTGGCGCCGAAGACGGAAGTGAAGATGAAGACGAAGGAGGCGGCGGCGGCGCCGTAGGAGCTGGCTTTGGACATGTCGCCGGCATTGCGTGCATCCTGGCCCAGGCGAGAGAAGGCACCGGCGAGGAACATGGCGACGCCCTGGCCGACGGCGCCCCAGTAGAGGGTCCAGCGGCGGCCGATGCGGTCGAGGGTGAAGACGCAGACCAGTGTGGCGAACATGTAAAAGACGTTGTTGAGGCCGCTGATCCACTGCGACTTCTCGGTGCTAAAGCCGGCAATACGGAAGATGGTCGGGGCATAGACAGTGACGCCGGCAATGCCCACCCACTCCTGGACGATCTGAAGCCAGATGACGAGCTGCACGCGCCGGCCAACGTGCAGATCTCCAGACCCGACACCAGTGAACATGCGCCAGTACGAGTTCATGTTGGCCTCTTCGCGCTCCAGAGCCACCACGTTACGGATGTCGTGGTACTCGGCCTGCGCACGCGCTAGCCCCGTGGCATCCGTGCCTCGCAGCCGCTGTAGGACGAAGAGGGCTTCGTCGTCGCGGTCGACCTTGGCTAGCCACCGAGGCGACTCAGGAAAGAACCACACGGCCGCTAGCAGCATGAGCAGCGGAATGATTTGGAAGGCGATGGGAAATCTCCAGCGGAAGGCCGAGGAGCCGCCGTCGATGAAAGACAAGCCGAACTCGAGCCAATAGGCCACGACGACTCCGAAGATATTGAGTGTGAACTCAATGGCGATGAATTGTCCGCGGGATGTGTGCTCAGCCGTCTCTGTCGCCCAGACGGGCACAATGGCGTTGAGGATGCCGGTACCGATGCCGTTGACCGCCCGGGCTATGTGAGTTCAGTTCGTCAGCAACCTGGGTTATCCTGCCAGATGGAGAAGACGTACAGCAGATCATCCAGTTCGCATTCTGCGCCGAGAGCTGCAGGCTGGCTCCGACGATAGCCCACAGAGAACCGAAAGCGATAGTCTTGATGCGGCCCACCTTGTCGCCGACCCATCCGCCGAGCAGGCAGCCAAAGAGCGTACCCAAGTAGTAGACTGAGACGATGCCGCCCTGCAGTAGACTGTCGGTAATCACCGGCTCTTGTGTTTCTGGATTCACGTAACCGAAGCCCATAAGGTCTATGTAGTGCTTCGCGTTGTTGACGCCGCCCATCATGCCCTGGTCGTAGCCAAAGAAGAAGATGGATAGGCCGGCGATGCTGTTAATGGCGATGAGAAGCTTCCGCTTCTCGAGGTGGTTGGCAACATTGAAGCCCGGAAGCCTGTGTAACTGTGTCGCAGATGTCATGACGGGGGATGAGGTCTGGAACACGATGGTTTTGCTCGATTCAACTGTCCGCCGGAACTGGATGGTGTCTGCGCCGGCATTGTGGTGTGTCAGGCGTGAGGTCGTTGTGACTGGACTTTAAACATGATTTGATGCCGATCACTCCCTTTCCCGGCAGTACAGGTTCGGGCCGAGCTGGCCAACAGAAGAGCGAAGGGCTCTGATTCATCGCGCGCGGTCGGCCGCACATCCCCAGCTCTTCATGGGGTTCTGCGACCGCTCGACAGTGAAGTTCATGATCTTGTGGGCCTTGCTGAAGTGTCTCTGCAAAAGAGTGGTTGGGCGATGTTGGATGCTCCACAGATAAGCCAAGGTAAGGAATCTCAGTGGGGGCTTTATTTATGCGCACCAATTGAATCGAAGTATTTTTGGTACTTCTTGGTAACTTCCTCTTGCTCTTCCTCTTCCTCTTCCTCTTCCTCTTATCTTTACTTTCCATTTCCTTTTCTCTAACTTTTGTCTTTGTATTCCATTATTCTTTCCTCTCTTCGTTTTGTTTTCATGTCTTGTGCCCTGCCATGTGCCACGCTAGCGAACAAACCAGAGCCGGATTGTACGGAGTACGGAGGTACGGAAAGAGAGCGGGGAAGCTTTTGAGGCTCCATACTCCCCGCATCTGGGCCAATCGCAGTGTGGGGAAGCGGGGAAGAAGTTATCGAGGTCCAAACTTCCATCAATTGCATGCCATCCAGAACATCTTCCGCCTATGAGCTTGTGGCCCGCTTCCACGACAACAAGTATGTCGTACCTATGGAGCTATCAGGTGCCAGCCTGAGGTCTACAGTCATCGTCGAGGATGATCCAAATATCCGAATCAACCTAGGTAGTTACCTCAGTGAGGTGGAAGTTTAGATTAGAGCACCTGCGGTTGCAGCTGTGTCCTCGTCGCTTGTCCAGCTCAAATCAGCGTCCGTATAGTCGTCCCCGTCATCCCAGCTTCTCATGCATCATGCGACACGTCCTCTCAACGCTCAGCTGGCTCGCGTTTCTAGCGACATGGCACGTCAATGCTGCGCCTTCCAATCCCACTGTTACTCTGTCGGCAGGAGCCAGAGCTAGATCCAGGACCACATTTGTTGGGCGGTTCCTCCCGTCCTTCGACCAAGAGGTATTTCTGGGCATCAAATATGCAGATCAACCACCGCGCTTTACTCGCTCGGATTTGAAGACGGTCTACTTGTCCAATGATAGCAGTGCCGGCCCTCTACCTTCCCCGTCTGCGACTGTCATCTACAATGCGACACGATACGGATACGAATGCCCTGGCTACGGGTCGGATACAACCAAGCTTCTGGGAAAGGGTTTGATCCAGATAAGCGAGGACTGCCTGAATTTGAACATCATCCGGCCAAGGAGAGAGGCGGGCAATAAGAGATTGCTCCCTGTCATGGTCTGGATCTTCGGAGGCGGGTGGCAGCAGGGTGCAACAGCAGATCCACGGTGAGTGATCACTTCATGCCCCTGACCTCGAACAACAAGCCGGAAATGTCTGATAGGTTTGAAGATACAACATGAGTTATATAATCCAACAGGCAGCTGCCAATAACAAGCCCATACTAGGCGTCTCGATCAATTACCGCCTCGCTGCGTTTGGATTCCTGGACTCCAAAGAAGTCCGCGTATGTTGGTTCCATTTCATCCCATTGACACACTTTCCGCTTACCTTATTCTGTTAGGCCTCCGGAGGTACGAATCTTGGACTGCTTGACCAGCGAGTTGCTCTGCGATGGATCAAGAAGAATATCGCCGCGTTCGGAGGAGACCCCAACAAGGTCACAATCTGGGGCGAATCCGCGTGAGTACCTTATATTTAGTGTGCGGAAAAGGTAACAACGCGCAAAGGTCCCGCGGACTGACGAGCTAGCCTACAGCGGCGCATACAGCGTTGGAGCCCATCTAGTAGCCAACCGTGGAAATCACGAAGGTCTCTTTAGAGCAGGTTCGCCGATCCTCCCCAAGTTATACCAAACCCTAACGAGCTAATGGGCAACATCAGCTATACTAAACTCAGGAAATGCAGTCGGCCCGCCATGGAACGGCACAGACTGGCATCAGCCGATGTATGACCGGATCGTGAGCAAGGCAGGGTAAGTCGGAGTCGAATGTTGTCGCTCTCAAGGCGAGCTCATGAGCTGAGTGATGCAACGTCCAGATGCGCAAATTCGTTGGATACGCTCCAATGCCTGCGCGAGGTTCCTTTCAAATCCCTCTATGCTGTAGCATACGAGGGCTTGGAATGGTTCGCTACGGTCGACGGGCAATTCATTGCAGAGGAACCCCAGGTCAGCATCACGCGCGGCCGAATTGCCCGAGTCCCCATTCTTCTCGGGACCAACACGGACGAGGGAACGAGCTTCGGGGTAACTGGTGTGGACACAGATGAGGAGTGCATCGAGCAGCTGACGGGTTCGTATCATGCGTCATACAAACCCGGGGGCATCACTAACAGGACTTATACACAGCATCCAAGCGCTGGGTTCTGACCCGGGAGCAAGCCACGAAACTCCTGACATACTACCCCAACGATCCAGTCATCGGATGCCCTTATGGCTGGGGCAACGTCACCTGGCCAGAGAAGGGGCTGATGTACAAGCGGTATTCGTCCATGGCCGGCGACCTATGCATGACAGCACCGCGCCGACTTCTTGCGCAGGCCATGGCAGAAGCCAACAAAGCCGTATATTCGTATCGATGGGATGTGGCAGCTCTCAACACCTCGTCAACCATTGGTGTGCAGCATTTTGCCGAAGTATGTTCTGCTCCGTTCCCCCCCTTTGTTTTAGCCAACCAGTTCATGTTGACTTGAAGCAACGGCGAAGATCCCATTCGTTTTTGCGAATCCAGACCAAGATTTCACCCCGTTAGGAGAAGACCCCGCTCGTCTGCAGCTTGCAGCGCTGGCGGCACGCATATGGGCCTCGTTTGTAGCGGATCTCGACCCGAATGGACATGGAGGTAAGCCCATTCTCATCTGGCGCCTAGAGCTCCAATGATTCCCAAATTTGACCCTGCAAATAATGCTGATGGAACGCCAGTAACTGAAATCCCTAAGTGGCCGCGGTATGCGTCAACAACTCATCAAAGCAACCCTGCGAATTTCGTCTTCCGTCTGCCGATGGGGGACAGCTACGTCGAAAAGGATGATTATCGTGCAGAGGGCATAGCATATATCAACTCCATTCAAAGGTGACCAGTGCACATGGAAATCTCGTCCAGGCTAGGAGTCAGTAGTCTGGTGGATTGGTGGATACATATGGATTACTTGGGGAACTTCAACTATGCCAGTTCAAGGATGACTAGGCCCCTTACCTTCTCAGGCATACTACTGATATAACGTCGCCATCACGCAGTGTGTCTATTTCGTCAGCGTCATCTCCGATCGCTTGTTGAAGGTCTTGCTCATTGCCTTAAGAATGGCGTCCTCGACAGCTGGTATCATTCCTGAAAGCCCTCAACACTCGCGCAGATGCAAAGCGACATCACAGACGTGATGTCGGCCCCGTCCTTCTAAGACTTCGGCTGCTAGTCAGTCTAGATCGCCTCTTCACTGATCTGATCAATTCGTAAGGTTGCTCGTCGAAATCCGTGTCGTCCGAGTCTCACCAGACTCCGGGTTGCCCGACTCCTCCCATTTCAAGGCACTGAACATCTCCATAAATTCTTCAACCTTCTTAGTCACCTAAGGCATATGCCTAGCCCTAACACTTATCGAATATCCTCCTATTTCTTCTCACGGCTATCCACCGACTTGGATGGGCGACGACTTCCCTCTACCGTTATCCACGCCCAGCCATAGGAGATCTGGCCGGCTATAGTGGTCGACGACGTCCATAAAGCCCCAGGTCGCCACCGCCCTGCTTGGGTCCAGATCAGCAAACACAGCGCGCTCCGTCATACCAGTGACGGGATCAGTAGTCTGGGCCCTCATGTCTAATACAACGAGGAGTATACGTCGGGGACGACAAGGAGAGGAACGGGCTGGTCGCCAGTCTACCTCTCGCAGTCGAGACATGACATAACTGATCGGTACGGAGCATAGGCAGGTGCATCAACGTTCCCTTTTGGGACGGCGGCAGGGTTCAGTGATAGGGACGACACGATCTCATGCATGCAGCGTTAAGCCTCACATGGGCCGGAGGGGAGGCTTGACAAGCAGCCTACGACGGACTTGACGTGGCAAGAGGACAGAACGGAGGCTGTTGGGTTCCTGTACTACAAAAGAGGATGGAGGAAGGTGGCCACGACGGCCTGAACGAGCTAGTACCGAGCCTCGAAGTTTACCATGGACACAGGTGGTTCGCATCTCAACAGGGGAAGAGATCTTGGCGCCGATAATGCTTCTTCATCGCGAATGTGCTGGAGGCGTTCTGGAGAACCCGATGGGCTGTGAACGGAGGTATAAAGGGCGACCCCTTCCGATCTCCGTCGCCCGCGCAGTAAGGTACAGTACTCGTGTCGGAGGCGACCACGGACCGGGAATGCGAACGGGATCTCGTTCCGCAAACCATCGGGCGAGCCGAGTGAGCTGAGTCAGCGATTGCAGTCGTGTCGCGTCGGATATGATGCTAGATCGGTAACAGTATGCTTGACTTTGACATGCTACAGGTTTGTACAAGTACCTAGACGTATAGTAGAAGGCAGCCGCCAAAATCCCATACACTTCTAGAAGCTGATTGCCGTTTTGCAAAACGAACACTTTTGATGGATGTGGATGACCTCATCCTTTCCGGATCTCTGGGCGCTACGGATAACATTACCGTGAAGCTTACGGGATTACGAATAGCGCAATGTCAATGGTAGGGAGCATGAGCCAGTCAAGGTCTTGGCGTCTTACTTTTTCGTACCGCACAGCCACACTTCGTGTTGGTGAGCCATCCGAATGCGATTCCAAGCACCGTTGCATTGCTCGGGCCAACTCGTTCCAACACGAGATTCCCTGCTCCTGCTTGCTGCTTTCGGTGGAGTCGATGTCCCCACTCGTTCTCAACCAACTTCAACCTCGCTCATTCCAGCCAGCTCTTCTCCATCGACAAAACATCTGACATCGAGTCTGCGATTCTGCGGTTTCGCCTCCCGATTGTCACGACTTCACTCGGACGGACACCTCTAGGCGACTCGCCGCTGTCGCTCGTTTTCTACATCGCCCGTGCCGTTTTCTCTACGCAACCCGACCGCTTGACCAAGTTGGGCATCGCACCATTCAAGACCGACGATTATCCTCGAAACCTGCCCTCGCTCGAGCCAATCCATCTAACACCGGGACTTGACGAAGACCGAACGGATTGATAAGACCAATCGGCTCTAGGATGCCAGCCTTGTAGCCGACAGCTTGTCACCTTGTTAACTCCCGATTCACCCCACTTGAGATCGATCACCAGTGCTCTGCCCGGGCCTGGTGGGCAAACCGGCCAAGATGCGTTTTCAACCAACAACACCACTTTTTCTCCTCTCGTCTCTTGCCGCCCTTGCGCTCCCCACAAGCGCCGAATATGTGCTCCGATCCAGCTCTCTGGCGGCGTGCCAGGAAAACTCGGGCTTCACCGCCAGCTTGTTCGATGTTGTCTTCACCCCGAACAATCTCACGGCCTCAATCAACATGATCGCGACATCGTCCATTGAGGGCCATGTTATTTTCGACGTCACCATCTTTGCCTACGGGCTCGAGATCATCCACACCCAAGTCGATCCCTGCAACTCCAACCTTCCCGGCCTCTGTCCCATGACCTCGGGCAAAATGAACAATCCGTTCAACCTTCCCGTGACCAAGGAGGCCATCGCGTCGATCCCGGGCATCGCATATACCTTCCCGGATCTTGATGCTACCGTCAGGGTCTTCATCAACAGGACCGATGGGGAAAACGCTGGCCAGAGCATCGCCTGCGTCGAGGCGGAAATCTCGAACGGGATGACCGGTATGTCTGAGCTTGAGCCTCCCCCGGAAGCTACCTTGGATGCAAGTCAAGCCAATACTGACGAGGAAATAGTGGATTTGATCGGCGTGAAATGGGCGTCTGCTGCCGTGATCATTCTCGCCCTCCTTTCGTCGGCCATCGTCAACGGATTCGGCTTCTCCAACGCTGCTTCGCATATTGCTTCGAACACCATCTCCCTGTTTGGCTTCTTCCAAGCGCAGGCCATGCTCGGTCTTTGCGCTGTTCCACTTCCTCCGGTCGTCAAGTCGTGGACCCAGGACTTCCAGTGGAGCATGGGCGTCATCAACGTCGGCTTCATCCAGAACATTTTGACGTGGTATCAGCGGTCGACCGGTGGGACAGCGTCCACCCTTCTCGATACCCTCCACACCGTGTCGGTGCAGGTCGAGAAGCGGTCCGTTCCGCTGGCAGAGCCCGCCGTCGATCTTGCTCGGCGGTCGGTCGGCAGCCTTGCCAAGCGGGCCGTCCAGACTTCGTACGGTAGCTACATCGTCTATGGTATCCAGCGAGTAGCTTTCCGGGCGGGCATCGAAACGACCAACCTGTTCTTGACTGTCCTCACCTTCTTCTACATCTTTATGTTGTTGGCCGCTCTTGGTGTCGTTTTGTTCAAAGCCTTCTGCGAGTTGGCGGTCAAGACGAAGATGATGAAGAGTGATACCTTTTCCGAATTCCGTGCGGGATGGTTCACTGTTCTCAAGGGTAGGGCTGGAATCAGTTGATACCTTCTTCGCGGCCGGAGCTAATGGTTGTCAGGTGTTCTCTTCCGATGGCTCCTAATTGGCTTCCCTCAAATCACCATCTTCTGCCTCTGGGAATTCACGCAGAACGACTCCCCGGCGGCCATGGTGTTGGCCGTCTTTTTCTTCCTCGGCATCCTTACGACACTGGGTTATGCAGCGTACAGAGTTATTCGAATTGCCCGCCGCTCCGTCGCCCTCCACCGCAATCCCGCCTACATTCTCTTCTCCGACCCCCATGCTCTCAACAAATGGGGCTTCTTATACGTACAGTTCCGCGCCTCGGCGTACTACTTCATCGTCCCGGTCCTCGTTTACATCCTGGTCAAGGGAATGTTCATCGCGTTCGCCCAGCGTGCAGGAACGGTTCAGGCTGTGGCGCTCATCATCATCGAGGCGGCGGCGCTTATTGCAGCATCTGTGTTGCGGCCCTGGATGGACAAGAGCACCAACTCGTTCAACATTGCCATCTGCGCCATGAACTTCATCAATGCCGTCTTCCTGTTCATCTTTACCGACGTTTTTGGGCTCCCCCGGCTGGTGATTGGCGTTGTGGGCGTGGTCCTGTGGATTGCCAATGCCGCCTTCGCCCTGATCCTCCTCCTCATGCTGATCATCACGACGGGCATCGTCCTGTTCCACAACAACCCCGACACGCGGTACCAGTTCATGAACGACGACCGCACGTCCTTCATGAAGTCACAGACGCACATCGGACCCGCTACCAGCGAGCTGGACGCGTTGGGCGTCACGGCCCGCGGCGACGGCAAGATCGTCAAGCGGAGCACCGACCTCGAGGACGACGAGTCGGGCCTGTCGAACTCTGCTAACAACGTAGCTGCTGCCAACATGAACCGCCCGGGGTCGCCCAACTCGGGCCCGCACTCGGGCAAGGACTCGGCGCGCGGATCCGTGATCAACTCGGCGCGCAACTCGATCCGCAGCTCGTTCCGCGCGCCGATCGACCCCGTCACGGGCATGTATTCGTCGTCCGAGCCACACCAACAGCATCTGAGGGGGCGGGCGAGCGGGAGTATGAGGGCGCCGAGCCCGTTTGTTGAGGCGTCTGGGTCGTCGACGAACTTGTCGGGGTATCCGTCGCATTCGAGCGGGGCCGGGACGGCGGGGCCCAGGCCGCCAGCGGGAGCGAGGTGAGTTTATCCTAGTGATGGAAATGGCTGGGATGTTTTTCGCATTGGCTGACTAGTTGAAGTTCGTGGCAACGGGGAGCCGGCTATGACTGAATAGTGTAGGGCTGTAATGACCAGTAGTACTTTCACAAGCTTTTTCGCATTCTTTATCGTTTCGTCATGGGCATGGGGTTTCTGGGCTACTATTTTCGTTTATTATATTGTACAGCGATGAATCCTCACCGAAAGTGAGAGGCGTCGCGAGTTTCTGGGTATTCTCCGGGCTATCTGCTTCATGTCGGCATTGGACGGTAAACCTGAGTATCACTCCTTGTTGGATTTCACATGGCTGACGTTGTACAATTTGGTCTTGGACTCGGAACACTGCGGAGACTTCCAATGGTTGGGTAACAGGACAGGGAAGACAGTGAGAGAATCAAATCTTTCTTGGCCGGTGTGATGTTGAAGAATGATAATAAAGGCATGGGGCAGTTTGCTGAAGTGGAGTGGGAACCTCTTAGTCCAGGCCCCCCTGGTCTGCCGCCCGAGACCATTGTTCGGGATGGCGCAAAAAGTTCCACGTGGAGTGACAACCCCTTGTGCCCCTGTCTCCAGCCCACATTGTAGCCGCACGGGGGATTTGCCCGAGCAGAACCATGGGCGCCCATCTCCATCTCTCTTTTGTCTATCGAAATAAATCAAAGAACGGGCTACGAAGATCTGTTTTCGGCAATACAGCTGAAAGACTTAAAGGGTTCAGGGTCTTCCTTGAGATGCGACCACGACTGATGAAATGTCCCTGGTTTGTCTCCCCTTCTTAGCTAACGAAGATGGTGCCAGAACCCACCGCAGCCGAGCCCTACATCGACGTAAAGTTTATCTGCAAGGTACCTGATCAGGTTGGATATCCTTGTCGTCTCGCTAAGGTCCAGTTATTGACAGAGCCTACCACAGTAGATAGCCCGCTGATGACAATCCTGAACATGGAGCAAGTGGTGCTTGGTGGTTGTGTGTCCTCTTCCATTCGGCTCTCATCTGGACCGTCTTCATGAGTGGTCGCACCGTAACCTCTGGAAAGCTGTCACGGCATCACGGAGTGAAGGAGTTGGCAAGCTCGCATCCGCTCCCCCGTTCTGGGCATCAAAATATCGTGCCATCGTCTGTGCAGTGCCGAGTTGGGACAAGTGCCAGGCACCATGCAGCGGACACCACCACTGGCCGGGGTAGCCATGCAATGTTGGGGGGCTCGCTTCTCAGCTTCTCCCAGCTAAGCGGTTTAAATCACACCCTGATCGGGCCAGACCTCCCCCCCTCTGACTTGCTTATCCGTGTCCACACCCAGTTCTCAGTCGCCGTCACTCACTTTCTTTTCGCGTCACCAAGCTGATTGTCTCTCGTTCTTTGTCTCTCGTTAATCTCAGCGCCTCAAGGCCATGGTCACACGATTAGCCCTTGTGTAGGCGCTCTGTGGTGGACTTGGATCTGGAAAATGCACCTTGCGGAGGATGGAGGTTTGGAGAGGAGGCAGTGGGGAAGCAAGAACAACAATGACAGGCCGTGGTGGTGCTACTTCTGGCCCCCGGCGTGTCAAACATCGACAACCCATGGCGGTGGAGGGAGCACCCCGACAACAAGTACAAGGCGGCAGACATCGACGACGACAAAACCGAATAATCCGCCCCCAACAACCACGCCAAGGACCACTGCGGTGCCAACTACGCCCGCCGCTACCCAGCCTGGTGTTACGCCGCCGGCTGCCACGCATTCCACAAAAGAGGACCCCCAACCTCAAGTTCAACCTAATCCCTCCCCGACCACGGAAGCTCAGTCCTCACCACCAATGGACCAACCGGCGCCAACTACCAACGGGAATCCGGGCCCGGACACCACATCGGTAGATCCCGTAGTAGTGCAGCCTGGTCCCAGTATCAGCGGGGGTACACCCGGAAACGGAATTGAAAATGACGCGGATCCGACGGCCACCCAAGGCGTGGACACGGGTCCTGGGGTTGGTGATAAGGACGGGAATGGGAATGGAACGGGGAACGGGGTATCAGGTTCTCCAGGAGGCACAGGGGACGATACTTCGCCTGGCTCGGGATTCGGAAACCAGCCGGGACAATCCGGGGTACCTACCGCATTTGACCCCTCGGCGTCGGTGGTACCTGGCACGACTGGAATCGGCGGAGGAAGTGTTGGCGACTCGGGAACGGGCGCTGGGACGAGCGGATCTCGTGCCGACAATGCGGGAGCTTCCGGCGGCGACCTTTCACCAGGCGCAATGGCGGGAATCATCGGTGAGACAACGTCCTCATCTTTAGCATCCACCGTGGACTAACCAGGACAGTGGGTCTCCTGCTCCTCCTCGCCCTCTTCGCTTTCCTTCTTTACCGCTTCAGGAGGTCACCTGTTGTCCAACGAATGCTCGCCCCGTTGAGCAAACTGGCGGGAGGGGGCCGTGACTTACACCGAGCCGACACGCCAGGTCCATATGGGACGGGTCGAGACCTGTTAAGCCCAAGCCCTGCGGTAGGAGCCACGGCCGGGACAGCAGCAGCAGCGGCTATCGCCTATGGCCGTGATCGCCACGCGCCATCATCTCAGGCACCGATGCGGCAGACAGGCCATCTACAGCCCGTCGTCCCGCCTGCCGCCGCCAGACGGGAACGGGACAGCAACAGGGTGTCAGTTTTCACAAACGACTCAATGACCAGCGCCGGATTCACCCCGTCTCCCGTCTCACCCATCTCACCCACGAATCTGCTTTCCCCAGGGACAGTCCGCACCTCGCGACCGGTCCAGGAACCGCCAGATCCCCGCATCACGGCAGCCGCCAACGCCCACGTCAGTCGAGGCAGCGTCAGCAGCATCAGCACCGGCAGCGCTATCAGCGCCGCGCTGGCGCCCGGGCAGATGGCATGGCCCATGCCGCCCGGCACGCCGCCCGCCATCCGCCACCCGGATGGGCCGCACTACCTCAATTTCCAGCAGACGGGCGAGACGGTCGTGAGGATCAACCAGCCGCCACGCAGTAACCGGAGGTCGGGCGGCTACTAAGATGTCTGGGACCATCGCGCTATGCGCCACGCTGTTTATACTCGTCCATGTTCTTCTTCTTCGGGTAGTTGTTTTGATTCGGTGGGCTCGTACTGGCCCGTTGGACGCATTGCTGCATGGCGTTCTGGCGGTCTGTCGGGATGGAGTGCACGCTGGACGCATATTTGGGGGGTATGAGGCAAATCCATTGCGTTGTCGATAGAGGGACGAGCACAACCAGATATGCCAATGTTAATGATCAATGATAACTGTCCTCGATATCGAAATGGGTGACCCACTTTTTGTGTCGCAAAAGAGGCACTCTGCGGTCACGTGAGTTGGCACTGTGTCTTTTTATGGCTTTGCCAGGTAAGTTACCAAGCACGGATTGCGCCCCGCATCTCCCCGCAACCCCTGACAACTTGACACGAGCAAATCGCCAGAAGTAAACAAAGTGGGGGAGTTGCAACAGCGCTCGTCGTACAGACGCATTTCTAACGGGATACCACACCGCCGACAGACATCTACCAAAATGGCATCTGAAGCGCCCGAGACGGACAAATTCAAGGTACACAAGCTGTCGCTCAAGGGCAGCGCCAAGCTTGTCGCCGAGTTTGTGAGTTTCCACACTGCACCGGTGCTCCTTAGCTGGTCTGCTAACCATTGCCCATGGACTGCAATGTAGTTTCAGTACTCGATCCACACGATTCTGTACGCTGACTCCCAAACATCTCTCTGTCGAATAAATAAGCAGCTAACCGGCGGCAGCTTCCAACGAGGCGTCTACCCCGCAGAGGACTTCACGGCTGTCAAAAAGTATGGCCTCAACATGCTGGTCTCGTCCGACGATCAGGTGCGCGCCTACATTAAGAAGATCATGTCGCAGCTCGACAAGTGGATGGTGGGCGGCAAAATCTCCAAGCTGGTAATCGTCATCACCGACAAGGACACGGGCGAGCACGTCGAGCGGTGGCAGTTTGATGTGCGCTGTCCCCTCCCTCCCATCTACCAGGTTCAGCCTGGCTAACGTCAACCCTCCCCACACTCAACAGGTCCAAATCCTCGCCAAACCCAAATCCAAATCCAAGTCTAAGTCCAAGACTACCACAAGCACAGCCGACCAGGAAAACTCAACCCCTTCCTCGACAGGCAAAGAAGAACAACCCGAAAAGGACAAAACCGAAGCCGAGATCCAGTCCGAGATAGCCGCGATATTCCGGCAGATCACGGCTTCGGTGACCTTCCTCCCGCAGCTGCAAGGAGACTGCACCTTCAACGTGCTCGTCTATGCCGACGCCTCGAGCGAGGTTCCCGTCGAGTGGGGCGACAGCGACGCCAAGGAAATTGTCAACGGCGAGCGGGTGCAGTTGCGCGGGTTTAGCACGCAGAGCCATCGCGTTGATACCCTGGTTAGTTATCGGTTGGTCGATTGAGCTACCTTCGGTTGTTATCGGGTCATCGTTTGTGTAATAATGCTGGGTCTTGGTCGGTTGGAGTTAGGGAGTTGGATGGGCAGGCTGGATCAGGGATGGGATATAGTATGACGTGATGCTGCCTGGGATGAATCTTCCCGGGTGCCGCAGATGACACGTTCGGGCATCTATTTTTCTATGGGCTTTCCATACAACATGAAAACGACCTCCTCTACAGTTGCCGCGTGCCCCCATGACCAGCAAATGCGAACACCATGCCATGCTAAACCCGTTTGAAAAAGTAGATGTAGGCAAACTTCTTCATCGCCTCCACGTCCACCACCTTGACCACTTTCTCGTCGTTAAACAGCACCCACGAGACCTCGTCGCCAAGCTTCTTGCGGATGAACGCCACGTAGTGCCTGGCCAAGTCAGCATACATGTTCACAGAGTGCAGCGAAGGTCGACCCACCCCGTATGGATACTCGTTCCCTTGTGGCACGCAATTGACTGCAGTTGAAAGTTTGCCGGCAGCGTGCTGCTCCCTGCCTCCCCATTCTTGTCCGCGTTCTTGCCCACATCAGCCGCCTCCTCAACTCCGCCCTCGTCATCGGTGTGACTGAACAGCCACTCAATCGCCCTCTCGACATCCCCGTTAGTCTCTTTGAGCGCCTTAGTCGCGCGAGGTCCGCAAAGGCCCATCGACTCCAGCATAGCAAGCTTCTCCGGATCTGCCGTGTAGGTGTCGCCCCCAGCAAGGTTGACCGGCGTATCGATATCCGGATCATCCATGTGTCCAAACAGCCACTCCATTGCCGCGTCCGCGTTGCTGTTGCCGGTCGCGTGCAAAGCCTTCTCACAGCGCACTCTCGGGAACCCCATGCCCTCCAGGACTGCGAGCGCCTCCGGGTTCGGCACAAACACGGGGGTCGTTGCTGCAGCCGCTTCTTCCGGCAAGACGTCCTCTTCTGGTTGCTGGCCCTTGGAGAGATACGAATCCAGAGGAAACGGCTCGTCTCCGACCAGGACGGGGACATCGACCTTGATAGGAACCCAGTTCACAACGGCCATCTTTTGCGCGTTGACGACGAGGACGTCAGGGAATGTCTTGAAAAGCTGGCGCTTGGAAAACCCCTCCTTGCTGCCGCAAGCTGAGCAAGTCAGCTCCACCGTCTCGGGTGCAGTCAAATTGTCCAGACACTCCTTCAAGTTGACGGGCTTGTACTTGGGCTCCTGGCCATCCTCGACCGGAAGCTTTTCCAAGGGTATGTCGATGAAGATGCTGTCCTGCTCGGTGCTGCTGTAGCGCACCTTTTTGCATCCCAAGCACTGCAGCCGCTGCTCCATGACAAAGCGCATTGCCTGAGTGGGGTCGCTGAGTCCTGCTGGATGCTTGAACCGCGTGATGAGCTTGATGAGATGCTGCAGAAACTCGAAGGCATCTTGTTGGCGCATGGTCGAGAACTCGGCATGGCCTCTTCCGATGAGGTGCTTCAGCATCGAGGGCTGGAGACCTTTCTGGTGGGGTGCCTCGGGCGAGTGCTCCGAGACAATCACGTCTGAGTCGGGCTTGGAGTACCGGCCAGACAGTAGGCCATCGCCCAACTTGAGCAGCTGAGTCTCAAAATCCTCTGCAGGATTAGATACGTCAGGGGGGTTCTCTACCCCGCCACCATACCGTTGCTGGAAGGAGGGGATGTCGAAGAGGCATTGAACAATGCTATTGAGGTAGCAGCTGTTCCCAAGGTTTTTGAGGCCCGTCAGCCCCGGTCCAAATAGCGGAGTCAGCTCCTTGCCGTCCTCTGTTGTCATCGAGAACTCCCACCGCAGGTTCTGCTCGATCTGCATCTCGGTCAGGCTCTTCTCCGTCTTTTGCCTCTCCGCCAGGATAATGCCCCAGTTCGCAAGATGGGCACCGAGGTCCTCGTCGACCCGTTCCTCGTCGCAGGTGTAGCAGTAGACATCGGCGTTCCCCTCTGGGGTGATGGACCCCAGCTTGACAGCCACGCCATGGCCGGACTCCTGGGAATGCGCGAGAGCGTGGGAATTGCCGCCCACTCCGCCAAACTGCGCCCGCCCACAGCCGAGGTTACCGCATTCCAGGCAGAGCCACAGGTTTTCCTTGAGGTCGCACTTGGAGCAGTGGCCCAAATCCTGTGACTCGATCGGTCGGGGCTCCCCTTGTTGGAGCGTAAAAATGTGTTCGCAGCTCGTCAACTCCTGCTCCCACGCCTTGACCTCCTCTTTGCGCGAGAATGTGTTTGCCTTCATGATTGCGTCCACGGTCGCCGCAATGGTAGGGTCGCTCCTGTCAATATCGTCGATGCCGCACTCGAGGCACTTGACAGTGAGCGCCGTGTCGTAGCGGTCGGCTTCGGTCTCGGCGGCGATGGCAAGCTTGGACATCTTCAGCGGCGGCTCATCTCGGACGACTCTCTTACGGGTGCGGCGGATGTTGAGAACGAGAGGGTGCTTCCGGGCGGTGCTATGTAGCTTGGCATGGTTGCGGTCGCCGGCGCAGCCGCCGTTGAAGCACTTGAGGCAGACATCCAGCCCGGCGGGGTCATCCTAAGGTCGTTAGCGAACGCGATGATGACCTGGGCGAAGGACAGAGGGCTGGACAAACGATGGAGTCGAAGCACTGGGTGCAGTCCTCGCGATATACCGAATCGGCGGGCGTCGGCTTGGCCAGGTCTGGAGACTGAGGTCAGTTGTGCCTGGATGAAGCAGGTCTATTGTGCATACTCGCTGCTGAAATGTGCGTGCATGCCATTTTGTAAAGCCAAGGTCGTCTCGATGGCCGTAGAATTGCCCTGATTGTTAATTCGAAACTCCAGCCGTTGTTGTGGTACAGCTTGAGTACGTGTAAGGTAACTCGAGCTCGGAAGCTTCCATTCCAGTGAGGTGGGTATGTGGAGCAGGTTTTGAAGCTGACTGGAGCTGAGACGCGGGGCAAACGGCAGGCAACAGCCCCACAATGATGCAGCTACTTGCAGGAGCAACGGATCAGACCAGGCCCTGCCTAAGAACAGAGACTTGTTGCCAGATCGGTCAGTGAAAACATTCATGTACAATAAATGAGCACATCTGAAAAAGAGCGATCATGAGTCTTTCGGACCGGTTTTGTGCCCTTTAGTTTCGCTCTCTCTTTCTTCCCTGCCCTTCCTCCTGTGCTTGGGGTATTTCCCAGAACTATATGCCGCCGTGTTCAACGCTGTGGCCGGGGAATGTTTTAGTTGAAAGCCCAAATGGAGCATCGAAAACATTGGACACATTTACCAATTGTTACGATCAAAAGTGCGAGAGCTTTGAGAGTGACAACGCGGGTTTGACCCACTGCCTGCCGCAAGCTTGCTCGGCTTTCCGTTATCAATCAATCTTATCTCCGCGGACATGGAGCAGCCACGGCGTTCTAGCCGACTTCGGAATGACGCTCATTCGCCGAGCTGGCAAGACGGATGCAAGGACGCTTTGTGCTAACAGTTTTTGTGGAGCCGAGCTGCATTTGTGACCCCATTTTTGTTAAGCGCGCTCGGGCCACGTTTGAGGAGGAAGTCGCCGCTGCCATCATCATGGACTCAGTTTCGCATCCTCAGGAACTTTTTGACGTGCCATTTCTTCCGCATTCTAGCAACATCAACCAACTTGAAACCTTACATTGGCAGTCAAAGTCGATTTTTACATCGCGAAACTCACGTTTTCCACACCGCACGACACGACAAACCATTTCAGTATCGAAAATGCTCTCGAGAACAGTCCGTGCAGTGTCCTGCCGAGCTCTGGCAACCTCGCTGCGGCCGACCACCGCTCCCGTGACTCGACAGATCTCTCCTCAGGTCGCTCAACCACAGAGGCGGTATTACCACGAGAAGGTCCTTGATCGTACGTCGCCCGCCCACTCCGATGGCCATCATACATAACCATGCAGGTTTTCGCAGCCATCAACTAACATTCTCAACCACAGATTATTCGCGCCCTCGGAATGTTGGCACATTAGACAAGTCGGATAAGTCCGTGGGCGAAGGCTTGGTGGGAGCGCCGGCCGTATGTGATCCCTACCGCTCGAATTCCTCGATGAGTGCTAACACCTTGCATCGACAGTGTGGCGATGTCATGCGGCTTCACATCAAGGTCGACCCTGAGACACAGGTTATCAGCGACGTCAGGTTCAAGACGTTTGGCTGCGGCTCTGCGATGTAAGGATCCCCTTCTCATCGATTAGTTTTCTACGGTGTTGGGTTGTCAAGCTGCTGCGCATAAGACGCCAAAGAGTTCACGGACAGCATGGAATCGGCGAGGCCGAACACGCTGAAAAAATCCCGGGCGTCAGCGTTTCCTTTGCCCATAAACCAGACGAGACACGGAATTCCCTGGCATGGCGGGCCAGTTTGATTGCTACGGTTGTTAACGAGTTTACTGCAGCGCTTCTTCCAGCTATCTTACCGAGCTCGTCCGCGGCATGACGCTCGAGCAAGCCGCCAAAGTCAAGAACACCGAGATCGCCAAGGAACTGGTATGCTCGATTCTCCATTCCAGCTTGCTGTCAAGATTTCTAACAAGTATCTCAGTGCCTTCCACCTGTCAAGCTCCACTGCAGCATGCTTGCCGAGGACGCCATCAAGTCGGCCATTAACAACTACTACAAGAAGAATCCTGACGTGAAACCCACCAGCTTGGCAGGGAGGGAGGCAAAGCTGGAGACGGCGACGGCATAAGTCGGGAACGGAGATGGGGTGTGAGTTGGAAACACAAGTGGGGGTTTGGGGAATGGCGATCCAGAAGAAAATTCACGGCCGCGAAACTTGTTCTTTCGTTGGTCCGAAATTATGGGGATGACCTGTATCAATTTATGGTGGAGTTTGGCGGAGTTGTGGTTTTTGGCGTCTGCGAGGGGCAGTCATTTCCACCTTCCAACTGGTTGTTGAGCATTCGCCTCATGGATGGATGGCGTATGTAAGATGATACCTGTATTTAGGAATTTTCCTATTCAGATTGCATTGGGTGTTCTCAACGAAGTCGGCCGAGGACCGAAGGCGACGGACTTCGTTTTCACGTACTTGTCCTTTTCAATTGTTATATGCTCTCTGCCTTGGGAATCGTAGTAATAGATGAAAGCGTAGGGCAAGCCTGACTCATTCACTCCCCCCAATGAATTTCAGATACCCTCTTCACTGACTTCATGTTCAGATCTGGACTCAGTGAAGAGAGTTTGGGCGGTTAGTGAACTCGCTCCGATCCTAGTAGGAGAGCCTCCAACCTAGGTCTGCTGGAAGCACAGAGAGACAAGCGAGAAAAGTGAGCTCAATTTCCGTTCTCTTTCATAGTTGTACCCAGCGATGCTTGGTGGTGACAGATTGGTGGTCGTTTCACTTTTCCCGATGTGGGTAGTCACTTACACGACGACACACTGTGCGAGACCCAAGACGGTACCAGGTTTGGCCTTACAATGCCACCTATGTTAGCGTAGTGTGAATGCCTGGGTTGTCCAACGTCTTACACCGTCGACATGCCATCCCCTGAAACATGGAGTTGCTGATATTGGGCTTTCTGTGAGTGTAGAAAGATACCTACCTGACATGGTGATGAGATTCGGAGATACAGTGTCAAAAAACCAAGGCCTCAAGCGACACTGCGATTTGTCTCATCCGCTCAGGAGATGCAACCAACCGCTGATATTGCTGGGTATGGCCAGGGTAGAACCAAAGGGATTGAGAGGAAGCAGTTGCGTCATAACCCTTAACTTACTTCCCTATCAACAGCTGATAAACAGCGTGGTGTTGTTGACCCGGGCTATCACGTGGTGGCAGCAAGCCTGAGTGTTGCTATCGCCAAATTTTTGGATGAATCACCGCTCGAGAACTCCGATCTTGCACCGACATTCGACTCAAACACCACCAACACGCCCAACATGGCTCCCACATCCGCACCAACGCTCCTATGGGGTGGCCGCTTCACCGGTAGGGTCAATTGATTGGGAGATGCATAATTGGCGCACTTGGCTAACAAGCACACTCTCAACGGCCAGGCGCAATCGACGACCTCATGTTCCAGTTCAACGAGTCGCTCTCGTTCGACAAGGTGCTCTACAAGGCCGATATCCACGGCTCCATCACCTGGGCCAAGGCCCTGCGCAAACTCGACATCCTCACCGACGACGAGCTCAAGCAGATTGTGACCGGCCTGCAGCAGGTGGAGAAGGAGTGGGAAGAGGGCAAGTTCGTCATCGACACCAAGTCGGACGAGGACATCCACACGGCCAACGAACGCAGACTGGGTGAGCTTATTGGCGCAGCCGCCGGTAAGCTGCACACAGGCCGCTCCCGCAATGAGCAGATTGGCGTCGACATGCGCCTATGGGCCGGCGAGCAGCTGGCCGACATCGCCGCCGCTCTGAAGGGTCTCCTGTCCGTCAGCGCCGAGCGCGCAAAGGAGGCGCTGCCTATCCTGATGCCGGGGTATACACATCTGCAGCGCGCCCAGCCGGTCCGCTTCTCGCACTGGCTCTTGTCGCATGCTACATTTCTCAAGGGCGACCTGCAGCGCCTCGAGGGCGTCCAGGAGCGCGTATCTTCCTGCCCGCTGGGCGTCGGTGCGCTCGCCGGCAACCCGTTCGGCATTGATCGCGAGTTCATGGCCAAGGAATTGGGTTTCCGCTCAGTGCACCCCAACAGCTTGTGCGCTGTTGCCGACAGGGATTTTGTGGTCGAGATCCTGCAGTGGGCGAGCCTGCTCATGGCTCATCTCAGCCGTCTTGCCGAGGACTTGATCCTGTTTTCGACGGCCGAGTTTGGCTTCGTGCAAGTTGCCGACGCCTACAGCACCGGCAGCAGTCTGATGCCGCAAAAAAAGAACCCCGACAGCCTGGAGCTGATCCGGGGCAAGGCGGGCAGGGTCATGGGGCAGGTGCGTTGCCCCCGTTCGAATATCCAATAATTTTTTGATACTGACAGCACCAGGCCTCGGGCTTCCTCGCTTCGCTCAAGAGTCTCCCAACCTCGTACAACAAGGACCTCCAGGAATCCGTCGAGCCCATGGTCGACTGCATCAAGACCGTCTCCAACTGCGTTCGCATCACGCAGGGCGTGCTGGCCACGCTCAAGGTCAACGGCGACAAGATGAAGGCGGCGCTGACCGACGACATGCTGGCGACCGACGTCGCCGACTACCTGGTGCGCAAGGGCGTGCCCTTCCGCCAGACGCACCACATCGCGGGCGCAATCGTGCGCAGGGCCGAGGAGGCGGGCGTCTCCATCTCGGCACTGCCGCTCAAGGACCTCAAGGAGATCTCCCCGCTGTTTGAGGACGACGTGGCGCAGGTGTTTGACTTCGAGAGGAGCGTCGAGCAGAGGTCGACGTACGGGGGCACCAGCAGCAGCTCGGTGCTGGCGCAGATTGAGGCGATTGAGGCGTTTGTCAAGAACTAGAGGAGTGTTCGATACCGGAGTTTACTGTTGACAGGATTTTACGGGAAGGGGTTGGCCCCTGAGATGTCATCTGCTGTCAGTTGAGGACTGGGATTACAGAAAATAGACGTGGGACGGCCCAGGCCAGTGCAGCATGGGTTGATGCATGCTACTGGATGATCTCAACGTGCTTGATTCCGCCTTAGATCGCCCCTCGCTCGATTAGATTAGGGGCCGGATCCCAAACCAGAAGAGATGGTTCACCGAGCACAAGAAGATCATGATCACCCGTATCCTGCGCACATGTTCAACCGCCGGCCCGTCGCTGTGGGCTCGCTTTTGTCTGCCTTGGTAGTCCTAAGCAAGTCTAAGTCTGGGTACTCTGCCTCTCAATCCCTCTTGCCCTCGGCCGCAGCCGCAGCAGCGCCCTCGGGATCGTACGCTTCGACTTCGATCTCGATGTGCATCGCATCGAGACCCAACCGGGCTACGCCGAGCTCAGTCCAAACGGCGTGGTGGTCGGGCATGTACTTGCGGAAGCCGGCGACGAGCAGGTCGTGCGTCGCTTTCAGGTCGGTGCTGTATGTCCACACCCGGTACACCTGCTCCCACCCCTTGCCGCCGGCGTGCTGCAGGTTGGCCGCGACGTTCTGGAAGGCCTGCTCGACCTCGGCCGCTATATTAGTGCTGATCTCGCCCGTGGTGCGGTCCCAGCCGCCTATGGACCTCATGTTGTCAGCCATTTATGCAATTATTATTGAGCAGGCGAAGCGAGGAGTGTATGTGTGTGCAGGTTTCGAAGGCTTGCCTACCTTGACCGGAACAGACAATCTTGTCTCCCACGCGGACGGCCTGGCAGTAAGACATCTCCTTGCGGGCCCACTCGCCGATGCCCGGGTACGTGTATTGGCGAAGGCTAGCCATTGTTGGAGACCTGAATGGAGCGAGATGGGTGGGATGAGTTAGAGAATGGGTGAATGACAAGCCCGTTGTATAAGGTAGGTTTGAGAGTGATCAAGATGCGACCACGTCTACTAAGGAAGCAGGAGTACTCCAAGTACACGAACAGTTGCTCAACCCAGGCTTTAAGTCTCACTAGGGAACACTCCGGTCAACTCTCAACACTACTTAGTGTTGCCTTCATGCTTATTAATTCTCAGCTCCTTCATCTTGGTCTGACGCGACAAGCAGAGGAGACCTCCAGAGCATGCGTCGCCAAGGACTATGTCCTCGAAGGATTTGTAATACCCAGACATGCCAAGTCGCCGGCTGCAAGGTCTCGATTCCTTCGAGGGTTTCCTCCGGATTCCATCGTGTTTCTCGCTTCATTTTGTTCTTGTAACTTGGACTAGTCAATGTTCCCATTTACAACCTAAACAGTAAGGTCTATCATAACAAACAACGGTGTTGCACTTGACATCGGCCGCCTATGAAACCGCTGAGGGCTCCTGGGAAGGTCTAACGGGCAGATTGACAAGAACAACAATGAGCAACTGATACTAGGAGAGCGGTGGTTTTGAACGTAAAAGGTTTATTGAGAGAAGCAGTTTCCCTCCGCTGTGAGTGTAACTTACTTGTGCAAGTACGTACCTGCCATTACTCTCAGTCCGAGTCAAAGATCGAAATATTCAAGATACTAGAGCATCAAGATAGAGCAATTCTCAAAACCAAGGCACGCGCCTACTCTCTTAAACAACCCCAGAGACTACTTCGAGAACATTCAATTCGGGCATGCTTGATCCAAGGAGTGTGAAGTGCATAGCTTTTAATGTTACATAATTCTCAGCCCCCGTGCAATTGCATGTTTGGAACAGGCTGTTTCAAAGCCGAGTGGGGCATGCGGCGTGCCCGAGTCCCGTCCGCCGATTGGTGACATCATTCGGATCGGAGTGGGACAAAGTCCAAGCCGGCGATTGCCGAATTCCATTTGTTCAACCCACACCCGAGAACTTCAGACCCTCCTCTTTGGATGATCGACAATCTCTTTATCTCACCCTCGCGATGTCTGCCAGAGTATCATTACTAGAGCAGCCTGACCCGGAGGCGGCGCAGGTCGTCGCCGAGCATCTCCCCCCGGGATACACAGCCGAGTTCGACAGTGCCCCGGCCGAAAGCACAAATGGTCCAACTGGTTCTTCAGCCTCGGGGTCTGAGGTGCCGGCTCTGCCCGCGGAAGAGTCCTCGTTGAAGCTGCAGGGGGGAGACATGCACCGGGACCTATTCAAGCTGGATGCCGCCGCGCGCGGCCTGATGCACCGCCGCGCAGCCACCTTCCACTCGCCCAGGGAGTTCCGGCAGGACGAGGACATACCGGTAATGAGGGTGGGCGACCAGCTTGCTCCGCAAGGGTTTCGCCGGGCATACCTGCAACAGAGGCACGGTCACGATTTCATGGCAGCCCGGATGCCCATCACCCGCAACTTTGTCGAGTTCCTCGACCTCTACGGAAGCTTCGCCGGCGAAGACCTAGTTGACACAGACGAGGAAGGCACTGAAGAGGAGGAAGAAGCGGAAGAAGCCGACGGCGAACGGCGGCCCCTTCTCCGGCAGCGAGTTCTCTCCGCGAGACCGCCTCGCTCGGCTCAGGCCGGCACTGTAAAAACCTTCTTCACGCTGATCAAGGCCTTTGTCGGCACCGGCATCATGTTCCTACCCAAGGCCTTCTCCAACGGCGGCATCCTGTTCTCCACCCTCGCCATGCTCGCCGTGTCGGCCATCACCATGGCCGCCTTCCACCTTCTCTTGCAATGCAAACTGCACTACGGCGGCGGCTACGGCGACATCGGCCAGGCCATCGCCGGCCCCAAGATGCGCACCCTCATCCTCTTCTCCATCGCCCTCAGCCAGCTGGGCTTCGTCTGTGCGGGTATCGTGTTTGTCGCCGAGAACCTCCTGACATTCCTTGACGCCGTCACCGGCGGCCACAGCCCCATCTCCACGGCCGGTCTGATCGCCTTGCAGCTGGTCATCCTCGTCCCGCTCGCGTGGATCCGCAACATCTCCAAGCTGGGGCCCGTCGCGCTCCTCGCGGATGCGTGCATCCTGGTGGGAGTCAGCTACATCTACTGGTTCACGAGCACGTCGCTCTCCCAGAACGGCATCGACCCGACCGTGGTCTTGTTCAACCCCAGCCGGTACACCCTCACCATCGGCGCCGCCATCTTCACGTTTGAAGGTATAGGCCTGATCCTGCCCATCCAGTCGTCCATGGCAAGCCCAGAACATTTTGAGCCTCTACTGGGGCTGGTAATGGTCATCATCACGGTTGTGTTCGCGTCGGTTGGAGCCTTGTGCTATGCCACGTTTGGGGAGCGGACGCAGATTGAGATCATCAACAACTTCCCCCAGGACAGCAAGCTCGTCAATGCCGTGCAGCTGCTGTATGCCGTTGCCGTGCTGGTCGGCACGCCCGTTCAGCTTTTCCCGGCTCTGAGGATTATTGAGGGGGGCGTGTTTGGACATATGCGGTCCGGCAAGGGGAGTCTGAGGACGAAGTGGGTGAAGAATGCCTTCCGGCTCGGGGCGGTCGTGTTTTGTGGCCTGGTGTCGGTTGCTGGGACGGGGAATCTGGATCGGTTTGTGGCGTTAATTGGGAGTGTTGCCTGTGTGCCACTGGTCTATGTGTATCCGGCGTATCTACATTGGAAGGCCGTTGCCACAAAAAGGTGGGTGCGATGGGGGGATTTGCTCATGATGGTGGTCGGGGTGATTTGTATGGTGTATACCACCGCCGTGACAGTGGCCAACAGTTTCATATAAGCATCAGCACGACCATCTTGGGATTGATGTTGGATGGCATATCATGGTTGGACAAGACGGAAGACAAAATCCGAGTATATGGAGATAGATGCTCAATTATGTTGGCTCCGGCCCTTCCTGCTCAAATAAAGTAGTGGATCTCCATCGTATAGCACACGGCCAAAGACATGAATGTAAGGTACCCAGGGGTCATACAAGGGATAACTCTTTGCAGTCGACGAGTAGGAACACTGGTATCCCTCTCGCGACCTTGGCAATCGTTGCTATCACAAAGCGCGTTGGGGTTACGCTCTTCAGTATTCTCTCCGTCGTTTGCTAGCTGAGTGACTCGGGAGACTGTCATTTGCATCACCGTTGCCAAACCTCCTTGACTCACCTTCCTCTTACAACACGCCATTCGATAGAAGAAACGGCAACGGTTGGGCTCTTGGTGACAGTCCTGTATATAACATATCTAGTGTAGCACGGCGCGTCCCTACATGGCCTGGAGGCATCTGCGGAGGCAGGCTTCGCTTGCCCTGCCCGGACGTTAATAGGTAACAACGACAACAACTCGATCCTGTTATGGCCAATAGTTACATATACCAGGAACATTCTTTTATCGGGTTATAATCTCAGCACTTCCTCCTATCTCGCCAACTCTTTTGCTGCAGCAGTATTACCTTATCAACATGGGAACAGGCCCTGAGCGAGGTTGTTACTACTACGCTCGGTGTGTCAGCGAGCCCGCCACTGGTTTTCAGGGCCTGCGGGCAGCCGCAGGTCCCCAACACAAGCACGGGGCTTGATGGTTGAAATGACGCTCGAACAGGCATGCCCGCCAGAATACTGGCGGGCGCAATGTGCGTTCAAAGATTCGATGATTCACTGAATTCTGCAATTCACATTACTTATCGCATTTCGCTGCGTTCTTCATCGATGCCAGAACCAAGAGATCCGTTGTTGAAAGTTTTGACTGATTCAGTACAGAAGACTCAGAGAGGCCTCACACATTCCCACCGTACCTCTGGTCTCACAATTATCGGTTGCCTCTCATTCACCTTAATTGACCCGCAAAAGTAAATCTGAGGGCAATGCCCGGAAAGCTGGAAAAGCTGGAAAAAACCTTGACGAAGGAGGTGTGAGAGTGGAGAGTGGTGGTGGAAGTGATGGCACTTGAAACTCGGAAACTGGGTTGCCGGTGTCGTACTCTGGTCAGTGGTAATACACAGCTGTTACATAAGGTCTGGGATGCACCCAGGTAACTTGGAGAAGAAAAAGAACAGAACTCAATCGACAGTCTGGGCTGGTCCTAAGCACTCGAAAAAAAAAATCACCGTTTTAACGGCTCCCATAAAGCGTGTCACCGTGGAATTGTGGCTGTTGGCTCTCTAACAAGTGGACTAGTTAGGACAACGGCAAACACAACAACATCCCGCTCCGAAAAACGACCCTGACAAAGGAGACGGGACCGATACAGCTAAGTCCACTATGTCTCCGAATCTGCCATGTTTCTAACCAATCGGCTTGTTATGATGACCTATTAGCTTGTTCTGGCTGACGGTCCCTCTGCCGTCTTACGAGGTAACCTTCGTTAGTCCTTCCAACTGTGCTTGTACAAGCTCCTTAGTGACGGAGATGGAAACTTTGGTTCGGGGATGTGGCTAAGCTCACGCTTGGGTATGGCGTGGAAGGAGGAGCAGGAACAGAAACAATTTCATTCCCCGCCTCCCTCCACAACAGCCAAGGCCACGCTATCGCTTCCAGAACAGCGAAGGGGACCAAGTGTCAGGCTCACATATCATATTCGCCTCTGTGGTGTTCATGACGTCGATATCGTGGTGGCTGCTCCCTTATTTGTTTCTCAGCGACCTGTCAATCTTGAAACGGCTTCTTGTCGTTTCCGTACCTTCCGTTTGTTTTCGTGGACACCGTCCCTCTGTGATGGACGAAGATACCGCTGCAACTCTGTTCAATTGGTTTGCCGAATACATTGTGCACTCAAGGACTTCTTTGTTTGCTGTTATTGCACGAGGCTGGGCTTGTTCAAACGTACCTTTACCCAGTCTCTATGTCATACGCGGCAGTTGCTATTTTCCCGAAGGCGGCTCTGAGCATGCTCTTTTTTGATGCTGCTAGCAAAAGGCAGCAACCCCCCGACTTGTGGTTACTTCCAAGTTTCGAATCGTCTTTCTCTAACGTGAATTACAGTCGTTAGACTATACAGCAGATGACTCGTGTGATGAGGATGACGACCAACCGCACGAACCGAGAGAACAAGTGAGCCGGGTCAAACCAAAGGTACCGAAGGTGAAAGTGGCACCTCCGGGTCAGAAGGGCCATCTGGCACTCCCGGTATCCCGACTACTTCTAGTTCAAGCACCTTGCCTGCGAGAGAATCAAGCGGCGTTTCTCCAAACCCCAAGAACGAAGAAGTTGCTCCCGGGGACCCAGGCAATCGCCAGAGTATGGCAGAAGAATTGACCAGGAGGCAGTTATGGGTCCTGGCAGTTGTCGCGGACAGAAACGAACAACAGGTTTGTGTGCAAGTCGACGTAACCCAGCGGTTCACGGACTACAAACTCCCCTGCGGCCTTCGCCAGAAAGTATTGCCTGATATCGAGTTGGTGGAGGAGGCTCACCCAGCTTGCGAGAACTCACCGCTATTCGGTTCACAGAGATACGAGAGTCCTACGCAGCCCTTGTTTTCGATGAGCACTTAGATGGTAAATGTTATTGACAAGCTTGCTTAATTTTTATTTACCAGTTCTATATGCTCGACGAGCGGCGCGCCGATGTCATCCACAAAAACGTCTGACCACAAGAGCATTCCCCCTTGATCTGGATCTACAAGCCGTACCCAAACTGAAAGATATGCCCGCTCCTGTGGGACAGGCATACCTCATGCACGTGTGGCGCAACCCCAGCCACGCCGACCTCGCCGCCCACACCGACTTCCACCGCTACACCAGTAAGACAGCGCGAGTCAAGGACTAGCTGCGCACGCGGCCTGCGCTTCGTTTCAGACGCAACGGGCTAAAGTCGACGAACTCTTCAGTCCTAACGACTCGGCCCTAGTCCAGGACAGCACAGTGGCCGTGACCCTTGCTCTACAGGTTCAGACAGCCGACAATGAGCAGTCAGGCCATTACAGACGGCAGTCGACGCGCATATATACCGCAACTCCGAAAATGTCCGGACCAAAAGCTGGTCGCCGGCTATCGCGGCAATGCCTATTTAGAGGCATGAGGTTTGGAATTTGAAGATGGCTTCCGCGTTCACCTGCTGCTTTTTTTCTTGTTGCTTCTTTATGCGGCTGCCGGCTTCGCCCTGATGGTATGCCTTTTGCGGGCGCATGGGCTACAATTCTCTGATTCTACAGGCGTGGTTATCGCTATCATTGCGTGGATCGATACCTTGATGGGTTTGATGCTTACAGTCTGGTTCAAGTGGACAGGCGGCTAGGAGGGACGTTAGGGGGACAGCGGAGTCTATTTCGCAACTGGCCGTTTTTACGGTATGCGGTTGTGTATCCGACAGACTGTAAGTAAGATCAGCAGGTGGCCAAGCTAACCGGAACAACAGCGTCGTGCAGTATCTTGGTGTGTTTATCTTTGCTGACTGTTTTGTACCTGCTACCTCCTTTCCCCTCTGTCTCCAATGACACTTGATACCAGCTCGCAACAACGCTTCGCCCCTTCAAATGGCAGTGCTCACTTCCTCCACATAGTCACTTCCCAAGCCCTGCCACGGCCGCTGCGAGCGGAGGTACTTAGCCCCTGGACCTGCACGCCACTGACCATGGCAAGCTCAGCTTTGGGTCGCAGCGGCCAGCGTCAGCCAAGCTTCGAAGCTAAACATCTAGCACCAAATCCCCTTTCAAAACCGCCACCTCCCCCTTTGTCGGACACAGAATTGTCTCGTCATTCAGCAACCGACACAGTCTCAGTTCTTGCGCCGTCACCCAGTCGTGGGGGAGGAAGAAGTGCTGCCGTATGCCACTTTCTGTAGGACCCGATGGCGAAAGTGATGATGCTGCGTGTAGCGTCACGGTACGTACCCTCAACTGGCGGTCCAGGAACACGTGCAGTCGCCGTTGAATGCCACGGAGGATGGCGTACTGAGGAAAGTGCCTCTGGTACCCCTGGCTCGTCCAACAAGCCTGCGTCCTGCTGTTCCCAGGAAGGACCATTAAGCCAACTTTGATCCACGGAGACCTGTGGGAGTCCAACATTGGGACCGATGTTCACACCGGCGAAATCTACATCTATGACGCCTGTGACTTACTATGCGCACCACGAGAAGGAGGTTGGTATCTGGCGTTGCGAACATCACCAAATGAACGACGACAAGTACCGGGATGAGTTGTAACGGTCTCAGGTAGTATATTGCAACTAGCTGATGACGACTCTACGAGTACACTGAACTTGGAGAAGAAAAGGAGAGACGACAGACTCTGGTAGCTCGCAAGCATACTTATCCTCGTCGGCGCGCTGGTCTGAGCGCGTTGCTAGAAGGTTCGGTGTGCTGTGGGGCGAGTGGGAATAGCCTCATCAGGGGTCTTGGTATTTGCCGAGAGTCGCCGAGGCTCGCACCGGGGCCAGCCCGTTACATGAGTACTTCAAGAACATCGAGCCGAGCGAGCCCATCGAGGAGTTTGACGACAGGAACAGGCTGTATTCCGTCGAGACTTTGTTGATCAACTCGGCGCATTTTCCAGGGTCGGTTACAAGGAGGCCGGCGCTCAACGAGCTGAACTGGCTCATCAACAAATATCGTCAGGATATGTAGGCGGTATTTCGTCGGCGAGGTTGTTCTGTGGTGTCAACCGTACGCGTCGACGGGCTGCTGGACTGCTGGATCAGACATGAGTGCAATTCGAAGGCAGTCGGCAGTAGTACTGGCCTGTGATGCCCAATACGGACCAGGATCATCCTACCCTTCGCCACTCCATTTGTAGATGAGGTAGTTCGAGATGTCTGGTCTTGAAAAATCTTTGGACATAAACAAACGGTAAAACAATAAAGGCCAGTCAGGTAACGAATTTACCTTACTTACCTAAGCCTTCACGCTAGAGTCGTAGCATAACGGGAAAGAATGAGCACTAACTAGATTAAATACAAGCTCAAGTCTAAGAACATAATTACAGTAACTACCTAGTAGTTACTGTCTCTAATTTTGCGTTCATCTAACGTTATAACTAACGTACATGATAAGCGAACGTCCCAGACATGCGAACGTCCCACAAATCCACTCCTTCATACCTTTCATCTTT